ATGTGTAACTGCAATAAAAGAACATAATAACTGCTTCATAAAAAAAAATTACATTGCCTTGCCTAATTCGCATTTAGAATATGTTAGAGTCTACTTTGACATAAAAAACAATCTGGTGACTGTTTATATTTGGACTTGATCACTCAGAAGTAAGGTTTTCCCTAGAAGCAGCAAATGTTGCAGTTAAGTTTGTTCAGCTCTTAGACACTGAAAGGCACTAAGATGCAAAGCAGGAAGAAAATAAAAACACGTACATAGGCAGCTCACATTGAAACTATTTTAGTTGAATAGGAAGACTTTCAAAAGAACATATTTGTCCCCCTTTGTAATTGCTACAAATAGATTAAAAATACTCTACTGAAAGGTAAAAACATAGGTGAAAACAAGTGTTAGCAATTTTATCAGCTTGTACACATAGTTAATACATAAAGTCAGCATTAGGAGGTCGTCCAGCAAGATCAAGGTGACATACTGAAACACTACGACCAACTCTTGTACCTCTGTTGGCTCTTGAGAAGGATTCCCCATGTTCTAACACAGTGCCATCCGTGACATGGCTCACAGCCTGCACTTGTATGGATTTTGTACCACCCAACTGTCAGGCAACACCTAATGCATCTCAAGACACCAACTTCAGCTAAGGAAATCTCTCTGATGTGTGGTGCCACCCTGCAGCCCCCTGACTACAGAGGACACAGAAGGTCACCAGACTTCTGCATCTCCTCCCTTCCTTGTAAGGCTATATCAGTATGTCCACCACATTATTCCCCCTTCAGTCTGTTTCTTCAGACAGTTTAATCCTCCCTCTCCCTGACCCACCCACACAGCAAAACTCCAACACCTATCTCTACAATTGTTTTTCTTCCTCATAACCTGTGAAATCGCACAGCAGTGACCTACTGGCAGTTTTACCACTGTCACAGCATCACAAAAAAATAAGAACAAAACAAGCCATGTCTGTTAATTTGACTCTGCTGCTCCTAGGAGAGACAACAGATGGTAACTGCAGACACACAATCACATGCAGCACTGAAGAAAACAAAACCTGCTTTTATTCCTTTCCACAAGACTCTGTTTACAAGTTAACTTTGTTCCCCTGTTGAAAATCTGTAAAACAGCCACTGTCATTCCATATTTTTAAAAACATGACATTGTCAACACGCGATTTTATTGCATGTGTGAGTGTCCAGCTTGTCCAGCTGGCTCATGTCACAGCATTACACTTAAAATATTTTCCCTGTTTCTCCTCGCTCAATCATTCTGTTTCCTCTAAACACACTCATCTTTTGCATACAGTACCGAGCTTAAAAACTCACCTTTTAACAAAGGGGAAAAAAAAAAAAAAAACAACAGCTAAAAACGGCTGAGGAAATTAAAGAGGGCACAGCAATCACAACTGAGGCTGAGAACTCAGTCTCAATATCCGTAATGTCTAGTAAACCACATGCTAACTAGATTCTGAAAAAACTCACTGCAGCTACTTTAGCTACTCTACATGAAAAACTGTGAAAATACTTTGATAATGTGTAAAAAATACTGTACTCAAATATCTGAGTTGCTTAAATTAACTTAATTTCTACCCTTATCTTTCATGCCTTTAACCAGAACACATCAACACTGTATTTTACAAAATAGAAGATACCTTGAAATCTTACTGTAGGTTTTGAATACACACAGAAAAGGCCCCTCTCAGAAAGAAACACGCTAGTTCTACCACATATTTGTGGGCTTTTCATTAATTAATGACAAAAAGGCCAGTGAAGTGACACAAGTTCTTTCTGGAAACTGGCCCCTGCACCAGTAAGTTCTGTAAAATTCTGCTGTTAATACGAGAGCTTTTACAAACATTAAAGCAAAATCAAGAGGCAAAACTTACAGACTAATCCCACGGTTATTGCATGAGCTAACTGAATTACAGTTACACAAGCAAAGTGGCTGTTAGAGCTAGTCCTTGGAATCCTTACATAGATTTTCCTTTATTTTCTAGAATTTAGACTCACTCATTTTTAAATTACATTTTTACCTGTCTGGTTTGAAGCACAGTTTACATTATGAAGGCCAGCCTGTCTAGATAAATTCACAGCCAGAAAGGCAAACACTAGCTAAAAAAGGCAAGACCTTCATCACATATTGTTACGCCTTTTGTTTGCACTGTTAGTTCCTGTATTTTAGTTCAGACGGTTAAATGCCTCACAGCAGGGACCTCAGTTCTCCATGTCTGTACAGCACTACACGCATACAGTGCTCTATAAATTATTTCTACCAAATACTAACACTACTAGCTATTTTACGAAGCCTTGCTTTTCTTCTGAGATTGAAAGGTACACACACGCAAATGCAAATCTAGAGACAGCTGAGCTGAGTAAATACTTCTTTCTTAAGTTATTACTCTTTGGGGTTTTTGGTATGCAAAATATTAATATACCTACTTCACATACACAAGCTTTGTACGTGTGTGTGTACATACACACACACATACTCCAATTTCTCAGAAGATTCAGTCATCTAACTTCTGTCCCAAAATTTACTCTCTGCAAAACCAAACACAGAACCTAAGCAACTATTTCAACAAGAATACATACTGTTGTTTCACTTGCTGTTTGATGTTTTACTTGGAACAAATTTGAAAACGATGCATGCCTTCCTACCAGTTTTGATCCACACCCAAAACTCTTTTTCTCAGACTAATTGTAAACACCAGATACAAATACTGTCTTCGTAAAGACAACTGGAATTCCACCTACCCCTCCTCAAAAGACGATTCTTTCTGATGGCAACCTGTACTATGGGGGGATGCCCACGACTCTGTAAGACTATTCCAGCTGCCTTCCATTCAGAAATCCATTTGCAAACGCAAGAAAACCACCCACTCTGAAATCATCAGCCACGACCTTCAACCGCCTAAAAACGCTCAGTCTCCTCTTCCATTAGTACAGTATCGACCGGCTCTTCCAACAACGAAAACGCAAGAACCGGCATTCTGATTTAAAAAAAAAAAAAAAAAAGTGTGAAAAAATCCATAATGAGGCCGACAATGGCACAAAGCCACATTTCGTTTATATGGCTGCTTTACACTCAGCTTGAATGAAACAACGAGAACTTGGCCTTTACGGCGGAGCGCGGGGTGACCCGGCGCCCAGCCGCAGACGCTCGCGTTCGCCCCGTCCGAGCGCATCAAATGGCCGCCGCCACACCGGCGGCTAAATGGCCACTGCCGCGCTCTCGCCCACGACCCCCAGTTTTTCTGGGGTGCGACCCAAGGGGATCCAAGAGCCGTTTTAAAACAGAGCCCGCCCGGGCCGCGGCGCAGCCCCCGGGGCACCGCTCGCAGGCCGCGCCCCGCTGGCGGGGCCTCCGCTCAACGGCCGGGGGCTTTCCCGCAGCTCCGGCCTGCAAGCGGCGGGAGGCCGGGGCCGGGCGGGGCAGGCCGGGGCGCCAGCCTACCTGGTAGAGCGCGGAGCCCGCGTCGGGGCGTGAGCCCACCGGCGCCGCCGCCTCGCCGCGGTAGGCGCGGCCCAGCAGCCGCCATAGGCCCAACAGCTGCCGCGGGCCCGGCAGCCGCCGCGAGCCCACCAGCATGGCGCCGGAGCCGTGCCGTGCCGTGCAGGGCCGAGCCGGGCCGGGCCGGGCCGGGCCCGCCGCCGCCACTCCCCCTGCCGCAGCCAATGGGCAGAGCAGGCCCCGCGCGGCGCGGCCGGGCCGCCGCGTCCTTGCCGGGTGCCCGACCCTGGCGACCCGGGCCCCGCCGGGGCAGCTCGGCCGCTCCCGGAGCGGCGCTGTTCACTTGGGAATTCAGCTCGTCAAAGGCAGTGAGCCTTTCCCGTGACAGAGCGGCGTCGGGACACCGCACCTGCGCGATCTGCTCAGGCCCCGTGGCCCGAGGTGCAAGATGGTGCTGCCGAACTCGCCCTGCAGGAATGAATGTTGTTTGTACGCTCCGCGTTTCAGACGGGATTACATCCTCATGCAAGCCCAAAAAAGCCCTTGCCGTTATTAGAAATGGAGTTTTGTCATTACTGCAGAAGTGCTGAGATGCTACAGTAACACTGGCAGATTTTTTTTAAAGCCTAACCTCTTTGCTTGAGTTACTTGTTTGAAAGCTTTGCTGGTTTCCAGCATTTGAGGTTTATGTTGTTATTAAAGACGTCTGTAGTGTTTACAGAGATAACACAGGGAAGCCAGACACCAAACACCTTAAACTCTATACTAAAAAAAAACAAACAAAGCCCCTGTTAAAGGGTATTCAGTCTGTTACCACCAAACCAGCAGTCCTGTACTCATCCCGGTGTTGCAGCCAGAACTTTAGACATTCATTTAGCTCATACTTTTGTTGGAAAATGGATGAAGAAAAAAAAAAAGTTTAGGGTAGCATAAGAATTTAAGCAATCAATTGAACACCTGCAACATCTCAGTTGCAGGGAAGTCCCTGAGCTAGGCAAGAATCATAAACACCTCCTGGGGAATGCATAAAAGGAGAGGCTGCGTGTGTAAATTGGAAGACTCCTAATCAGAAGCCCTTCTCCTCGAAGATTAAGGCCCCCTGAAAATTAATCAACAAGCTGAAGCTAGGCAGGAGATAAGAAGTGCAGACATAAACCCAAGAAAAGCCAATTCCAAGGTGCTGACACAGTTCAAGAAGGTCTTCTATCCAAAGAGCACCAGAGACCACGAGAGACCACCACCAACCCCCATGGAAACCCCTCAGAGACTTAAACAGCATGTGCAGTAATTATATAAATATGATACTGAGTTTTAGGAAATTTGATGAATACGTATGCAACAGGGTGATATAAGCTTTGGCTATTAGTAATGTACGGTGGACATGTTAGGTGGAATAGTTCCCTCACATCCCCAGCCTAATCAAGTAATGCCTTGCTTGTTCATGCTAAAACTGGCGTTAAGGAGTTTTCATTCCTGATTTCAGTAATACTTTAATTAACTTACTATGTTTATGAACATTTAAAAACTGCAACTGATATTCTAAGAAATGGAAACACAGGTAAAATAAAATAATTTATTCACATAATTTACATACAGAATATGACTACTTTTCAAAGAAAAGCTTGTATGTGATGATACAGGGCAGCAGACAAGTCCAAGCACAGCAGTCTTACACCACATCTTTGTAAAAATTTTAAACTAACAGGCATTGAGATTTCACTGATCTATTCTTACATCCTTCACCATTATAAAACTTTCATACACAAAACACCAGCAAGTTGTCTTATGTCTATTAAAATTAAATTTGTCCTTAAAAAAAAAAAAATCCTCTAACAAAGTGCACGACATACTGCAGGGGAAAAAAAGTGTAGCCCTAATTAACAAGGTAGATAAGGCACCTTAAATTTTAGTATTGAAATAGATGGGGTTTTTAATCTTGTAATATGAATACAGGCTAAAATGTACACAAGTAAATGTAGAATGGTTATCACCTCAGAAAGTACTTAGGGCAATTATTTTATAGCTACTCCGCACAAATCTATTTTTAGGCTCTATCAGTGCAAGTGATTTAAACATGCCACATGTATCAGGAACTAAACACTTGCATATATAAAATATTATCTACAAGATATACAATACATGGAGCTTTCTGTATAATCTACTTCATAGTGTTTACATTAAGACAATATTTAAATAAACATTTCAAGTTAAATGAATTAGGCAAAACACAGATACCGTCTGAACTGAAACTGGGGTTGGGGGTGGGTATTTTTGTTTTTTTGGGGGGAGGAAGGGGTTGGACAGTATGCTTTCAAGTAAATTACTTCACAGTGGGACTCATCCCTTTTCCATCACCTCAAGGTACTGCTGCTAGCAACACTTGATTGACAGAGGCCTGCTAAGGTAGCAGTTTGCAGTAATGGTAGCTTTTCTAGGCATTTTCCTCACTGACAAAATTTTAAAGGCGCCTTCAGAAGCCTTGCCAATAACTTCTGAAAGGCAAACAGTCACAAATTTCATCAAGTATTTAAAAATTCTAGATACTTATATTAAAATATATGCCAGTAAATTATTATCCAGGCCAAAGCTGAAGCCAGGTTTCTTGAGAGTATAACAATACCATTTAAACATCACTTACATAATAAATAATTAGTTTTGCAAAAGTACCTGATGTTAAGAAGAGAAAAATTTAGACTACTTAAATCTACGCACTCATTTTTGTATAAGAAGGAGTTTCAGAATAAATATTGAATCTTTCAGTGACCACCTGATTTTGAGACTGCATGAACCTTGTTACCTCAAGACAATCTTCTTGACATGGTAAGTAAAAAAATTACACTAAAATCTAAAGCTACACAAACATTTTATAGCAAGTTACAGTACAGGCAGACATGCAACATGAAGAAAGCCATTCAAATCCAACTGCTTCAAAGTAGCAAATCATCAAAGCAACCACATTGCATAGTCATGGTTTAAATCCAATCTCTTTGTGCTACTTTGCGCAAGTGAAACCAAGGAAGGCAGCAGACAGGCAAATAGCTACAGGTAAACCCATGGAAAAGTAGTATCTATCCCCTTGTTTCAAATTTAGCAGGAAACTAGCATTTATAACGATACTGTGAAATCAGTCAAGAAAACCCTCTAAGACTTAATTTGAAGTTTTAGAAGGCAGGCATTCTTTATTGCAGCGCTGCAGCACTGGACGCAACACAGACTTGTGTCTCAAAAGCGTGCACACCAAACATCTCATCCAGCAAGGTTCATATTAACCTGTTACATACATATGCCTTCTGTTTCCTGGAACTCACTATAGTATCTGCATACGAATTACGCATGCACTTGCAGTCCTCAAGGGTCGTCTTCAGAGGTCCTTGGTGGTCTTCAGGGGCATCCTAGGCATGCACAGTATGCCTTTGCTTCTTCTTACTCCATAATCTCCAGTTTCTGACCACAAGTTCCTTTATTTCCTTTGTTAAGCCTATTTGTACACCTTGCCGTCTTAAAGCAATGTCTATAATATCTTAGTTTGATGAGACAATGCCTGTAATATTCTGGTGTGCTGAGACAATGCCTGTAATATTTTGGTGTCCTTAGGCAATCATAAAACCGTCTCTAAATTCTTAAGTTTACAGTTTTTACTTTGGTACAATGTATCAACTCCCCCTTTTTCTTGAGACTTTGGAGTTACAGGTCCAATGCCTCAATATCGATATTTGATTTTCTAACAGAGTTGACCACAGAAGTTACAACATTGAATCATAAGGCAAGCTAGAATACAAACTTTTGCAATTGCTATAACAAACAGATGTTTTAACTAGGCCCTACTGGGGAGGAGGTTAAGTTTATGCCATATTTTTTCAAAACCCCACGAAGTATCATTTTTCAAGGTTTCTTGTAACATCTTTCCCAATTGTAACTTAAGGGTATAGTTCATTCTCTCTACATTTTCACTGGACTGTGGTCGGTAGGGAGTGTACAAGTCCCAATCGATCCCCAATGCCTCCTTCAAGCAATCAATGAGGTGAGAACCTCTGTCTGAAGACATTCCCAAAGGTACCCCATATCTTGGAATTAATGTCTTTAGCAGTATTTTCGCAACTTACTGAGCCTCGGTGTGACAGGGAAAAGCTTCTGGCCATCCACAGAAGATACTGACCAAAACCAAAATACATTGTTAACCTTCCTTCCTAGGTAATTCAGTGAAATCGATTTGCCAATAGTCCCCTGGGGAATTTCCTCCCTTTGTTACCCCAAACGTTAATTTCTTACCAGTATTAGGATTATTCTTCTGACAAATTTCACATCTCTTTGTGGCAGATTTTATTATCTCAGTCATAGCCCTACTGAGCACTGTCTTTTGTAAATGTTTTAGTAACTTCTCAGCTCCCCAATGTATCTTTTGATGTTCTTTTCTAACTATTTCTCTCACTACAGATGGAGGGGTAATTACTTTTCCTGTTAGTGTCACCCACCACCCTTGTTCCTGCTCTGCTGCCTGCAAACTCCTCAATAATTTGTTATCCTTTTTGTCATACTTTGGTGGCACCTCAGGTAAGTTTAACTGTTTCTCTGGTATTACTGCCAGGATACCTGTTTCTGCAGCCTCTTTAGCAGCCTTATCAGCCAACTGATTACCAATTTCAGGGGGGCTTTTTCCCATTTTATGTGCCTTGCAATGCATCAATGCTACCTCAGTCAGCTTCTGGATACTTTCCAGCAACTCTTGGATTTGAACAGCATGTTTAATTTCAGACCCTTGAGCTGATAACAACCCTCTTTCTTTTCAAATGACTTCATGTGCATGTACTGCTCCAAAGGCATATTTAGTCTGTCCATATGGTAATTCTTTTTCCTTTGCTCAAGTCCAAAGTTCTTGTAAGAGCTATTAATTCAGCCTTCTGGGCTGATACTTTCAAAGACATTGCCTATGACTCTGTTACCTTGTTGATGGTTGTTACAGCATACCCCAACTTCAGTGTCAGGTTCCAGACAAAACTGCTACCGTCTTTATACAGTTCCCAATCCAGGTCCTACAGCAGGTATCCTTAAAGTCCGAATAACTGGAATAGGTTTCTTCATCCGTCTGCAAACAATCCTTTTTCTAGACAGCTCTCAGGGTTAGCAACAGTTAAAAAAAATAGCCGGATTAACGACAGATGTGGCTTTGAGAAGCATGTCATCTTGTTCTAGTAATGGTATTTAAGCATGTGACTTGGGGACAGCCAGTGCCCTCCCTTCTGTTATAATACTGTGACTACCATGTGGGGTACATGCACAGTTAATTTCTGTCTCAGTGTTAACTTCCGAGCTTCTTGGATTAACAATACGGTAGCCACCACTGCTTTGAGACACCCAGGCCATCTCTGGCTGATGTTGTCCAGTTGCTTGGAAAAGTACACCACTGCTCACCTCTGATTCTCCAGTGCTTGGGCCAACACTCCCAAAGCAACATTCTGTCTTTAGTGAGTAAAAAGTTCAAATGGTTTATTAAGGTCAGGCAGTTCTAGAGCTGGCACTCTCATCAATGCTTGTTTCCATCTTCTGAACGCAGTCCAACTATCGTCTGTCCAGTCTACCCAGCCTATTTCAAAAAGTTTTAGCAGTTTGTATAAGGGTTTCACCCTTACTCCATAGTTAGCAATCCATAATTGGCACCATCCCACCATACCCAGAAAGGCATGGAGTTCCTTGACAGCCTGTGGTTCCAGGATTTGACAGATATCTTCTTTTCACTCCACCCCTAATTGCAGTTGGCCCTGCAAAATCTCATATCCCAGGTAGATTATGGTTCTTTTAGCAATTTGGACCTTTTCTTGGGATATATGATACCCACTTAGGCTCAAAATCTTCAATAAACTTATGGTCAGGGAAATGCAGTCGTGCCTGTTTTCCACAACAATCAGGATGTCATCCACATACTGCAAAACTGACTGTCCCTGTGGGGCTTTCCTTTCTCCAGGCGTCCAATTATTTTGCTAGTCAATTCCCAAAAATGGTGGGGCTATTCTTAAATCCCTGTGGCAGGACTGTCCAAGTACACTGTGTTTTCCTCCTGGTAACCGAATCTTTCCACTCAAAAGCAGAAAGCTCTTGACTTTTAGAGTCTAGGGGTATGCAGAAAAAGGCATCCTTACGATCTACAACAGTAAACCATTCCTGTTTCCCAGTTAATGTTGTTAGCAGAGTATAAGGGTTATCTACCACTGGGTGAATACCTGTCACTATTTGATGAATAGCCCTCAAATCCTGAAGTAATCAATAATCCTTCCCATTTGCCTCTTTGATCAGAAGGATAGGTGTATTATATTCTGACTTGCATTCTATCAATAAGTTCTATTTGAGAAAATTCTGAATTATTGGAGCTAATCCTTGTCTAGCTTCCAATTTTAGAGGATGATGCTTAATTCTTACCAGCTTAGTTCCTGGCTTGAGATTGACTTTACCGGTTCATATTCCTAGCTCTTCCTGGAACTTCTCCAGCCCACACCATAGGAATTATGGCATCATCCACTTCCTGGGGTATTGTCATTTCCTTGGGGATCTATTCCTGAAACATCAAACCTGAGGCCTCTAAATATTTTGACTTGGGGATCAAGGTTTCTATTTCCCCATCCTTGAATTTATTCTCCGTTTCTAGTTTCTCAAGAAAGTCTCTAGGAAGCAAAGGTTTGGGTGAATTTGGCAAGTACAAAAATTGATGTGTCACCCATTGTTTTCCAAACTTTAGTTTTAAGGATTTAAAGAATGGTTGTGTCTCCCGAGCCCCTGCCGCACCAAAAATACGGACATTATTTGTACTCAGTTCTCCCTCCAATGTGTTTAAAGCTGAGTAAGTAGCCCCCAGTATCTACTAGAAATTCAATTTCCCCATCTCCCAGCCTAGCTTTAACCAGAGGTTCTGCTGGGAAATTCACCTCTGGTCCCCTTCAGTGTTCTTCGACTGCTAGTAAGGGTCTGGCCAGGGGGCCTCATTTCCAAAAGGGACAGTCGTGCCTCCAGTGTCCCTCCTTTTTGCAATGAGAGCATTGATTGTTTCCCAACCACATTTCAGTGTCTCTATAATGTGGAGGTCTTCCTCCTCTCCTAGTTCTTTCCTGATTTTCTATTAATGCAATTATTTTCCATTCATGCAACTATTTTCCTCCAACACTGATATCAGTCTATTGTTAGTCCTCTCCTTCTGACACTCTCTGTTCCTGTATTCCATCTATGCCACATCCAATAGTTTACCTAAATCCCTAGCATCATTTCCCTGTAATTTTTATAACTTCTGTCTTATATCATCAGAGGATTGCCTGATAAACAAAGGTGCCAATTGGTTTTTACCTTCCTCAGATTCAGGATCAATAGCTGTATACTTGTGGGCAGTCTCTTTCAGTTTGTTCAGGAAATCAGGAGGAGACTCCTTTCGATCTTGTTTGATTACATATAATTCAACCAATTAGGGACCTTAGCCTTAGCTATAGCATTTCGAATACTCAACAGAATCCATTTTTGATATTGTGTTAAGAGCTGTTTTGATCCACCCACATCGGATCCCAGTTCGGATCTACAGAAGGAAAGTTAAGTTGATGCAACCTGCGCTTCTATCTGCATTCTAGCCATTTTACAAATCATGTTCCTTTCTGTGCTATCAAACAGCACCTGTATTATTGCCTCAATATCCTTCCAATCAGGGTCTTGAGTTTTAATCATCATTTCAAAAGCACAAGCTGCTCTCTCCGGGTCATCCCTATAATTCCTGACTGCCAGTTTTCAATTATTAAGATCTGTAATTGAGAACGGGACCTTTATGGTCACTGGTCTTTCATCTCCCACAGCCTGGCATAGGGGAGCCTGTATAACTTCCCCTTGTCTACCTCTAGGATGTCCTGCAATAGGACTAAAACCTTCCTCCCCTAATACTGGTTTCTCTCCCCAGTGATTATATTCCTCATTGTTAGTTCCACCTCCCAATTTAGCATTTTACCACCCCAAATGGCAACATCAAGTCAGTATTTTCCTCTGCACGTTCTATAGCCTTCAAACATTTCTGCCTTATACTACAAGGAGAAGAACATCTTTTCAAGGTTTTACCTCTATCTTTTTCAAGTGCTAATGTAAGTGGATCACTAGGAGCAAGATTAATACCACATTTCCTCTGCCACGCTGGGTGCTTCCTCAAAGTGAAAAATATATCTGCATATAACACTTCATTTAATTTTCCTTTTCTTCTTAAAAACAACATTAATTGTAACAATGTATTATAGTCCAGAGTTCCATTTACAGCCCATTTTTCCCCTTCATCGATTACAATATTTCATCAGATTATACCTAGTTGCAACTCCCCTTGGGGGTCCCCCGATTTGTTTCCAATGACTTAGGATGCATCCTAAGGAGGGTTTCCCCAACATTCCCCTTTTTGAAGGTACAGTACCCATATCACAATTTATAAACACAACCGAACCCCAATAAACTTAGAAATGACAAATGACCAAACTAAACCCAGTATCAATCTTGAACTCAAACACAGGTACCTTTAACGTCAGGACATCTCCTGGCATCTCACCAAGCGATAAACACAACCGGCGCCTCGAACCCCAAGTCTGGACACACAGTCATCACTTAACATGCTGGACCCCTGTATCAATTACTTGATACGCAAGACTTCTGCACATCTCACTTAAGTGATTATGACCAAAACCAGTGGGGTCGTGAACCCCAGGTAAAGAATGCCTTATACATTAAATTCCAGAGGGAACTTACTTCCATCCCAAAGTGGTCCAGGGATCTGAGGGTCTTCCCAAGAATCACTCGGTGCTGGTGTGAAGGTCCAGAGATCCCACGGAACTACGGGAGGCAAGTCTCACCTGCATTGCCAAAATGATACCGTGAAATCGGTCAAGAAAACCCTCTAAGACTTAATTTGAAGTTTTAGAAGGCAGGCATTCTTTATTGCAGCGCTGCAGCACTGGATGCAACACAGACTTGTGTCTCAAAAGCGTGCACACCAAACATCTCATCCAGCAAGGTTCATATTAACCTGTTACATACATATGCCTTCTGTTTCCTGGAACTCACTATAGTATCTGCATACGAATTACGCATGCACTTGCAGTCCTCAAGGGTCGTCTTCAGAGGTCCTTGGTGGTCTTGGTGGGCATGCACAGTGTGCCCTTGCTGGTCTTCTTACTCCGGTTTCTGACCACAAGTTCCTTTATTTCCTTTGTTAAACCCATTTTTACACCTTGCTGTCTTAAAGCAATGTCTATAATATCTTAATTTGCTGAGACAATGTCTGTAATATTCTGGTGTGCTTAGGCAATCATAAAACTGTCTCTAAATTCTTAAGTTTACAGTTTTTACTTTGGTACAATGTATCAATACTAGGAAACATTAACCTCTTTTTCCCACTTTAATAAGACAGTTGCAAAGATTAACATTGTGAAGCATCTTTTAGTAAACTGTTTTTATGTTTTTTCTCAATATATTTTTAAGGAACTAAGCCCATTTGGCTTTTCAGGTTAGGATCTTTTAACTTATGTAATTAAAAACTCTTAAAAAAATATGTAATTTGAGGATGCTAATAAAAATACCTGTAATACTGAACATATCTATGTATTTACTACACTACTTCTAGTATTTGCATACAGATCTACAGAGATTACCCTATACATAAGAAGTTAATTCCTCCTTCTAACATACTAAAATAGCATACTTCACAAAAAGAAGTAAAGAAATTGTATAGCCAGTACCACAAGCTTTAGCGTTAAAGTTCAAAGGAACACTTGTCACAAGATGAAGCATTTTTTCATTGCACTTTTCTGCAATATAGTCATGCACCCATTATCAGCGTCTAAACAAGTGAAATTAAGCCAGCAGCTGCTGGTCTGGTCCAATGACATCAATGTAGTGGTTTAGATTATTTCCACATTTTAAAATATCCAGGTCGCTTCAGAAGGAATCTGTTCCATCTTTACGGAATTTATTAACAACAGCTTGGATGGCAATAAGTGTGGCATAATGAACATCAGAACAAATCAGAACTTTCTAAAAATACTCTTTTGTTGTTGCATTATACTCTCAGATTCTAGGTTTTTATAAAGCCAATTTGCTATTCTGCATCATCCACTTCCGTAAAGATGTCACTGAAAAAATACTCAGAGATTCTGGTTGGCTCTTCTTCCTTCTGTTGTTCTTTAGCACAAAGAGGTGACTTGCCAGATGGCTTGTTACTTGGAACCTAATAGAAGAAGAAAAGGCTGCTCTTAACAGTCTTAATCTGTTTGTGTGTGTGAATATGTATATGTGTGTATATACATATGCACTTAAGCTTCCAAATTACAGAGGAAGTTTAGACAAAAAAAATCAAGAGTTTAATGAAAATGGGAAAAGAGTAGATACATGTGCAGAGTGAAAAAAAAAAACACCTTAGTTCCCTTATGTTTCCTAGACATGCACAAGTCAGGGTTTATTCACTGCAGAAGATATGTCCCTCAAAACTTAAATGCTATATGCCTACCCACCCACTTCTGAAACAACTAATTCACTCTTCTTCACATCTCAAAAATGCATGGGCACTCAAATATAAGCACATACCCTAACTGCAGCATCAGCAGCTACATTCTCATACTCCACAGATGATGATGTGCTTGTAGAGGTAAGGGAATGAGATTCCCTATCATTGTTAGTGGATGGAGTGGGCTTTTTTAGACTTCGCTTTGGAGTCACAATCCGAGGTTTCTGGATCTTCCCTTTATTTCCTTTGGTATCTTCTGCAGACTCAGAACTACTTTTTTTGCAAATTAAAGATAAAAATCCCAATGGTTTTCGTCCACCCCTGTTCAAAACAGATACAGGCAGGATGTCATAGGATTGCTCCATAAAAGGAAGATGTAAATAGTACTACAGGAGTCCAGTTCATTACACAGGAAACAAACACACACCTCTGAGATCTATGAAAATTCTAAGAAAAACAAACAAACAAAAAGTCATTCTGAGATAGGCTTTCGTATAACTGCATATTCCGACACGAGTTTTTCAAAGAGTTATAGAGACTCTTGACAATATCCAACCCTGAGAACAGGAACCCACTATTTGCTACTAAGCCAGAGCCTGTAACAAGCTACCATATCTTCAGAAAGAGATTCCAAGGTGGAATGGAGACATACTCCTAAAGAACGAACTGAAAAAGAGCATCTTTCATATAATCAATGGAAAAAAGAACCCACTTCCCAACAATGGGGCCACAGCAGACTATCTTAAAGACCAGAAAGAAGACTCTCTGCTGCAGGGTTTCAGTCTGTTAACATCATCATACCTAGTACCAGAGAACTTACAGAAGTCACAGTGATGAGGGAGGTACATAGAGTATTGAGTTTTCATGCTGTTAAGAGTTTACAACTTAGAAACTAAACTTTAAGACAAGGATTCTGATGTTAATACATAATTACCCAATTGCTGTGGATGACCCAGGTACAAAAAAGCAGTTTTGGTACCCATACAAGTATAATGAAAGAGTAAACGACAGGATCAGAAGAGACCAGTGGATCACCACAATAAAGATCAGTAAGTGCAAGAGCAATAGAAGCAGGAATTCAAACACTTAAACATTACAGAAAGGTATATTAAAAAAATCCACAGTCAAATGGGTAGATAAAAGGAATACCCTTTGAGCTGTCGAGAGTGAAACACCTTTGGGGAAATGATGCATCTTAAGTTAGTCCTAAAAATCTGGTGTGATGAGCGCTATACCAATAACAAATCTTACTGGCAGGACAAAAATCAAAACAAGTGGATGGGTGTATATATCACAACATTAGACTGAACTAAGGAAAAACAACAATTATCCTAAATCTGTGTCATAGCCAACAGATGTCTGCCTCACAAGAGGCATATGTCCGTGTCTAAATAGACATACCATGTAACAGTAATGTCCCTTGGTCAATCTGCTCATTTAATGAATAAAATAATTCAAATTTCAAAGCAGACAGTTTGATCCTTTCTAATTTGCTGAAAAGGATAGATACCGTAACTCTTAGCTATGTAGGTCACAGTGGTACTGCCCTTCTTGTAATAATAAGTGGAAAAAGGATATAAAACCCTCAATATGGAAACAGGGTCTTTTTCACAGAAAAGAATGACAAAACATTATTGCATAAATACCTGAGTAAAGGAGTTTTTGAAGATGATGCTAGGCTTCCAGTATGTTGCAACTGTCCAGATTCATGAACATCCCCCTGCTTTCCTTGTCCACTTATTTCTACTTTTCTGTTAGAGGTTAATCTAGACATCACTTCCTCTTCCTGTTTGGATGCTGAATTCTCAAGTGGTGTTTTCCCTAAGTTCTCCAAAGTCTCAAGCTGGCTTCTATCAGCCAGTGGTGACATAGACTCAGACACCAATGCAGAGGTAAGTACTTTTTCCTTTGCTGAAGCCTCTATGTTTTGAAAATTATTCCCTATAAAAGGAGTTGAGAAGCATTCAAGCACTTCAGTTACTTAACTTCAGCGATAACACAGCAGCACAAAAGACGTGTGTGATGTTAAAATGGCTTGCACTGTTACAAGAGAAAGGCTGAATTTTCTTTCAGTTTTTTTTTTTTTTATTTTATTTTTTGAAGTCACCACTAAGAACTGAAAGTTCACAATCTATTTTTAAAGTCTGTAAGATCCTACAGATGTTATGGGGAAAAGCAGATAGAAGTGTGATTTTACAGCACACACCCCCCTCAATCCTTTATAGAGCACCACAGAACTTAGTCAAGTCATCTAGCTGCTTAAGCTTCTGTAATTCCCCTTTAAAAATCTTTCAGTGACAAAAAGTATTTCTCCAAACCCTGTACAGGCTCAGATCACTAAGGATTGCATTGTCAGCAATTCTAATTTCCCTCTCATTCTTCAGAGGCAGATTAAGATTTCAAATAATTAAATTGTGCATATATTTTTTTAAAAGACAAATAAAAAATGAAAACAAATTATTCTGGCATAGTATGGTTAAAATACCAGTTAATACCTTTGGTTATTAGTGCTCTCCAACAGGTGGAAATATTTCCTTGAGAGAAGATATGTTTAGACCAAAAAGCCTCTCAAATTTCACAAGCAGACTAGCTACAGTGATGTTTTTAGAACCATTATTAAATTAACAGCCAGTTATGTAATCCAACACATCTAATTTATAACAGAAAAGATGGAATGGTGGTATTAGGATATTATCGAGAAAATTTGTTTCTACTTTCATGTTAGGTAGCCCCTCGGACAGGACTACTTGGCACAACAACCAGTATTAAACTGTGATGTATTAAGCATTTACATTCATTATACTTCTTTTTTCCAAGTTTAAGTTTACCTACCAGAAGCTATCATTGCACCATTTGTGGATTTAATCAAACAACCCTGTATTTAAAAAGAAAAAAAGAAGTTATTTCTCTATTTCTCTTAGTATAGAAGACACAATAAAAGTTCATAAAGTCACATCATGCATGTACAGTTCTTAGAACAGGACTGATACAGAAGACTACATCTTCAGTACAGTATAATTCATCACTTAACTCATTTCCTGAGCCGGCTTTTCAAGGTGTTCTTATGACAAATGACTCAACACAAGGATGTCAAGTTGAGAGATCAAAGAAGGAAGAGGATTTTTATCCAGTCCTTCCTAGAAAAGCCATCTGAATCATGTGGGGAATTATCGCCTGCTCCCTCATCCGGATACACTACACAGTCTTAGCCTACTCACAGAAACCTGTGGTAGTCACTGCCACAAGCTTGGTCATATTCTAAAGGCACGGAGGGAAGCTGGAAACATGCTGGCCAGTTTTTATTTGCAGCTTGTTCTTTTAAACTAATACTCACTATGTTAAAAAATGCTAGGAACATATCTAACAACTTCTTCATGTAACAGACACCATGATGAATTACAGCATTGTTCAGTGAACCTAGATAGTCTGCCAGTCATCCAGAGTTTCCCATCCTGCAATGTCATTGTCAGAAAGGGTGTGGTGAATGAACCACATAAACATGTTACCAGCTGGCCTATTAGGAAGCCTAACAAAAAAACCTGAGAGCCTACAGAGTCTCCAAAAAATTGATACAAAATCAACTACCTAAAAACTGTTGTAGAGTTCAAAATAAAAAGCCATCATGAGTGTTGATTTTCCTTTAAGTTGTACAGGCAGTATGTTTTTAAGCAAGTGACACTGTTAAGCAATGAACATAATTAAATGCTCTATTGCATGTTATGCATCTACACTGTGCATAAAGACTCACCAAGTTACGTTCTCACCTTATCAGTGGTTTCCAAGTTACCTTCCACGACAACAGTAGACAGAGTTTTCTTGGCAGGAGGAAAACAATTCTTTTCAAGTTCAGCAGCTGATCTTTTCTGACCTCTCTGCAAATTTGGAACAGGCTCTACTGATGCACTCTCTGGTTGTTTGGTTTCCATACTGCTGTTTAGAAATGCAGCAAATTCATCAGCTGCAGTTGTCGAGGATCCAGTGCTGTTTATATATAAAGTCATTACTATGACTGCACAAGCCAAAATTTACTTTGTATGACATTTCTGTATGGAAATTACACATGGATCTTTCTTACTTAATGTCAATATTAACTTCAAATGTACTATTTACTACTGAGAAACATTTTGTTGTGCTACCTTGGGTTAGAGAATCAAGTTATTCTAGTTATAACTGAATCTAGTTACTTTAGAAGCTGTTCTATTGAACTCCACTTGATATTTTCATAAAATATAAAAATGACAATCAATTAACTGCTCCAGAAAATCCTAAAATACAGTATTATTTATACGCACAGTTGAATCTTCATGCTCCCCTCCCCCAGTATAATCTCAAAAGACAGCAAGACTTTTAGACAAGCAGCAGAGGCTAGGGAACTAGGGTAAAGCAGTAAAGGAACAGTGAGACAGAAGACGTACCTTTACTATGCCTGCCAGCAATTCTGTCCATGATCAGTAGTTCCATAGGAGTTAGAATTCTTACATTGTGTAGCCAAAATTCACTCAAAGACTATCCTTTCATTAACTAAGGGAATGACATTAACATCTGATGTCACAGGGCAAGGTCTTCCATAATGATGTGGAATTACATCCCACCTCTAGTTATGATCTGAAGACTTATATTAATATGGTAATAGGGTTTTTTACAACTTTGCAACACTTTCTATTCTTCAGAATGTCTTTTTCCTTTGATGTTGGGCTTTTTCCTCCCAAACTGACCAGGAGATTTAGTTCAACTGTAATGCTGAAATAACAATTTTGTTGCATTGCTCTGAGGAGCAGTCCTTGTAAAAGAAACTCAAACCCTTTGTATTGCAGTACTGCAAACCAGCTATTATTCTGTTGAGTAATTTGTTTGCTTTTTCAGCAATTCTGCCTTCTGAACAGGGGACAAACTGGTGAGAATGATACCTGAATTTATGTCCACTGTTTATCATGTTCTCCAAAAGACCATCTACACTAAAAATCTGGAAGAGCAATTAATAAACAGTTACCTTACAAAACTGTTAAAGTACTGTAAAAATGAAACATGCTTAGGTTTTTCATTTCAATTACTTTTCATCCTAAGTATCCATGGTGGAATAGACTCAGGCTGGACAAATGACTTCTACTAAAAACAAGGACTTGCTTTAAAGAATAAATCAGTATTAAGACTGACACCAAAATCCCAACTAACTAAAACACTAACTTTAAACCACTTGATGAAATCTTTCTCAAGTCTGATTAGAGCCCTTTCCAGCTGCTTAATTCTCTGACCAGCCTGTCAAATTTTCTTTCTCTTGCATCTCTTCTTCTGAGTTTTAACCTGTAAACACCTTCAGGGAACAATCAAGGTTCACAAAAAGAGTTTCACTTTGCTCAAAAATAAAGCATTTACCTCTCCACTTCAGCCACTCTTGTTTCACTTGCATTTACTGGGCTGATGAGTATTGGAGCTGGTAGTAATGGTTCTGAAGTTTGTTCCAGCAAAGCAGATGCATCAAACTCTTTTGAATCAGATGGGATTTCCACCAATGTTAAAATGAATGTCTGTTCCTCCTCTGAACATCTATGATCATTGTTGACTGCTATAATTTTTTCAGGGAAATAAAGAAATAACAAAAACCTATTATTCAAGTTTGAAATTACACTGTTCTCTTCATGCCCTCCCTACCTTGAGTAATTAAATTTTAGGGACTCATTTCTCCATGGAAAAAGGCACTGGCGATATTCTTTAGGCAATACGCTTTCTTTATTCTTAGATGAGATACACATCATCACCCCTTGGAGCCTATCATCGCAATAGAGTCCTGATTACCATTCAGAGCAAAGAATATTAAAAAAGCCTAATAGGGATGGAACTTTTTGAATGTGTATTTCAGCACTAAAGAACAGTTTGCAGTTTGATTAAACTTGTGTAATGGTGGTCAAATGACCCTCTGTCTTTAACTGCAACTGTCAGGTATTAAGAGTTAGTTCTTTAAATGGCAGGAGTCTGCCATTTTGAGGGCAAACATCAGGGCTTTTCCCCTCATTGCCAACTTGCATAAGAGAACATGAGAAATATAGTCTTGAATTTAATAAATGAAAACTATAAGTAATTTAGTCAACAGTTGGGACTGTCACAGTTTACACCCAGCTGACAGCCAAACACCACCACTCGCTCACCCTCCCCCACCCCAGGGAATGGCGGAGAGAATTGAAGGGGTAAAGGTTAAGGAGACTTGTAAGTTGAGATTAAAATAATTTACTAATTGAAATGAAAAATTAATATTACTACTACTACTACTAATATACAAATAAGTGATCCCAAAAATGCAGTTCCAGAAGAGAGGCCCAGCTTCCCAGCCAAGCTTTACATACTGAACAGGTCATTACATGCTATAGAATAATTCATTGGCTAATTTGGGTCCAGTGCTCTGACCCTGATCTCTCCCAGATTCTTGTGCATCTGCACATTGGCAGGACATAGGAAGATGAAAGTCCTCGATTTCTTATAAACAACATTCTTCTCATACCAAATCCCATACTGAATCCAAAACACAGCACTATTTTAGCTACTAAGGAGGAAAATAAGCTCTATCCCAGCTGAAACCAGGACACAGACATTAACAGATAACTGCCAACTGCCATCCATTAGAATGAATTTAAGGAGAGAACATTTGTAAAGTTTTCAAAAGATGGAAAACAGTGCCGCTCCATTACTTAAGACAGCTCTCATGCTTGATGATGTAAAGCTGCTGTTATTCCAACCTCAACTCAATTTGTTTCTTTATCTAATTAAAGATGATTTAGGATGCTCCATCCCAAGATCCTTGTAATAACAGAGCATAACAACAGATGTCTACAAAGAAGTATTAGCCCTATTTTTTACACATGCTCAGGATTTACAACTTTGGACTGCAGTTTCCATGCAAAGTAAGTATTCTGGGCTTTTGACACAGTGATTATCCCATACCTTACACAAGTATTGGTTCCAAACCAGCTCCATTTCAACTGGTTTTAGGGAAAAGCAGCCATCACCTTCATACCTTTTATTACATCTAATCAGTTAGGAATTAATCTGCTGACTCACTACAGCTACAGAGGGAAGTATGGTTGTCATCATCTTTTTTCTTCCCTTCTTCTTCTTTCTCCCCTGCTCCACACTTGCACAGTCCAAACCTCCTACTCACACAACTCTGACATTGGTATTCACTCGACATCATGCGCCACTGTAGCTCACTAAGCCCGTGGAAAACTACACAGGTTCTCTCCCTCTGTTATGTTCAACTTTTGACAGATAAGTGAGTCAGAGGCTCATAAAGGGCTCTAACCTAGCTAAACCTAGTACAAGGTAAGCAGCAGGAGATCACAGCAGGGAGGAGAGAGCAAGTTTCCTTTCTACTGATACTTAAACTTAATGAAATGCCATTCAAAAAAGTTCTCAAGTCTAGTTTGTGTTAATGAGATGTAATAAGAGGCTAGGGAGGGGAATGGCACTGTGCTTCCGGTCACTGTTTTTGTTAATGAAATAGATTGAGTAATAATTTCAATGAAAACTTTTAAATTATTTTATATTCATTTTTGCATAACCACAAGATACACAAGTGTGGGCTTTTGCTAACTTAGAATGTTAGCACATTATACCTGAAGACTCTTCTGTACTGCTTACATATTGTTGAGCATCCTGAGCACAAGCTTCATTCTAGAAATAACACATTTGAAATAAAACAAGTTAGTAAAGCTAAGAAATAACTCTAGAAAACAGGAAAGAAACAAAGCATTTCAAATGCTGAAGAGCCCAAAAATCTTGTTACATCATCATAATTGCATTTGTAAGCTTTTACTTCTAGCTATTCTAGGTTGAAGGATATTAGCCCGCCAAGGACAAGAGACACTTGGGCAATATAAAATTTACATGTAGCTCATAGTCTGTATTGATGGGTTGTCAAATCAAAACAAATTTATACTTCCTATCGCATAACTCTGTCAGAGATGACTCACACTATAAACTGCTCAGTGGCACTAAAAAAAACAAATTGCCCCAAACATTACAAAACCACTGAGTGCCAAAGAAAAACACCAAGCTCTTCAACTCATCTATCTCTTCCCTTTTATGGCACATACCTTTGCTAAAAACAGGAATACTCTATTGCAAATTGCCTCTTCTCACACTCTCTGCCAGCCCTGTAAGAGCCTAATCATTCTTGTACCTGGTTCCAACATGAGATCAGCCTTGACATATTAACAGGTTGCACTGGGGAAACAAGCTACTATCCATCAGCTGTTCCACTGTAACTGCGTGTACCTGTTCTCAAGCAACACTAGAAAACCTGAGGGAACTGAGAATAAACCTTTCTCTTGTAAAAAAATAAGATACTTCTAGTTTATACCAAAACAGGGATACACAAACCACTGCAAAGAAATGGATACGAAACACATGTATGTATTATTATACAAACAGTATAAAACTCTTAACTAGGTTTTGAAATAAATGGGAAAGAGTACAGCAAAGGATGAAGTTTGTTTCAAACAAAGCAAATTAAGTTGACAATGAAAATTCTGCATCCAGCAGTGACATTTTAACTTAATTTTATTTGAAACAAATATAACAGTAGGAGGTCAGACTGAATGAATACACAAGTCCTAGGTAACTTCTTCCATCAAAACTCTTTTAAAAATTGCTCAAAATTTTGCTTATATATATATATCACTTACTGCTGAAATGCTATCAACTGAGGCTTGCAAAGATTATGTTTGTTTGAAAGATTAAGTTTGGTTATGCCTTTGCAAAAAGGAAAGTTTCGTTCACCAGCTGAAGTACCAGGTCTTTCAAATGAGTGAGTACATTTGCACTGAAAACTTCTTCTTTACAGAATTTCAGAAACTGGGCACTTCTAGACTGTAATTAAATTAAGTTCATTACCTGAGTAAAGTTGATTGTGCATATATTGTGCTCAGGAGGAAAAGGATTTTGCTGATGACATTCATCCGCAGAACTTTGACTTGCACAATCATCTAGTCCAAGGTGAGATTTTTCACGTTTTGGTGATGCAGTTACAGGTCTTAAGTCTTCAGAATTTCCACAAGTGTCTCTCATATTTTTCTCTGTTCTGTAAGGTAAGTATCTAGTTAATTTGAAAACAATTGAAGATACCCTGTGCATGGGCTAAATTCTGTAAAATTATTTAATATGAATCTTATGTAGTTACAGAGAAACAGGGCACTTGTTTAAAAATGACATCATGCTACTAAACAGAATGCACAGTCTGCAAACAAGTCTACATAAAGTATTTCAGGAAAAAGCTTCCCTAACATCACTAACTGAGACTTTACCACTGGAAGCATGACCAGGCAGGAAGCCCTACAATCTCATTAACATTTCCAAATTGATCAGTTCTTTAACAATTCCTTTCAAATGCAGTTTCATGGGAGACAATTAAGCAGCAAGGTCATTACTAAGTTCTGACACGGCAAACATAAGTTAATGTTTTACCTCCAAAAACTGTATGAGAAAAACCCTAAAAGTCTAAACTGTACACTTATGTGCATAAACACACACAATATCTGTTAGCACACTGTTTCCATCACAGACACATACTATACATGCACTTCAGCTGCGTATTTTAAGAGAGTTTAGGAATAAAGTCAGTATTAGCTGATGATTCTTCCTACCTCTCAGTTTTGTCTACTTGCTTGGTAAATTCCATACTTCTAGAGGCCGAATCATGAAGAACTGAAGAATCACCTGCACCTGGTCTGACCTGTTCTAGTTCCAACTTCTGCATTTCTGCAGTACCTCTCAGGATTGCACACTCTAAGATATATAAGAATAAAAATGAAAATAAATTTGTGTGTGTGTATGTATATGCATATTATTTTTACATAAGCTTTTGTACATTAAAATGTATATATATGTAGATGTGTATATACAAACACACTAAAAATAACAGTTCTGCTACATATGTACACATGTATATTTGTATGTCTTTTATAAATAAGACATAGGCACATATCTCATCTTGCCTTTGGTATGTTGTGCATTCTGCCAATGATATGAAGATAATTAAGAGGTTGAAGACCACCTTTTTTTGTAACTGCTTTAAGAATACCAAAACAAATCTGCATAACTCCCCTTCTAGTTTTAATGGAAGGTAAGGACAGTATAAATAGAAAAAAGTACACTGCATCACATTGAATTTCCATAATTGACAGTCCAGTAATTTAAGGGCTTTCCAGGTAATATAAGACCTGCATAGAAAAACTGCTATTCAGATTTAAATTAACTTTATACTGAAAGTTATACTTATGTACAAAACTATACCACAAATGGATGCCCTACATTACTGTGGTGACGCGTCATCTGTGAATATAAAGTGAAGACTTTCAGTTTAGTTTCATTACATAAAGAGATGTGAATCCATCAGAAGAAACCATTTTCAGAACTACAGGATAAGAAACAGGCTTACCACTTTGAACTTGCTCTAGTTGTTCTGTAAATACAGTTGTATTAAGTGACTTCTGAATTGCGTTTTCATTGGACCTAGATATTCCAAAGGATTGCTCAGGCTTCAGGAGTCTGCCTGTTGTCAGTCTCATACTGTTCACTGCAGGCAAAGAGCTATCACTGCAAGTAAAAAGGAAAAATGCCATCAATATAGCTTTTTATTTTTGACAGTTAGTGTAGATAAGAGAGGTGGAGTAGATAAGACAGTGAAAAGATGAAATACAGGCTGCACCTGGCAGAGACGGAATGCTGTTTGGCAGAACAAAAAATAAAGATCATCTGGGAATTGGAACAGGCATGTATATTGCAAACCAGGATGTTCCCTACTTACAGAAAAAAAATAATAATTGAAATACTTAAAAAACATGAGATCAGAAATCTAACACCGATCACATGGTAGTAAGTTCTTCTTAATAATATAATAAAAGAAACACTGGACTTAAAATATCTTTCGGAGGAATATAATATATGGAAATAAAAGAAATAAAGGAAAATAAAATCTTTCAGAGGAGTACAATCTGATTGTTCAAGCAATTGACAAGTTAAATAGTCTTTCAAATAATACATGATCACCAGCAGATTCTGAAAAGCTGTTTCAACATTCATAAATGCTCGAACAAAATTAAAAACTGTAATGATATAAGATCAACCAGTTCCTTGACATCCCTTTGCTCTAAATCTTTTGATCTATGTTCCACAGCAGCAGTGACACTTAAGCAATTTGCCTTGGCCTACCTACCTAGCTGTAAAGTACTTTGGGAAAATGAGATTGGTAATGAACAGTAATCCATACCAACTAAATCCAAATACTCTTTTCTCCCCCACCAGGGTAAACTACAGGAGTGAAGAATAAGTTCTACATCCCCAAAACTATATACCAACATCTCACAAAAGTCCTAAGAAAGAGACAGAAGGGGTTTTCCAGATTACATACTGAATTACAAAGATTAAGAAACCTTTGCTAAAGCAGGACTGCTTGAAATTCAATTAAAATGCCAGAAAGAACCTAGAGAAAATAAGCAGTGTCAGACGATCTCTCTCCCTACAGAAAATTAAGCAGTAACTTAACCTGGTATCTGTAGCATTTTTCTCAAAATATTCTTCGACACCTATTCTTGTGCCAGTGCTTTGATCCTCAACGTTAATGTTGCTTTCATCCTCAGAAATGGCCAATTCCTTGGTAGAAGTGTCTGAAGAAAGTAAATACTGACAAGAGGTTCTATTTTGTTTGGAGTAGGTGTGGGTTACAAGGCTATTGGCCATGTTCAACTCATCTTGAGCAGGTAACATGTGCGTCCATTCTGGTTAGAATAATAAATAGAATAGAAAAGCATAATTTAAAAAACTCAGGTTTGGCATGTACATAAAGCTATTTTACAGAAGTTCAACTTCAAACCTCATTTAACAAAGTCTGCATGTGCCAAACGTGCAAGTTAAGATCCCAGGTAAATGCAGTCCTAAGATCACACTTTTGATAGTAAGAATACAGAAACTAAAATTAAGCCAATGAAAGCAGAAAATAAATTCTAAATAAAAGTCTATAAAAAACTAGACTAAACCCAGATAATTTCAGGTTGTAGCCAGTTAGGTGGAAAAAGCTATGCTTCACATTAAAGGCCTGAAAAGATCACTGATAATTATGGTCATTTAAGACTAATTCCTTTCTTTTGTCCAATCTATGTGATCAGATTAATTCAAACATCTCCTTCCTAAAACAGGTCTCAAACATCTTTCTAGCCCGGTGACGCAGTTGGCAGTATCCAGTAAGGTGCATTATTTCTTCCAGCCAAACTCCACTGCCCAGTCTGACTATGTTAGCATTCAGCAGGACTAAAAGCATAAAAGACTTGACTTTTTACTATGCAGCAGCATGTGGAAGAGCTTTGCAGCCACTGTTCCATCTCTCCTTAGGTGGACCCAGAAAGTATATGCAAGGCTTTGTCCTATAAATTAGATCATACCTTCAGTGTTTGTTTTTAACTGGAACATTGGATCGCCCATTGCAAGTAAAGTCATGGCAGCTTCAGTACTCCCATCATTAATTCCTGCAAAGTTGTACACACACATTAGAAGTCACAAGCATATTAACCAGAAATCTATTTATCCAAATACAAAAAGCATTTGACACTATCATCAATACAGTGAAGTATGTATTTTTTAAAATTGGTGCCATTCATTGATCAGGATGCTTGTAAACAGCAATTCTCATCCACTAAATTCAAACTACTGTAAAAACACTGAGCAGCAACATTACTCCCTTTAATGGTGTACTGGGTACAGGTGGCAAGTTGTTGGCAGCAACAGGGCTGCCCTGGACACAGACAGTTCCAACTAACCCACCGCAGGACACAGTTGAGCCTGTCATCCAAAGTGGTGGCACCTTTGGGAAACATATTTAAAGTGAAAATGTTGCACACCAGTGAAGAGTGAGGAGAAAAAGTGTCAGAAACAACCCTGCAAACACCAAGGTTGGTAATCAAGGAGGGGGAGGAGGTGCTCCATGGATGGCAGCAGAGATTCCCCTTCAACTTATGCAGGGGACCTTGGTGGAGCAGGCAGATAGTCCCTGAAGCAACTGCACCCTATAGAGGACCCATGGTGGGGCAGACTTATCGTGAAGGACTGTACCCCATAGGAAGGATACCATACTGCAACAGTTTGTTAAGGACTGTATCCCATGGGAAATGCCTCATGCTGGAGCAGGGGAAGAGCATGAAGAATTAAGTGTTAGGAACTGACTGCAACGCCCATCCCCTGTCCCCCTGCGCCACATGGGGGGAAGAAACAGAGAAGTGGGAAATGATGGTGTGAAGCTGAGCCCAAGAAGGTGGGGAGGGAAAGTGTTTCAGTTTTTGTCTTTGTTTCTCACCATCCTACTCTATTTTATTTGGCAATAGACTAAATTAGTTTTCCCCAAATTGAGTCTGTTTTGGTAAATGATGTTGTCTTTATCCCAATATAGGAGTGTTTCCATTTTATTTTCTCCCCTCCTACTGTTAAGGAAGAGGAGTGGGCATCTTGCAGCCAGCCAAGGTCAGTCCACCACAAATGGAAAAGAAAGAGCTAACAGTTTAATCACAGAAATCCATAACCCATTTCATTGATCCATATCCCAGTTTAGATTACTGATTCCTAATCTCTACCCAGAATACATCCCCTTGCCTATCACTGCAACTGGTCACATGCAACAAAACATTTCCATCCTCTAAAGCTATTAATAAATTAAAAGAACACAGTAGGCTTCCCCTCCTTCAACTAAAGCAGTAGCCCACTCAATTTCTAGTCCTTCCTAGAAAAATGCATTGAGTATGTATTTAAATTTAAAAGTGAAAGATATTGTAAAAATTAATAGATCTGTAAGAGTTTGTAACATATTTCACATGGAAAGACTATTTGCTTCTGGAAGACGATGATCACAGTCTGTCACACATGCTATTTTACCAGTTTAGGATATTAGTGTCAGACACCAAAGAGATGGCAAAGATGTGATTCCACCCACTCTTTTTATTACTCAGTCACACATCAAGCAAGCTGCAAAAAAGCACTTACAAATTTTCCTCTTCTCCCAGGATAACTAACCACAGCATGGGAAAGTGATAGATGGGACACACAACAGGCACATTCTGACCCTGAGAAACAGAACCTTGCAATGCTTGGTCCCCCTCCTTGATTGAGAACGCTAAGAAAGAAAATGGTTTAAATGTCCTCCAAAACATAAAATCATCCAATAGCTCATGAGCAGTTTTTTTGGTAAGATAGATAAACCTCCAAACTTCCACCAAGAATAACTACATATTGGTAGCAAGTTAACTTGAACAAGATTGTTTTGTATCTACCTTTGTCCACCTCTGGATTTCCATGTATGGTTGTTTCCTTAAATAAAATTAAAAAGAAAACAGTATCAAAGTTCTATGTAAAATGAGTCCACAACTTTAATTGAATGCTTCTGGGTAAATTACTTCAAAGTAAGTTTTCCCATACTTCTGTCCCTCGTATCTGTGTGGGACAGGTAAGAGTCTATACAAGCAGACATGGCAACCACACACTGTCCACACACCTTTGTCTGTACTATGAAACAAAACAAACAAAAGGAAGACATTCTTACAGCTGTTGAGATGCTTATTTTTTCCTTCCTCTGTACCACTAGCTGGGCAGATGCATGAGAGAGACTTTCAACATCAGTAGACACCTGCACATCTGGTATATTCATAGGTATTTCCAGCTGCAAAAATAATTTTTAAAGTATTCCATTTCATCAGCCCGAAAAGAAAATCTGTCAAATGCAGATTTTTATAAACCACATATACTTACCAAATCTTGAACATTTAGTGGCATCCTTCCCAAAAAGCAAGTCTTATACTACGTACCTTCTGATTTAAGAAGGCAGCAGTTGTATGAACTGGAGGCAGAACTGGTAGTGTTGCTTGTAACTAACTGGAAGCATCAGACAACCTACAACCTTGTTTCTAGTTGTTTATTACCCCAACAAACTAAGTCATGCATCTGAGATCTTTCATGGTGGCAGTTTACCTCAAAAGGGTTTTGTTAGTTTCCACACTTTTTCTGCTTTTTAAGCCTCCGCAAAAGAAAAACAGTTCAGCCTTTTTCCAAACTAAGACTAGGGAATATACCCATTCACACACAGCCACCCACCATTTCACCTACTTCTTTAATATTGTGTTTTTGTTGAGAACTTCAGACATTCAACATTTTCAGAAACAAGGATTTGAAATTTGCATAAAAATTACAATATTTCCAGTCAGGCTCTTATGAAAAACATGGCTCTATCTGAGTAGCTTTCAAAGGCTTGCACTCTTACAGATACTTTCCACTTATTTAAATTTGCCAACAGCTGAGTCCTTGGGTATCTAACCATATCCCTTACTAGTACTCATGGCTCCTGTGTGGTAAACCAGGAAATTTGATCATCATTCCCACACATAATATATTTGAAATTAAGGGATTCAGCAAAACTTTCTGTGCAACAACTTTGCTGTCCATTATTGTCCATTATATCTCCCTTGCTGTTTTGACCGAGCTTTAAATTGTCTTGCTGTTTCACTCAGAGAAAGAAACAGTGTGATTAATTCAGCAGACAAAAAAGCAGGATTTTAATGGAAAAAGAGAGGAAGATGACTAGTAGCAGTAAGCAAAAAGAATTTGAATGAATGGAAAGAAGTAGTGATGAAGATCTGAGGCATGAATGGAACAGGCTGGATAAACAGATTTGGAACAAACTAAAAGTGGAAAAAATGAGCTGTGAAGACACACCAATGAGATAAGACAGGCTAGAAGGGACAAAAAAAGCAAAGAAGTCATGTTGAATGATAGCGGGGGGAAAAAATAGAAAAACGTCTAAACCTTTGAGCACAATCCCATTCAAGGCCTTGAAGAGAGTCCACTGTTCCCAAACCTCAACCAACAGTTCCCTGATGACAAAAAAGTATGCTATTTCCTCTCTACTGACTGGTCTTAGCAGATCTGATAACAAGTCTTGCTACAGTCTTACAGTCCTGAGTTTTACTGTAGTATGTGTACAATTAAAACATAGGCCTGCATTCTAGGCTTAAAGTTTTCAACTCTACAAATGGTCTGTGGAAGAGTCAAAACATACAGCTTTTGAAAAAAATGAACAAAGATGTAGATGGTCTCTCACTGACAGCAGTGGTGACTGAGGCCCATGGATCTCTCCATGTCAGACAGAGCAGAAACATCCCTGAATGGACTGCAGCCCATGGAGGACCCACACTGGAGAACGGGCAAGGAATAGAGTCTACACTGTCTGCAATGTCAAACTCTATAGCCTGAATCAGAGACAAGGGCTGAAGCTTTCAGTGGATACACATTTAAAATTTTTTTGACCCATTATTTGAGTTGTATGCTATAGTAAGTACTATAGCAAGAGCAACATGAATCAAGAGAAAACAAGCCTCAGAAGAAACCAGGCAAGTGCAGCGGTGACCAAACTGAGCTGGCTTTGGTGCCCAAAAACTCAACACGACATGCCGCCTCTTCTGAGCAACCACAGAACATATGGAACCCAAGGCACAGACCTAACTCAGAGGACCCTTGGTAGACACTTTAAGGAGATGGCCCACAGACCAAGGGAATGACATCCATGTATACATCAAAGGACAGGAAGAAAATCTGTAGTCAGCAAGGATGAACTGGATAGTGTAGGACCTGAGCATGACAAATGTCATGAAATAAAGGGTGAAAATAGTACTAGGCATGGATGGGATGAAGTCAATTTTCTTCATAGTAGCCCACATAGTGCTGTGTTTTGGATTTATGACTGCAACAGTGTTGATAATACAGCAGTATTTTTGCTGTTGCCTGACAGTCAAAGCTGTTGTTTTCCTCCTTTGCCCCAGCAAGTAGGTTGGGTGTAGGCAAGAGGTCATAAGAGCACACAGCTGGGACAGCCAACCCAAACTGAACTATGGGATATTCCATATCATATGATGTCATGCTCAGCAATAAAAGCTCAGGGAAAGGAGGAGGAAGAGAAGGGCATTTGTGGTTATGGCATTTGTTTTCCAAAGTAACTCTTATTCAGGCTGAGGCCCCGCTTTCTAGGAAGTGACCTGCCAATGGAAAATAGTCAATAAATTCCTTATTTTGCTTTGCTTTCACATGCAGTTTTTGCTTCACCTACTGACTGGTCTTTATATCAATCCATAAGTCTTCTTATCTTCCCTCTATTTTCCCCTTGTCCCACAGGAGATGGGAGTGAGCAAGCAGCTCTTTGTGTGCCTGGCTGCTGGTCAGGGTCAGTCCATCACACAATTAAAGTTTCTTGGCAAGAGAGACACAACATTTAAGAACATTTCCCTAATTCCCTCATTTCCTAACATTCCATTGTAAAACTCAAATGCTCCATTTGTTCCATCTTGGGCCCCAAAACACATAGTAAGCATGGTAGACTGTGCTTACATTCAATCCCAATAAACTGCTGACCATCAGGCAGACCTATATACAGTCTGTAAACGTAACTGGACCTTAGACTGATGTCATATTCTGTTCAAAACCAAGAACATGTGTCAAGTAACGTTCCTGCTACTCTTAGCGCTGTTCTTAACGAAAGAAACTAAATTGGGATAAAACCCAAGTATTTGGAGATGCAATTAGAATAAAACCTATTTAACCAAACAAAACAAAAGTACATAGTAGAACCCCGCTACATGATACCTCCTCCATGGTTTCTTCTATCTGAACAGGAGTGGGTTTTGGAGATCGAAGACCTATAGGAACAAACACTGGAGCTTTGTTTACTTCCTCTGGTGCAAAGCGTTCATCTTCATCATCAGGCTCAAAGTCATCTGACGCCTCCTCCTCCTCCTCTTGAGAAGCCCAGAGCGTCACCAAGCTTATCTCTGAACTTCTGTGCTCCTTCCCAGATTTCTTTCTATGCGTAGTTTTCAAACTTTTGCCTCTAGAAACACTCAATTCAACTTCTTGCCTTTGATTGGCCTTCTCACTGCAATTAGCCTCACATTTGGAGGCAGAAGAAGCAGCAGTTCTTAGGTCCAAGACATGTTTTGGCAGCGCTACCCATTCTGATGACCTTCTGGACTGCCTTCTAAAGCACAGAACAAAAGCATGATTAGAAAATAATGAAATCCAAGACATTCCAAGAAAAGGGGTACCACAAATCAAAACAAACTCAATGAATAAAAACAGATCATTGTCACCAACAACACAATCTATTTACCTCCTAACATATAGTGACAAAAATACCATTTACCATTTAATCAGAAATCCTAATTTCTTTACATGTGCACAAAGTACTGATTGTAAATATGTATTAAGCAGTTTCAGAGTGTTGGAAAGCTGCACAATTAAATCTAAAAGATACAGAATTCTTTGACTAGTAAAGCATGAATTAATTTTCATTTTGAGGGATGTGAGACTCACATAGTTTTTACATCATGGAAACATTTCCAGGTCTCTTGTGCTAAAGCTATACTAAGAGCCCCAAACTATGATACTTTAGTTGATTAGACTGATGTCTAGAAACTAGAACTGTTAGACGATAATTAGTTATCTGCTTCGGTTTCTCAGACAGAAATTTTCAATAATCAGCTGCTTATTGTTTCCATGCTCAAAATGATGGGCATGATCACTTTGGGTACCATGTGATTCCAAATTTCCCCTTACAAACATCCTCCTTGATAAACTAGTGGAGAGGGGAAACAAAGAGCAGCAGAGGACACTTCCAGCACACCACTTCTGTTTAGATTAATCCCACATTCCCTGTACCCCCCGATATGGGTACTTCAAAGTCCTCCCCTTTAAAATCAGGAATTCCTGTTTAAACCAAAGGCAGACCCTGGCATGGGTTGGTGGGAGTGCTGGCTGTGTTCATTTTATAAGAGTGTAGGCAGGGTAAGAGACGTAGGGTTATCTCTATGCATCTGGTAGAGTTCAGATGGAAGGCACAAGGACTGACATCCTGCATGCACTCACATTAACACACTGCAGAACTATGGCTAATAACTACGTTTTTGAAACAAAAGCCAAAACCAATCAGTTGAGCTTACAAGCTGAAACTAGTCGTTTTACCTTGTGAGATTGTCTGAATTTTTTTCCTGAGAGGTAGAAAGCTGAGAATCATCTTCTTCTTCTACTTGACTCTCTGATGATACCTCTGGAGACTGAAGTCTACTATCCTGCTTGATTCTTTTACAAGATGTTTCTTCAACAGAGTCTGTAAAACTGTGTTTTCTTGTAGCCTCTGAGAAGGATGCAGCTTCCACTGTGTTACTAGAGTTTTGCTGAGCAGAGGAGACAATTACTACTGTATTAAGAGCCAAACATTTTAAACTGGTTTCAGTGACAAAAAGATTAAAAGAACTAAGTTTGAGGTTCTTGAAAACATGCTCAGCTGTCATCTTTGATAGCTTAGGACATTTTTCCTCATTTTTTTTTAATTTCGGGCCCTAAAGCAGAAGTGTCATTAGATGGTATTATCTATGATGCCTGAGTTTCCAGTGTTGCTGCTAGCTAATAGACCAAGACCATGCTCAACTTATCAAGGGCAGCAACTCTTCATGAGCTGGAAAGATGAATCATTTTCTAAAACTGCCTATTAATTTATAGAACAATTTAAGGGAAATAAAAATTATTTCTTCTGTCCTGGGAACAAGCTAGGAAGAAAAAACTACCACAGTTTACAGAACAGCATTTAAATATTATTCAAAACACACACACACAGAAACATCCCAGAACAGAGAAAACATCAGCAAGCACAGTTCTGGATATCTAGCTAAAACATGTTAACTAAAAGATTTTAGTGATCCATCTAGAAAATAAGGAAAACCAGATAAACTTGATTCAGATTTCACAGCTTTAGATAAAGAATTAGTTTGGGCTAGGTTAGGCCTGCTGAGCAAATTTAAGCAGAAGAAGGTCTGAACTCTGTTCACCTACATTTCAACTTATAGGTATACTTTTATGGATTTCAGCTAGTACTTGATGTTAGACAACTGCCTTAATTTTTGTTGTTCAATGAATAACAGACAATGTTAGCATGTATTTATGATAATACAGACTTCCGACCATATAAACAGTAAACTTTAAAACAACAGTGTACATTAAATATTTCAGTTTTTAGATCCTAAGTCCATCTACTCAGCATCATTTTAAATAGTGAATGAAAAAAATTTGAAGAATCATGTTAACCTTTCCCAGCCATATACTGGATTTCTGTGCCATCTATGCTTCTATACACAAGAACTAAGGTATAAATTGGCTCAAAATACATGATCAGCACTCACCATTGATACACTTGTTTTTGCTAACACCAAATATTCTTCCCCATTTCTATTCTCAGCCTCATCCTCTTCTCTGTTTTCACCTTCTTCAGGATAATATCTTTTTCTAGTAACTCTCATAAGGTTTGGCTCTGGGTTCCAGTGGGGTTCCCTTCCTTGATGCAAAGGTTTTGTATCACTCTGTTTACTTTCTTCTCCAGAACTTATTTTATCATTGGACCTACAAAAATATTTTGCAACTTTTACTTCTCAGGAACTACAAAATACTCCCTATGAGCGTGGCTTACTATCAAATATTAAGTCAATTTCTACCTGGAATTACTGAAGTGTCCTGCATTTTTATTTAGTTAGTTGGTGAAGTTTAAAAAAACATAAAAAAAAACAATGTGAAAAGGAGGTAATTTGCCTTTCTGCAGTATTGAACCCTTCTGATTACTTTTAGGAAAACAACATTAAGAAGTCAGGTAGAGCAGAAAGTTTCAGTATACCACACCATAGGTCCCCCAAATTAAGTAACCATATGAACATTATATTCATTAATTCCAGTGGTCAAGGTACTACTGCTTTTGAACAAGATGAAAATTCTTATACCTGTTCAAGCACATTCAGATCAGTAAAACAGGTATCTTGGGCTTTTAAACTCATATGTTGGGAAAGGGCAAGAAGTGGGATCTAGGGAACTACAGGCCAGTCAGCCTCATATCAGTCCCTGTGAAGGTCATGGAACAACTAATCCTGGAAATCACTTCCAGACACATGAAAAACAAGGTGACTTGGAGTAGTCAGCATGAATTCACAATGGAGAAGGCATACGTAACCAATCTGACACCCTTTTATGATGAAAGGACTGGCACTACTTCCTCTAATATTCTCATGGAGGAGCTTATGAATTATTGGCTGGATGAGCAGCAAGAAGGTGCACTGAAAATTGATTGAATGGCCAGGCTCAGAGGTTGATTAGTGGCAGGAAGTCTAGCTGGAGGTCAGTAACTATGAGTGTACCCTATGGCTCAGTACTGTTTTCAACCCTGTTCAACATCTTTGTTAATGATCTGGATGATGGGGCAGGGTGTGCCCTCAAGTTTACAGATGACTCAGAACTGGGAGAAGTGGCTAATAACACCAGAGCATCATGCTGCCAACCAGAAGAACCTGGGCAGGCTGGAGAAATGGGCTGACAGGAACCTCATGAACTTCAGCAGTATAAAGTGCAAAGTCCTGTACCTGGGGAGGAACAACCCCAGGCACCAGTACGTGGTGGGAGCCACCCAGATGGAAAGCAGCTTTGCAGAAAAGAACCTGGGTGTCCTGATGGGCACCAAGTTCAGCATGAGCCAGTGATGTGCCCTGGCTGCAAAAAAGGCTAACAGTATCCTGAGCTGCATTAGGAGAAGCATTGCCAGCAGGTTGAGGGAGGTGATCCTTTCCCCCTGTTCAGCACTGGTGAGGCCACACCTGGAGTACCGTGCTGGAACACCCTGAACTGGTCACAGGAGAGGCGTGGACACGCTGGATAGAGTCCAGCAAAGGGCTATCAATGGTCAAGGGGCAGAAGCATCTCTCCTATGATGAAAGGCTGAAAAGAGAGCCTTCAGTTCAGCCTGGAGAAAGAGAAGGCTTGGTGGGAGTGGGTGGGGAAATCTCCTCAATGTATATAAATACCTGAAGGGAGGATATAAAGACAGGTGGATCCAGGCTTTTGCCAGTGGAGCCCAGTGACAGGACAAGAGATAATGGGCACAAAATGAAACACAGGAGGTTCCTTCTGAACATCAGGAAATACTATTTCACCGTCAGGGTGACCAAGCACAGGCACAGGTTACCCTGAGAGACTGTGGAGTCTCCATCCCCGGCAATATTCAGAGGTCATCTGGATGTGGTACTGGGCAACCATCTCTAGGTGGCCCTGCTGGTGCAGGGGGGTTGGGCCAGGTGACCTCCAAAGGTCCCTTCCAACCTCAATCACTTTGTAAAATTCTGCCATCACAGAAGCTAAGAAGACCGTAAGGCAGGCCCTTGTCATGTTAGCACACAGACTCTGGGATATGATTTCAACATAAGTCATGGAAGAGATTTTAAGCAGAGGCTCAGAGACAGATGGGAACCAGAGGCTAATTTTAGAAAACAGCAAAAGTAAATTGATTTGAGGCTGCTCAGTATCAGTTAAAATTGAGCAAAAGGTAGCTTATAACATAACCCAGAACTGTTACATGTAAATAGCACTATCTGCCTCATACTGCACATACATAAAAAGCTTCCCCTTTCTAAAAAGAAAAACAGACTTGAGAAAAACTCTGTTAAAAACTCTTATACTATCTAAGAATGCCACCTAGTGACCCTCACAGCATGTAGAATATAACAACTAGTACAACTCAGAGCCTACACTTCAAAAACCAAGTGCTGTATGGAAACAACTGGATAAATACACAATGTTTTTAAAGAGCTTTTTTTTTATTTTGTCAGCAGGGAACTTTACCTTTCTGTGGTATCCTGAATGCTTCCTACAGCATCTGTTGGTTGACCTTCTTCTTCTTCCTTGCTATGGCCATTAGGTGATTTTTTAGAGGAACAGAGTGTTTCTGACTTCAGACTTTTTGGATTTATGTCTAGATTGTCATTCTTGGCTGAATTTCCCACAAACAATAACACTTCCATGTTATCCTTAGATTTGAAAATAAAATAAACCAACAACATTAGCACAAAAAATATCACCTGTAAAATAAAGCGTTGCAAGTTATGATCAAGATGTTAACCTGAGACAAAACTTTGCTTAAAAACTTTCAAGTGGTTTATGTCACCCATGACTGTTCCTTGTTCCTTTAGAGAAGGTATTTATCTAACCAAAACAGATACTATAACCAATATAGTCTTCCATTAGCAACCACCAAGGAGCTCAGTGAAGACTTCAGATTTGTTAACAGAAATCTAAATATTATCAATGTGTCAATAACAGAATTTGAGAATACCTCATATTAGAGTGCAAATATTAAACAAGAATGTAATTCTTACTAGTCCAGAATTAATTTATACATTTAAAACAGTTAATTTGGATGTGTTAAAAACAGCTGGTGCTGAACCAAGCATCACAAAGTAGAGTCAGAAATATCTGAACAGAATTCTCACTTTTGAGGAAAGAGGTTCCTCAGATTCTTCTGCCACAGGCAGATTCTCTCCTTTATTTGCTTCTTCCTCAACTGGAGCAGAAAGTTTTTGTGCCACCGGAGATTCTTTTTTACTACATGTTCCTTCTAAGTTTGGTCTAGTTCTCAGAGATCCATCCCTTATGAATTGTCTTGGTTTCAGAGTACCCAGCGTGCTTTCTTGAGAAGTGGACTTTTCAGCACTTGTGAATTTAAAGCAAACCAAACAAACAAAACCAAACACAAAACAAACAAAAAAAATGTTATTTGACTTTGGTTGGGGGCAGGGGAAAGTAATTCTGCATTCATTAAGTTTTGAATCAACTATATACTGTTCTGTTTAAAATCATTAAAATTATCTTTTCAAATATATACTTTTGGGCACTTATGGTAAACATGAGAAGGAATAAGAAGATTTGTCAAGGCATTATTAACATTAAAAAGTTGAGTTGCTAACCAAATCAACATCAAGATATCCGCTGTCTAATACATGCTTAAGAACTTATTTTAACATGAGCAGCAGTAAAATAGAAGAGCATACTGGGACCAGTGAAAGACAGGTCTCTAACATTTTGCAAAATTTCTATCTGTTACATGTATGAACGCTGTATATAAAAATACAAACCAAATAAAATAAAAGCTTGGTCAAAAAGAGCTATGAGCTCACACAGATCAAGAATATACCAGATAAATAATGAGAAGTAGTTCAACTCAACTAAAAATGTGCTCTGAAAACATGGGAAGAAGCTGTCTGTAGGCAATGCAAATTAATCATTGGGGAAAGACAGAGAACAAGAAACAAAAGAAATGACACTTGCAAAAATATCTCATTATGCACCTGATGAAAGTTTTCAAATGCAATTTTGCTAAACTCTAACTGACCTGCTTTGTTCACACAATATGTTTTCAGAAATATAGGGCACCTGTGGGGCCTCTTGCTGTTCCTGCTCCTCTTTGCTCAATACATCTGCTTGATACAACACAGCTTCATTTTCACCCTTTAATTTGCAATAAAAAAAAAGCATGAAGAAAACCAGAATCAAACAAGTTTTTAAAACATCTGTATATTTTATAAAAAATAAAAGAAACCACAAACCATAAACTACTGATATCTGTGCTATTTTCCCAATCTGAACCAAGAAAAGAATCACATTATATTTACTGAGGATAATCTGTCTGTGCACATAGTTCAATTTATAGGCAAGCAGGAACAGAAGTCTTTTTAGTCCTGGGCCATTTAGAGTTAGGCTCTTAAATACTATATGCATCTCAGCATTATGGGTAACACTTTTCTATTTAGCATTCAATCAACTTTCTATTACATGGAATACTATGGAAACAAAATACTTTGACAAATGGAAAAATCTTTGAAAACTGGACACTGCAGAGCACACCACAGACACACCCAAGCCACTATAACATAACCTCAGATTCAGAAGGGCTTATTAGTTTTACTTCTGTATTTGCCACACTGCTTCCACAAAGAAGCCACTCAAACACATACCTCAGTCCAGGTCTTTATTAGTACAGAGGAACATCAGACCTGCTGTGGTTCTACAAATTTGCACAGCGCACAGCATGCATGGTCCACAGGCCTAAAATAGCCAAAGCTGAACTGCAAGCAACTATCTCAGCTAGGGGTAAGCTGACACTGTGGCACTGAGAGGGAGACTACAGATGCAGTGCACTTGTGCTCATCTCTGAGAATGTATCACACAAGTAGTCCAAGCTAGCTCTACAGATATTCAAGAACAAAACCAGCTATAAACACTCCAAAAAAATGAGTCACTCTTACAAAGCCTAGCTATGTTTGAGATCTAAGGCAAGTCTACACAGACATGCCTACATCCAAGACATGATTCATAAGCAACCTACAAAATGGTTATAGAGAGTTCATCATACTATGTGCCTTTTGAGGACTTCAGTACCCTTTACAGTGCTTAGTAAAGTGTCTGTGGGGATACACAGTGCAGTTAAAGGACTCAGTTCACCTGTGTAAAGTAGAGGAGTGTCAGGCACTCTAGTGGTGAAGCCAGTCAAAACTAACCAAGGTAATAAGACCGTATATTTTTACAGAAAAATAGCTATCCTCTGCCTTTCTTGATACTATTCCTCAACGATATTCGTCAACACAGACTTGACACTATACAGATACTATATTCCTCAACACAGACTTGATTCATCCAAACAGAAAAGATAAAATGGGAAAAAAACCTTATTTTTATGTATTGCAATATAAAATACATTTTTATTCTAGAGTTAACCTTAAATGTGTATTATTTTTTCAATCATGCAATTCAATTAAAATGAGATCTTCATTTTCCAGAAGACATTAATAGTGCAAGTTGTAGACTTAATTGATTTCCTAACTGCAATATGTCAACATACCAGGGGATTTGGGAACTTTCTTCATCTAGTATGGTACCTCAGCTTCAGGGAATGCAACTTAAATGTTCTAATTTAATTTCATGAAACAGAACATGCAACTTATTAAGACTTACGATGACAGTATTGGCAGACTCATCTTTTTGCAGTACCAACTGCTCTCCTTCAGGCTTTTTCTCCCTCTCATTTTCTGATATTTGGAACTCCTTCTTTCCAACAGCTCTTACCAAGTTTGGCTTGTACCTCTGGAATCTGCTCTGCACTAACTGGACAGGTTGAAGAGGTGTTTGCTTACTTTCTTCTTCAGTGGCATTCCTGTTATCAGTGCTAAGTCAGGCAAAAAAAAATAATCCAAAACTTGATACAAAAGCATGTCATTAACAAACACAGGTTCATCATATTTACATATAAAAAACAACTGAGTTTTTAAAAGAAATGTAAAATTCTGCTGAGTTTAAGTTACAAGCACAAAATTTGAAGCAAAAATTAAAAAGCACTGACTGGTCTCCTAACTACTTCTACAACAGAATTAACTCACTGGAGGCATTAACTTACTCTCTGCTTATTACTATAACGCCAGTGCAATTTTCACACAGTTTCTCTGATAAGCTGTCCTGGGTCTGAGTGGTAGGGTTTTTTATAGCAGGGGAGCAGGGCTACAGCAGTGGCCCCCTGTGAGAAGCTTCTCGAAGCTCCCCTGGCTCCAGGTCACATCCACCTTTGCACCAAGGCTGAGCCGATCAGCTGTGCCTGAGACAATGTATTTAAGAAGGGGCCTGGGAGGAGGAGTTGGAGTATGGAGGAGTGACATTCATGTGAACACAAAGGTCAGTGGAAATACAGAGGAGGAAAGGGAGCGGGAGGTGTGCTGGAGCAGAGACCCCTCTGTATCCTGTGGTGAGAGGGCAGAGCACACACCCCCACACACACACCTATGGAGGTCTACAGTGGAGCAAACACTGATTTATGTCTCAGGTGATGGCACCCAAAGGTCAGGATCCTGCAGGAAAAAGCATCCCCCAGTGTTGCAGTTCAGCACTGGGAGGGGGGTGTCCATGCTCAGGAAGGGCTGCAGCCTGTGGGAGAGACTCAAGCTGGAGAAAGTTCGTGTCCCACATCAAAGCAGCTGGGGAAGGGCTGGGGCCCATGGGAGGGACTCACATCAGAGAAAGTTTGTGGAGGACTGTCTCCTGTGAGAGGGGGACCACACTGGAGCAGGGGGAAGAAGTCCCAGAAGTTCCCCACACACCAAGATGGAAGTAGCAGCAGCACTGACTGCACCCCCCATTCCCTGCCCCTGCGCCGCTGGGAGGAGGTAGAGAGATCAGGGGCAAAGTCGAGCCCAGGAAGGAAGGAGGAAAGGGGGGAAGATGTTTTCAAGATGTGGTAATGCTTCTCACTGTCTTACTCTGTCTGTTAACTGCTGTTGTTTGTGTCTGAAGTAAATTTATATTCTTTTTTTCTTCCCTTAACAAATCTGCCTTTTGCCTGTGACCATAATGGATGATTCAACCCTCCCTGTCCTATCTCACACCCCAAGCCTTTGCTTATTTTCTCCTTCTCAGCACTGCCAGGGGAGAGGGGAAGTGAGCGGCTGCATGGTGCTCAGTTGCCCTCTGAGCTCAGACCACAACAGAAGCAAACTAGTATTCCTATGTTTACATAGAATTAAACTAGTGGTAAAATGAATGCTCATTACTGCTTAGAATGGAAGTAGCTGGAATTTTAGTATCACTAATGTCAAAACTATGAGAACTTCACTTTTTTTCAGTATTTTTATTATAATTTCTTTGCCAGTTAGCAATCCATTGGAACAATTATTTCCTTTTAAAATACTTCCATTGTTACAGTCAAGAAACAAATGTAGCTAAGCCCTTACACTGAATTAGTAGTTGAGGTGTCATCTTGGTTAATGTCAGGTAGAGAAACCTTGAATTCACGATCCTCTGGACTTGAAAATGTCTTTGGGGGCTTACAACTTGGCCTCTCAGAAACCTGCTTAGAGCCAAGTGACTTCTCTATTCCTAAGGATTCCAATGGTTGCAGGACTTCATATTTTCCTGCTTTCTGAAAAATGTAAACACAAGAACCAGAAAAAGTCATGAATCAAACGAAAAAGAGACATTATGATGTCCACAAAGTTCAGTACTAATCACTCTCTGAAGTGTTTCCTGCAAAAACCCCTCTGTCACTGCTCACTAATAATTCCCTAGTCTTTCCAGGACAAAACACATTTGTTTCTTTTAAGCAAAACAGCTTGAAACCAAGATTTCTTCTTCCCCATCTTCTATTAATACTTTTCTCTCTTCACTGTCAACTCTGTAAGGCCACCTTAGGTCTGAAAAACATCTGAACACAAAGGAGAATGGATCAAATCTTTTTCTCCTACATGAACAGGAGTTTCCATGTAGAAAATTTATGCTTTTGAAAAAATTATTTCAAAAAATATTAACTTTGTATTTTTTAAATTATTAGTATTTCATTTCACAAACCCAAAAGCTCAAATATAACTAAAAAAAAAAAAAAAAAAAAAAAAGAGCCTCACATCTGTATCAGGAAGGATGCTATATTTACTGCCACAATTTGACAAACTTTCTTCCTTGTTGGTATCTTTCTGTGATACACCTTCAGTGTTTACATCCAGTACTTCCCTTCTACTAGTTGTCGTTCTTAAATTTGGTTTTGGTCTCTGGAATCGACTCCTCAGTAGCCGAGATGATGATACAGCAGTTTTCTCCTCTTCCTTTTGAAGATCACACTCCCTACAAAAACAAACAAAAGAACAAAGTTCTTGGAGAGCTACATACAAGTACATCATGCATGACCTGGAGGACGACAGTGGTCCTCCAAATCATGCATGACATACTTGTATGTAGCTCTCCAATACAGTAACCAAGTACAAAAATCCTTAGCTTTCTTAGAGCAATAACAAAGCTACTGACATTATGAAAGAAGATCCAATAAAAGCACATTGAACATCATCAAAAACCTGTGTATCTTATAAGCAAGTGAGCATAGATAAGTTAAAAAAAGGTGCGATTTCAGAAAAACAGCAGCTTCCAGTCACACTTTGAGAGGAATTTAAGTGTTTTACAAATGCCTCTGTCTAATCATGTTTAAAACTATTTACAGCACAGCTGTTGGGTAATTTTTTTAAAGGACATTTTAATAGTAAACCAAACCCTATTCTCAAGGATTTATGTAAGCACATACGGTTGCACTGCTAGGACCAACGTGGAGAAGATAACCATGGGAACCGAGCATCAGAAAAACATATTTATTTGAAAACTGGACTCACAGTCTAAAGGTCAAATTAACATCCAACATCATAGAAGTCTAGTGCTTTTGAGCTCTTGGTGTTTCGTTTGTGTAAGTCGAGTATTGTCTTGATTAAATATCTCATTATACATATAAAACTTGTTCTTAATACTGGAGTTGAATGTAAAAGTGTGGGACACCTAGAGATACTGATGGTTTTGAACCATCCCTTCTCTCCATTTAAAAAATAACCTTACCTTGTATTGAAGTCTGAAACCTGTTTCAAGACATCTGACAATCCCTTTTCATTTTCATAGCTTTCTGCTTCTGAGGACTTTTCCTGGGAACAATGCCTTGTATGTACTGAGTTCATCTCACAATCTGTAGAAACATCCCTATCTAACATCACATGGCATGGCTGAATGTCTTCATGAACAGTCACATCCTAAAAGGAATAAAAGTTTCACTCTATTAAGATGAAAGACTTGCTCAACCTCTCTTTTAGAAGAGCAGGGGGAACAGAAGTAGTTTATTTTAGTATCTCTTACAAAAACACTTGAAAAGATCTCTCTTTTTCCTGTTTGTCCAATTAATATCAGTAGACAATTTAAAAGTAAAAACTTGTTATTTTTCTATATACTTTCTAGCTGACGTGGTCCCTTTTCCAAGAGACCTTTTTAATCTGCACTTCTGTTTTCAGATCTGGTATCATGAATAATACAACAAAGTGAGATATAATCCCTCTGTCCATGGAAAAGAGAACCCAAGTGCAAGCATAAGGAAATTTTATGACAATTCAGTTCATTCTGAAAGAATAAACAAAGCATGCAAAGTCTATGCTTACGAATTATGTGGTATGTACCTAGATCTTTGTTACTAAAGGCTTCTACTTAGGACCCAGCAAAACAGCACGTCTAATCAACTGCTCAAGTAACTTACTTTTTTGAGGCAAGGATCATTGTTTTCATCCCTATGGTGTATCACACCTTTTTCTATTTCTCCACTTTCAGTTTTCTCCTCTTCGGGATTCTTTCCATCTGTCCTGTCTTTTTGCCTTGCAACAGTTCTTCCTAGGTTTGGTTTTGGTCTCTGCACTCTGCCTCTCTTCAGAGGTGTTGGTTTCAGTACACTCTGTTTGCTGTCTTCTTGTAAACTAGCTGTTTTATTAGACCTGGAAAAATACATAAGAACCGTAAGTACATAACACATCTGAAAGTGGGAGGAGTCCTAGAGAAGGGATTTTATTTTCATTATTAACATACACTAATCTAAAATTGAGCTATGCATTACTAACTTCATGAAACATTGAAGTTAGAAGTGTATCTGCTAGAGACTGAAGAAGTACCCGACAAGTTTTTACTTTTGTTTGCTCTGTTCTTTTTCTTTTCCCACTGGAGATAGGATACCACATTAGACCTTTTTCTGACCTATAATGGCTCTTCTTGTATTTCTATCTGGTCTAGAGGCAGATAGACCTAATTCAATGGAGGGTTAAAAATAACAAACATACAGAAAACACATAAATAACTTCATAATCTTACTGAGGTAAAAATATCAGATGCACATTATTACAGCTGCCAGATGCTTCTATGCCTTTTCACTCTTAAGCACCAAGTTACACAGCACGTTAATGAAAGAAATAACTGCTGAAGTATTTTTCTGGCAGATGATCAAACGCAGTTTACCTCCCTCCATCCTCTTCAACCATCCACTCTTTAAAACCGTAAGTTTTGGCGTTTTTTTGGTTGCTGTTGTTGCTTTAGGGTTGGGGGTTTTCTGTTGTTTTTTATTCCTTTGTGTTGTTTTTTTTGTTTGCTTTTGGTTTTTTGTTTTTTTTTTACAATTTATCCTGTAAAACACAGTCCTCCTTTTACACTACAGCTGCTACTTCTCCACTGAAGAGAAATACAAGCAGCACTTCTTAATTAACATGTGCATTAAACTGCTCACATGTTGGAATTCTGTCTCTTAATACTAGACTCTTAAAACTTAAATATGCTTTAAGAACAGACGTTTATTCCTATTGTTTAAATACTTACTCACTGAAACTGATGCACTTCAGTATTAAAGCTAGTAGAAGAGGCTTGTTTTAGTTTTCATGGGACTAACTTTTCAGGGGGTTTTTGCCTTTATCATGGCTGACATCTTATTTAAAAGCACTGCTTTAAAACCAAAAATGTTTAATCTATTTGTTTCATGAATTAAAATAGATTCCTAGTCTTCCCACAATTTCTGTCTCATTACCAAATTTTATTCAGAAATATCTATAACTACCACACTATGTAATACTACCAGAAGTGAGAGGGATGGAAAATTGCTGGAGAGCAGCACGTCTTCTTGTTTTTCACATACTTACTGAGACACTGTCTCCACAACTGTGTCATCTTTTTCTGCAGTTTCTTCACTGGTAGCATCAGGCATATTATTTTGGTCAGTATTCTGAAGACAAAGAGAACATTAAGACGTCAACCCTCTTACATTTATAAAGCACAACATTACCCAACAGACCATGTAACTGTCCATAACAGGATACAAAACGGACTGCTTATGACAGACACAGACAATTACAGTGTACATTTCACATAGCCAGAAAGGTGCAGTAAAATCTAGATCAAACAACTAAAGCTGAATTTACTGCAGGACATGAAAGATTATTGGCATCTACTGTTTGTGTGACAATTCCACAGCTTAGCTGAGGCCTCACTGTCACAATATCACACTGTCACTGCAGGTTAAGTGGCTGATTCCTGGTCACAGGGGAAAAAAATAAAAGAAAAAATAACATTGCTGTTGCATCCAGCAGCTTTTTAGCTAACACATTATCTCCAGTTACCTTTTCAGTTCTCCCCTTCGCCTGTGGATCATTTCTTGCATCTTTTTCAGGCTCTTCTTTCCTTCCAGACAATCTTGCAATATTAGGCTTAAATCTCAGTCGACATCCTCGAACTACTGCCTTTGCAATTACAGTTTTTTCAGATTCTCTGCACAAGGATCCACAACAGTGACATTTATTCCGTAATATTAAAACCTACGTAATATTCAATAACTTGCACAGCTTTCTTTACTAGAATTGGATTGTCTTTGGAAGGACTTGTACAAACTTAGGCAAGTTTCCTTGCATGAGAGCCAAACTTTGTTAAGTCTTACAGAGTATGGAAACTCTTTATTTACCTATTAAAAAGACATGAAGTCATCACACAGGGGAAGAGCCTAACTATACTGGCATATCACAGCTGCTTCTGCAAGTGTCAGAAGCAGAGATGTCAGCTGGCCACTGAGGGTGGGGGGAAGGCAAAGCCACTTCCCTCCCCCTTCCAAGCATAGTTGGTACTTCATAAAGGAATGCTTTCCCCAGCTTTACAGAAAGGCAGCATATATCTTCTACTATAGTACCACTTGATATCATCCAAGAAAATGCCGAAGTCAAATTAAAGACATATAAAAACTTCACAATTATTGTTGTCTTTTTATAAGAGCACTATAAAGAATAAATTAACAATTATAGTAGATTAATTTCCGGAGAGTGGAAAAGCAATCTCAATACTTACTCAGATTTAGTATCCAAATCCATATTCTCTACTTCCGTGGCTTCATTTTTGCTGCTTCTACTGTCTTCCTCAAAGCACTGTAATTGAGGCAAGGAATACTACTCTTGGACAAGTGTGCAGGTACCTCAGAAGAAATTCTCAGAATACTACTTATTAGACTGTAGCTGGTCCACAGTATCAGCATTAATCAAAACAGATACAGCATCAAGAGCATAGCATATTAAGCAATGTTTCTCCTTCTGATCTTTTCATCTGCATTCACAAGGTCTGGAGAGGAAGATTTTACCTTAATTTTCTCTTGAGTTGCTGCTTCTCTCCTTCCAGATGATCTCACTAAATTGGGTTTAGGTCTTTGCAGGCGCCCTCGTTCTGCAGGCTTTTCAGTTTTCCTTAAGATATAAGAAGAAGTGATCTATATTATTACCAAAGAGAAACTTAAAAGTCTTACATATGGTCCAAGATGTACTTCAAGAGAGCCAAAAACCGAGTGGGTAACGCAGCAAGACAATAAACTGAAAAGAATTATATTACATCTTTCTGATATTAGAAGATATGCTACTACTTAATGCAAAGAGTGTTAAATGAACCTTAATAACTTTGCTGGCGTTCAGTGGAATCTACTTAAAATATTTGAAGGAAGCTAAATAAATAGGAATACTACTTCTGGAGATTCACAACTGATGACAGTGTGAACAGGCTTATTGCTTTCAATAGAAACAACAGAAATCTGCTTTGCTTTATATATACAAAGATTTGCTTTATATACAAAATTTTGCACTTGTCTCTCCTGTCCCTTCATCCCATTTCAAAGCTATCTCACTCACAGAACTATGAAAACTATGAACTGCTGTTTTCAAACACCTTGTCCTACTGCCAACATCCAAACATTATTTAAGCACGGAGTACATACATCAACCTCTGTGCCCTTCACTACTCCAACAGCATGTCCCAGGACTCACATACTGTTTGACAGAGGCCTACAGCTTACCAGTAATCTTCAAACTGGGAACTACTGCCTTTTTTATATTCTTCCTAGGACAGGACAAATAAAACTTTGACAGCCTTTACCACAAGTGAGCTGTCCTTCAATAAAGTAAAGACAAAAGCACGAAAAACAATTTGGCATTAACTGGTAGCCCATCCCTAAGTCACCTTTAAAAAATTGTATCATGGAAAAGTAAGTCACTGATCACACAAAAATGGAAACTTTAGATACAGACTTGTTTAAACACCACTGCTCAATTACAGCAATAAGTGTAAGAAGCAGTCACAAAGACTAACTTCATAAAGGAGCACAGGTAAGACAGAGACAACCTCTAGAGAGGTGTGCCTCAACTTACAACTCCTGCGCTGAGTTCCAAAGAGCAATACTTTCGAATCAGGAAGGTGCCATACACATGATGTCTACAGCTAAAAAGCTCTGACGGACAACTGCAAATTTCAACGAATACAGTGAGGCCCTTTTATTAAAAAATAAATAAATAAAATCAACTTTCACAACCAAGGTTCACCCACAAAATGGCAGAACTTCCTCGGAGAAATTTCTCATTCTTGATGATTGTAGAAGGCTAACTTTTTTCTAAGCTTAGTTAAGTCTTTTTCCTTGTTCCCATTTAACATTTTAAGTCTTAGTCAAAGCACTGTTTCTCAGTGATCAAAATTTCTATCAAACAACTTCTTTGATTATGGAAAAAAAATTATTATTATAAACCATCTAGTCCAACCTACTATGGTTAATCAGAATTATAACCAAATTAAGCAAATGCAAATTTAGCTCAAGTACCAATGCAAGGTAAAATAATTCTACTTACCTGATTACAGACTGAGAATCATTTTCTGATGCACTCTGCTTTTCATCTGGTCTATGTAAGTCTTGTATGTCTTTGCTCTGAGCAAGGAAAAAAAAAATGTTGCAGGAAAGAAATGATAAATGTAGAAGAACTCTTTGCTGTAATGTGAAGTAAAGCAGAAACAAGAACAAGATTCACGTAATAGTTGAGGTTGGAAGGGACCTTTGGAGGTCACCTGGCCCAACCCCCCTGCACCAGCAGGGCCACCTAGAGATGGTTGCCCAGTACCACATCCAGATGACCTCTGAATATTGCCAGGGATGGAGACTCCACAGTCTCTCAGGGTAACCTGTGCCTGTGCTTGGTCACCCTGACGGTGAAATAGTATTTTCTGATGTTCAGAAGGAACCTCCTGTGTTTCATTTTGTGCCCATTATCTCTTGTCCTGTCACTGGGCTCCGCTGGCAAAAGCCTGGATCCACCTGTCTTTATATCCTCCCTTCAGGTATTTATATACATTGAGGAGATTTCCCCACCCACTCCCACCAAGCCTTCTCTTTCTCCAGGCTGAACTGAAGGCTCTCTTTTCAGCCTTTCATCATAGGAGAGATGCTTCTGCCCCTTGACCATTGATAGCCCTTTGCTGGACTCTATCCAGCGTGTCCACGCCTCTCCTGTGACCAGTTCAGGGTGTTCCAGCACGGTACTCCAGGTGTGGCCTCACCAGTGCTGAACAGGGGGAAAGGATCACCTCCCTCAACCTGCTGGCAATGCTTCTCCTAATGCAGCTCAGGATACTGTTAGCCTTTTTTGCAGCCAGGGCACATCACTGGCTCATGCTGAACTTGGTGCCCATCAGGACACCCAGGTTCTTTTCTGCAAAGCTGCTTTCCATCTGGGTGGCTCCCACCACGTACTGGTGCCTGGGGTTGTTCCTCCCCAGGTACAGGACTTTGCACTTTATACTGCTGAAGTTCATGAGGTTCCTGTCAGCCTGGTTCTTTGTCTTTTAATTGGACAAAGCTAATAACAGACTCCTTAGGCAGTATCAGCTATCATTACTTTCCAGGTCTAGTATTTAAATGATTTTCCTAGAGAGCACTGACCATCACTCTGAAGAAAAAAAAAAAAAAAACAAAACAAAACAAACCCAAAACCTAACAACGTAGCAAGCTAATCATAATTATAGCAAAGATTTTAAGGAATCTATTTAGTGAAGTAAGGTACAAGCCTACTGCATAAAACCATTATTTCTCTACTTTATTTGCCTCTTAAATAATATTAATGGAATCACGTTTCACCTCACTAGTTGGCTGAGTACTTCTAGTTTTAGGTCAGTGATTATTTTCATATACTTTTAAAGTAAATTAACCACAGCAGGGCAAGAGAATTAGAACCGACATAAAAGGTCTTTTGAAATTGTCAGTTTCAGAGAATATTATGCCTTCTTCTCAGGTCAAACAGCCATATTTCAGCCAGAGAGCTTAGCTACATAGGCTACTAACAACACTATAATAGGCTGGTGTATATAGCACATTGCCCTGTTGCGTTCACTGAATTTTATAAACATTATTCTAACTAATATCAGGAGCATGCATTGTTAAAACATTTCCAACTACAGACATATAGTATTTGTGAAGATCCTAAGTAGCTGATTTTCAATTAAGATGAAGACATTAATTTAGGTAACAGAATCTAACATAAAGGCCAAAGGACAAGTAATTCATCCATCACATTAGGGAAAGACTAACACTTAGAATTTCCTAATCTCTCACCACAAACTTTAGATACAAGATCATTCTTCATCTTAGAAAGCACAAGAGAAAGTAACTCTTTTCCCCTCAGCATAAGTCTTTAAACAGTATGATATTAACTTCCAAAAAGGACAATGATGCAAGGATAGAAAGATGATCAGAAGAATGGAATTTTCTCTATATGAGGAGAAATGTAAGCTTAAGACTCTTCACCTTGAAAACAGTATTGTTCGAGAGAAGAAAAAGTGGCATTATAAACAAGAATAGCTTGGACAAAATTAACAGGAACATAACAATGAAAGTACAGTGCCTATTAAACTACCAGGCATCAGGCTTAAAGCAATCCAAAGAACACATTTTTCTTGTTAAGTGAATAATTAAAGGAATGAACTCTCAGCTGTAGCACACAATTCACCACAAAGATACAGACAGATGCAAAAAAAAGCAGCTAGACAAACTCCTTAGTAAAAGATTCATCAAATACTTCAGAAGAAACCAGATGCAATCTCAGGAAGTTTCTAAACTGTTGGACCTGATTAGAACATACCCAAAGAAAGATCATTCAGTCTTGGTCCAGTTTCTTATATTTTTCCTGAAACACCTCATGGCAACCAGTAACAGCGGACAAGAGTTTACACAGGCTTCCATTCTGAAGCAGCACAAACCATCCAATGCTCTTCCTGCTCAAATCAGTTTCCAACATCACACCAGTAAGCATATGCCAGCAAAATCTTGTTCCAAGGTTTTACTGTTGATATTGTACTGCTTCACTTTGAATAATTAAACTGTTCAGCTGTTTAAATTGCCTATGAGATAAGCCAGGCATGCACAGCATACTCTCTGAATAAATTCAGTGTAACAGACAACCCATTAAAGCCAGTCAAATTGACAGTATTTAAATTTTGGTGACATTCTCAGGCTTGTTGCCTTTTTTCCACCTAGTAGTAAAAACATCACAAAAACAAACAAAAACCAGTTTTGATTTACAAAAACACTTTTAATGGTAAAAAGGAAGATCTTAAGAAGTACGAACTACACAAAAAATAAAAATACCTTTGTTTCTCTAGTTTCTTCAGATTGTCTTTCTTTGCTTCCAAGCTTTGAAACCAGTAACTCTGAAATCTGGCTTTCTTGTGAGGTATCGTCTTCAACGTCTAGGGTTCTCAGTTTAGCAGATTCCATTTCTAGTAGAACATTATTACTGTCTTCAGAGCTGAAATTCATAAAAGCACACAAAAAGTTCTATTAGTATATTGTAATAAAAAAGCTATTATTATTTACAGATAGAGCAGGTTACACAGAAAAATTATGCAGTTTTGACATTAAATAACTACATGTGTTTCAGATGATCTGACAAGTTTTAGTGATATTAGCAAGATGAGCTTTAAAACAACTTTTGTATTTTTGCAGTGCTACTAGAAGATGATGTTAAAATCCCATCTGAATATTCTAGACTTGATAGTTTTTTAAACAGACTTTACTAATATAAACACTGTATGCAGAAGCTCTTTTTCCCCCTAACCTTCTATAACAATCGATGTTGAGTTTAAAGACAAATACTGTTCCTTCATATGCTTCCAATAAGGTATTAAAGCACATGAAATTTTATGCTGAATCTATGAAACAAGAAATAATTACAATACAGCTAAATACAACAATTAACATGAAAAATTATGAAGTAGCACTAACAGCTTCATAATGACTTTTAAGATTTACCACTTTCTTATAGAACAAGTTTAATAAAACAAACATTCACTTTCTTTCTAGTAAAAGAATGCCTAAAATTGAAACCAAAAACTTGCCTCCCACTCAGGTTCTGCACAAATAAAGTCCAAGCAACTTTTCTTTCCCACAACAATCATCTTATTCAAAACAAATATCAATTCCAACACCACTTAAGCAACAGCAATGCTCTGAGAGAAGTATTAGGAGTTACAATAAGCCAATAGTCCATGAACACTCTTAACAACAAGAAAAAAAAAAGTGAAAGCAGTTTTGCATGGGATTTTAGTATTAATGTAAACTAATTTTGCAATGGCATCCCATCAGGGCAGAGAACATACTGTGAGTGTAAATTAAAAACATCTTACTAAAACCTAGGACAGTTCTTGGAAACCAAAAACCTGCCCATTCTGTGCCAGTTAACATGGTGGTAAGCATGAATAAATAATACCAATATTAAAACTTTAAACTACTTTTTATTTTGCCTAAGCTTTCCATTGTAAACATTACCTGCATAAATTGACATCACTTTCTCTCTCCATTATGTCATCCACTGGCAAACAGGACTCTGATCCCTCTTCCTCTGTAGCAGCAGTCTCATCCTGTTTTCCTTCATTAACACTATCCAGTTCTTCTCTACAGGTAGTATGACCATCATTGTTTGCACTACATACCACAGTTTCCACTGCTAATGAATAAGAATGAAATCAGTTTGGACATTCTGATCAACATCTTAAAATTCCGATTCTCAAATCCTAGCTACAGTGAAACAGGAGTTAATTTAAGATAAAAAAATCCCAGTAGAAAATGCCTAAGTATTAAGATTTAAGAGATCTGTTCTCAGCTAAAATAAAGTGCTTAGATTTAGTATGAAAGCTGATTTGAGAGGCATCGTCCCACAGCCTCCCAAGGCAGGTCAGTGATACAAATCAAAACCCAAGTTCTCATTTTTAAGTTTGCAATATCTTTATATAAAACTTATATTTGAACATCTGAAAGCGAGCTTTTTTGCCTCTTACTTTTCTTAGAGGATTTCCCTTCTTCTGCAATTTTTGAAGGGACAGCCATTTCTTCTGGATGATTCTCCACTTCCTGTTCAAGATCATCTTTCCTCTTCTTCTTTATCCTCTTTTTTGCTAACACCGGTTCTGATGCAACCTGTTCTTCTGACTGTTCAGAAATGCTCAAAGATTCTTCATTTTCTTTCTCAGCCATTACACCATATGCTTCTGCTTCTGCATCAGAAATTCTGGCTTCCTGATTCGCAGCTTCTGTGTTGGCAGATTTTGCTATCGAGACAATGTGGTTCCTGATTAATAGACTGGTAGAGTATTAGGAACCATAAATCACAAAGATATTTCCACTAGCAACATCTTGTGAATTCACACATCACTGCCAATATACTGATGGGTGTATGAACAATACAGTGAGAAGTTAGTCACTGACTTAACAGAAAAACTTCAGCATAGATTAACTTCAACACTAAACACAAAACATATTCTGTACATGGGACAACACTTCACCAGGGTAAAGTCAATATACTATGTAAATCCAATTTAGTTAATGTTCTTGTTCCTATGCTTTTTAGAAGGTCATACAGTCACTTTTGGCTCCAGGAAAATCAGGCATTGCTATTCCTGAAAAGAATTATCATATCGCTGCAGAAAGACACGATGATGGTTGCAGAAAGTATGCCACAAGAAAGTAATTTTGATCAATAAGTGTATTTTAGCTCATCATTCTTATTTACATAAGAAAGGTGAATTATTATCTACCTAATAATTCACAAGTTCTTCTCTGGGATTAATGAGTTTCTAAAATTCTCCTCCTTCTCCTTTTCAGGACATTTTGTCTTGATCTTATATTTATGCAGAACATTAACCACCAAGAACCTATCTCTGTCTTTTTAATTATTCTTATATAAACTTGTTCCCCTATAATTAAGAAATCCAAAATGCAAGAGAAGTAGAAAAGCATACTTATATTCCTTTACACATAAAGTACCTTTAATCTGCCATTAAGTCTACAAACAGAATTTCTGTATGTGGCTGTAAGTCCTAATAGGTGGGAAATTTTACTTAACTAAATCTGAATTCAAGGCTATAGCAAAGCAGCAATATTGCTGTTTAATTCTTAAAATTGACAATGTTGCTTCCTAGCTAGCATGCTCTTTAAAAAGGTTGTTCACTTGTTTGTTCCACAATACCACTTACAAGAAAATGGATCCTTGTGGAACAAACAAGTGAACAACCCCACAGAATTAGCAGGAAATTTATGAAATTGTGTCAGTGTAACTGTTTTTAACTTAAGCACATCTATGAAAGGTCCTTTCAGAGGTACTGAGGTAATAAGACACTATGTGGTGATTGATAGTAATTAAACATAACCTTCATCCTTTATTTTGAAGAGATCAGAAGACTAAAACAACTTTTACAAGTCTCCCTTCAGACTTAGGGAGTCAAAGTGTAATTAAAGGAGAAACAGAATGCCTTAAAAGGGATTTTAAATGTAAGAAAAAACTAAATTAAAAGTCACAGAAGAGCTTGCCAAAAACATGGTTTTGGCCTAAGGATTCTAAAAGTGAATTCATTAGCAACTTATGGAGATATTTATCAACTGTTATAATTGTAATATCCCATTTATAATGAGTGCTTCAGACTGTGGAAGAGCACTAATCTCATTGTCACTAAACTCACAATCTACGTTCCTGACCAGAGAAAACACAACTCAGAAAACCAGCTGCTACCAATTATTAGCATCCCACACATCAGTAAACTACATCTGAAAAAGTTATGCTATGAAGCCAGGATCCTTTTGCCCTGTCCAGAACAGGGGAGGGAAAGATTCCCCATGCAATTTTTCCTCTGCTAGCAACACATTACTGACACTGCTCTGTAATGCTACCTCACGCATTCTTTTGAAGTACCTTTTGTCTTCTTCCGAGGCCGCGATGGCTTCTTTCCCTTTGGCTTCCGGCTTTTGACAGTCTTTTGTTTCTTCTTTTCCTCATCTGCTAAGACCTTCTCAAGCAGCTGGGCAAAGAATTCAAAATCAAAGGGACGCTTCTCTTCTATCAGATTAAAGCAAAGAAATAGAAGCGATTTCAAAGTTGGTAATTTTTCCAAGTTTCTGCTTCATAAAATAATCAGTGGTACGTGTTATGATATTAAAACGCAAAGGTTATATAAATTTAAACAAATAATTATTTTTTAAAATACTTTCTGTATCACTTGAGCAGGGACTAGAGTTGACATATATATGGATTGTGGTAGCTTGGATTTAAAAAACAAATAGTAAAAAGGTTACAGTACTTAGCAGTTTAGAAACTTTAAGAAGTTGTGAGAGCCAACTTGTAAGTCCAAAAACAGTGAGCAAGAAAAACAGCCTTAGAAAAACAGGGACTGAGAAAAACAGCCTGGAAACAGTGGGGATTTAGAAAAACTGCCTGAGAAAGAGATAAGGATGGGGGGGACTGGAGACCCTCTGAGCCAAGGAATGCCTCCAACACTTGCAAGAAACAAAACTACAGTCACAGGGTGGATAATGTGGAGGCTGAAGCTGGTAAGGCTACTTGGATAGCACAGGATATAGCTGGAAGAGGGAGTCTTGTGAAGGTAAGATGGCTCTGCTCTGGCATATCTTGTAAAGTTTTAAGGGCCACTGTCCAGTGAATGACCTTTGCTTCATTATCCACAAAATGTGTATTAAAGTTGACACCCCTGAATATGCTACACCATCCTATGAAACACCTTACCCCATACATGTAATGTGTAGGTATGTGGGTTGTCCTGGAGGACAGACAAAAAGAAAGTGTGTATAAATTGAGGGGGTACAAGGCAGGTGGGGTGAGCACGCAAAGAATAGAAAGAAAGAAATGGAGATGATGGAAAAATCTAATAAACTCAGACAGGACCAACGCAGGACCCTGGATTAGTGATCTCTATTTTTCTATTCTCTCTCTCTCTCTCTTCTTTTCCCCTTTTCCCTTACTACCCCTAAGTAATGCAAAGCATACTATATTGCTTGCCATAATTCACAATATACTTAGCCAATTTCCATGTATGCAATTAGTACATCATAGGAAATTTATAAATGTTTCTGCATGGACTCTGAAAGTTGTTTCACTGTGGTCTGCTCCGTTGGGGATTTATGAATCTAAGCCACTTGTCTCCTTCATCTGAGCGGGACGTGACACAAGTGACAAATCCACAAATCTTACCTGTCTTGGGTCTGAATGAGTGGTGGGGCTACTGGGTAGCATGGGATGGGGCTGTAGTGGTGGCCTCCTGTGAGAAGCTTCTTGAAGCTCCCCCAGCTCCAAGCAAGACCCACCTCTGCACCAAGGCCAAGCCAATCAGCTGAGCCTCTGAGAAAATATATTTAAGAAGGGGCGTGGGAGGAAGAGTTGTAGTTGTGACATCTGTGTGAACACCAGGGTCAGTGGAGGAATGGAGGAAGAAAGCAGGGGGAGGTGTGCTGGAGCTCTGTATCCTGCGGTGAGACAGCAGGGTGGCCCCCCCTGCCATCCATGGAGGTCTGTGGTGGAGCAAACACTGATAAGGCCTGTGAAGGACCCCACACATACATTTAAGGTGTCTGTGCCCAAAGGAGGCGGGGATCCTGTGGGAAGAAGCAGCCGCCGCTGTTGTAGTTCAGCACTGGGAGGACTGCAGCATGTGGGGGTGTCCCATGCCAGAGCAGCTCAGGAAACACTGTGGCCCGTGGGAGGGACTCAGGTCAGAGAAAAGTCGTGGAAGACTGTCTCCTGTGAGAGGGGGACCACACTGGAGCAGGGGGAAGAAGTTCCAGAAGCTCCTCCCACTGAAGATGGAAGAAGCAGCAGTGCTGACTGCACCCCCCATTCCCTGCCCCTGCACCACCTGGGGGAGGAGGCAGAGAGACTGGGAGCAGAGCTGAGCCCAGGAAGAAGGGAGGTGTGGGGGAAAGCGTTTTTAAGATTTCTCACTGTCCTACTCTGTCTGTTAAGTGTTGTTGTTGTTAGTGTCTGAACTAAATTTATGTTCTTTTTTTCTTCCCTTAACGAGTCTGCCTTTTGCCCGTGACCATAATCGGTGATTTATCCCCCCCATCCTATCTCGAACCCCAAGCCTTTGCTTATTTTCTCCTTCTTATCAGTGTGGGGGGTAGAGGGGAAATGAGTGGCTGCATGGTGCTCAGTTGCTCTATGAGCTCAGACCACCAAGCCTTTTGTTTTATTTTCTCGTTCTCAACACTGGGTGGAACAGGAGGGGTGAGCAGCTGTGTGGTGCTCAGCTGCCCTCTGAGCTCAAATCAATGTTTTAGCATGCTGCTCTAGGACCTATATAGCTCATTCAAATAAACACAAAGCCTTTAAGGATTCTCAAAGCAGTTTACAACAAGTAACTACTAGAAATTGCCAGGAATCAGAACAATTTTCAACTGGATATATATATATATATAGGAAAGTTTACATTAATCTTATTTATCAGACATATAGAAAAGACATATAGAAAAAATTAAACCTACAGATCTTTACTGTAAACCATGACTGTTACAAAAACCTAAGATTCCCCAGCTTCTGAACTCACCTATGATCAAAAACTTTTTCTTATAATTAATTCAAGCAAGGCAAAACACAAAAAACTACCAAGAAAAAAGATGACTACCATTTAATGACCCATTGTATTGTGGGGTACCTTTACTTTACTTACTGAAAGCTTTGTCTATCCTCCATCCGTTAGCTTTTTCTTCACGTTTGAACTTGTTCTAAAAGCAGAGGTATATTTGTCTTTTTCAGCAAAAAAGAAATGCAACAATAGATTGTATAAAATGGCAGATAAAGATAAAACTTCTCAAATGCAACGAGATTTTCTATGAACTAAAGTTGTTAAAACTTACAAGAACAGTCACGGAACATAAGTTTGTAATTAATTTTTAAATATAAAATCTGTTACCAATAGACATTACCAGTCATGATTTTTTATTATGTTCACCATCTTTATCCTTACTTCCAATCTAAGCAGGGTTTGCAATATCAAAGATTTTCCCAGGTGGATACCACAAAAGAGGCAACACAGAAGACCTCACCAAACATCCACTTATGCTTATCAGCATTCTTCACTTAAAATAAAATTGAGACAAACTGTGTCTAAGTATGCTAGATTTACTAGATGTGTTGACTGGAATTCAAGCATATTAATGTTTCAGATACTTACTACCTCTTGGAAACAGGTACTAAAAAAGCATTGCTACAGAGATAATTAGCATCACAATCATCCATACCAATATAGGAAGCACAGGAATAGCAAATTAGAAAGAGAAGAGTGAAAACAGATGTTTAATTGCTTTATTGAGTGCTTTAATTTTTACCTTAATTTCTGCTCTGGCTCTATGAGGAAACAGCCGTCCAATCAAGGAGAAGTCTGTTCCTACCATACTGATAGCTAAAAAGAACATGTCTGTTTCTGATGGTGGGGGAAAAACAAAAATAAAAAATTAAGATACACACACTTAAGTACTTAGTTCACCATCCTTCTTGCTACCTAAACTAAAAACACCTTTCAAACTTAATGCAACGAGATTGATAACTTTTAAGGTTATCTATTGTGGCTGCAAGTTCAGCTGAGCTGGAATATGTGTGTTATTTTACCTAAGTACCTCTAATAACATTTGACTAATGAACTATTAACAGAAAGAACCGTCTAATCTATTATAAAACTGCAGAATGTGAAATATATTTTATAAAGCTAGTAAATCAAAGCTAACCAACTCCACATTGTAAATGTTTATTTTTATTACAAACATAACCAGAAATCAGAAAAAAGCATATGTAATAATACCATCTCCATTACTATTTGTTAAGACAAAAAGAGTGCATTCCAAAAGCAGGACAGTTGTCACGGTTTAAACCTGGCCAGCGGCCGAGCACCATGAAGACACTTGTTTACTCTCTGCAGCCCAGGAAGATGGGGGACAGAATTGGAAGGGTAAAAGGAGACTAGTAAGTTGAGATAAAAACAGTTTAGTAATTGAAATAAAATAAAACAATAAGAGAAAGTACAAATGCGATTGCTCACCACTCATCAACCGATACCCAGCTTGCTCCCGGCTAACGATCCCGAAATACCAGGATCCTGAAATCACAACCCTGGCAGCAAGCAAGAACCCCTTCCTGCCCAGCTGCCTGGGCATATATTCTATAGCATGATGTCACATGCTGTAGAATATTTCACTGGCTAATTCAGGTCCGGTGCTCTGGCCGTGCTCCCTCCCAGCTCCTTGTGAACCTGCACAGAGGCAAGGCCATGGGGAGTTGGAGAGTCCTGGATCTCAGCAAAAACCAAAACCACCAGTGTATTCTCAGCATTCATCTCGTACAAAATCTCATACTGAATGCAAAGCACAGCACTATTCTAGCTACCAAGAAGAAAAATTAACTCTATCCCAGCCAAAACCAGGACAACAGTGAATTCTGAAGCTAATTTTTCCATCCACAGTTGTAAAGAAAATTTCCAATTGTAAAAAGTCCTGTATTGTGTTGTCATCCTAGAGATAATAACCAATTCACAGCAGGCATGATAAAAAAATAACCCACCTACTCATAAAAACACAGCTGTCCATGTGCACTGAAATCAGCCCACACAGAGATGGTTTATATAATTTATTCATGCCCATGATGGAAGAACAAAGTAAAGAAGCTGTTAAGAAGTCCTAACTGTTCCATCTAGAGCTCAGATCTCTGGACACCAGAATACAAAATTACGCTTTTGATAAGGCAGACTAGCATTTCCTCAGCGTACAAACTTCCATAACAGAAAAAATTCACAGGTAGCCTGAATATCACAAGGCACTGGATTTTTTAAACATGTCCATTTTCATGGTAAACATCAGAGCTCTGCTTGTTGTAAGAGTTTGGAAGGTTGAGACTATGTCATACATAAGTACATCCATTTACTCCACTGGAAATAAAGTACAGTTGAGTCAAACAAAGTTGAATACAAAGCATAGATGGAAAACTAAGAATTTCCTGCACACTCAAAACTTGAAACCAAAAATATACTCACCTTTATTTGACCATGGTTTTGTGTAAAAGCTTTTCCTAAAGCTAGAATATGTAGTTGTAGAGCCACGCTCAAAGATAGGATCATTTTCTTCTACAACACATGGACCTTTTGTTCTTAGAACTTCTACAGTTAAACTGTAAAAACAAACACATAAAGAGACTTATCTGAAAATATTGCTAACAGGACACATAGTAGATGTATATAAACTAGCTATTCAGATTTTCCTGCCACAAGTCAGAGTTTGTATTATATGTAATCAGCTTTAATAATTCCACTGGCATCTATTATACTGGGAGAATGCAGTAAAAAACCATTACCCTACAAAGCCTGTGCAAGCAAATCTGCTTTCCCCTTTTTATAAGCTATAGTACAAACAGACAAAATTAAGTATCTTTTTAAAAAAAGGAAAAAAAAATGTCTTCTTAACATTCAAGAAGGTTATTTTACAGAATACAAGAGCCTCTGCATATCATTTTAGAATACTTTCAAGCTCTTTTGCCAGGACTGACTGCTCTATCCTTACACCTTGGCCTAAATCTCATGCTAATAATATGTTTGGGGAACTCAGTAATTTGATAATCTAATACTTTAAAAAAAGCCATATTCTAAGCAAAGTTAATGAAAACACTGGTAGCTGAATAAAGCAGCAACATGCAAGAAGCAAAGCTGAAGCAAATCATACTGACAACTGAGTAACAGTAAACAGACAAGTGTAACTGTGAGAAATTAAGTTAACGAAATAGGAGACTTGGAAGTGTGACAAATATTCAGTATTAATTCAATGTAATAAAATTACATGTTCCTCTCTATCTCCTTTCCCAAAAACATTTCTCATAGAGAAAGTTTGCCAGTACTGAGATGCAGATAACTGCTACTCATATTTTGACACGTAATTTGCACTGTTCCCTAAGTTAGGATAGCTCAACTCTCAACACATAAAAACACTGACATTTGTCCCTGTCCAAAACAACTGTTCTCTACCCACAAACTAAGCAGCAATGTAGTATATATTGCCTGTGAGCCAGGTGCAGAATTTTCTACCTTTCTTCATCCAGAATAATTGAACCATCTTCTGCTACTTTCACACGAGGAACTAGAAGTGGACCATCCTGACTCTCCTCCCCATTTTCTGCTTCTTTCTCCTCGTCTTCCTCTTCATGATCAGGACTACCTTTTTCTTCATGTCTACAATTTTAAGAGAGCAAGCAAAAACATTACTTTTGTTAGTGTTCTGAATTGCTACTCAGTATGCCAGATGTTCAACAATTTAATGAATCACCCAGCAATGTTAGTCAGTACATAAACTCTGGAATCTGCTTTTCATTCTATTGTAAAATGGAAAAATGCAAAAATATAATTCTGAAAGCAAAATGCTCTTTAGCCACCCTCCCCTCCCAAATTACAATTTTTTTCTAAATAAGGGCTGTGATATTGAAATAGTAAAAAAATCCCAAAACTTACACTGTTAATATTACCACAGAAATATGGGATTTTTCCAACATCAGAAAACTTTTTGACCATAAGTAATTCCATCACCAAGACTTACTCTTTCATTTGGCCCAGTGCAGAATTTTTTTCTGTTCTTTTTTCTTCTGCCAATGAAGACCTAGAATTTTATACAGATAGGCATAGATGTTTGTAGAGATACATTTCTACTTCATTCCACAAAACCTGCTTTTAGTGGACAACGAAATACAAAGCTTTTTTTCAATTCTTTGTACCACATTTAGACTTGAGTCTAAATGAACAACCAGCACTTCTTAATGAATTTTTTTTTTATACAAACAAGGGCAAAAAAAGATATTTCAAGCAGTAATCCACTGTAAGGGTACAGGAAATGTTAGATCATCTGGTTCATTACTTGTTTAAAGACTATTCAGCATAAAAGAAAAAATAACAAGGAAAGTGATAAACACACAAGCACGCAAACATTAACAGGCAGGTGATAACAGAAAACTCATCTGCTACTGAAAGGAAGAACAGTACTTGGACTGCTGTACTTATGTTTAAGCGATTGGTTTTGGTAGTTGCAGGAAAAAGGCCCTGTTCTGTCTGTAGCAATCTGAGCAGCCAGCTGCGTTAGTGTTCCCTGTGTATGTGCACCTCGGGGATGCTCACTCAGCCCTGTTGCTGATGAAACCTGTAAAGGGAACAGTAGCAGCTACATCCATCCAGCTGGAATGTAGCGACCTCATGGGTCTTGCAGTGCGTTTTGCACTTCAGCACCTAGGAAGCAGAAATGCTTAGCTTCATGTAGTCCACTAGATTTGGCAAGCAGTCCTATCACTAGCAGCCTAGGGAAAAAAAAAAAAAAACAACAAACAACTAATTTCTATTATTCTGCATTTGTACAGAGATGAATCAAAAATGGGGACAGATTCATGGTTTTATATTTCAACAAGTACGCTGATCTCCATTCTTATTTCTGTATGAAGACTGAGCAGATGTGGAAATGTCTAGAAGCTTTTGTTACCACTGTAACTATACTGCATCTGTGCTAATACTTGAGATTAAAGAATTCTCCTTTTCACAATTATTAGATTGGTAGAAAAATAATTTAAGCTAAGGAGGGAGAAAAAGAGTCATACTTACTTCATAGGATTGTTTTCTGGCAGATAGTATATCAAGTCTCTCATGGTCATTTTAGAACGATCCAGTGGAGAATGCCCTTCAATTATTGGAGGCCTGTGTTTCAACTGTTTCAATATAAAAAGAAGAGAAAAAAAAAAACTTAAATTCACCCTGAAAGTACTTTATATTTCACAAATTAATATTTTTCTCTATTTACAAAGTACCCCATTCAGGGAGTTTTGAATCTCTCCCCTGCCCCCAACAACTGAAATAAGTTAACTTAAAAGTGTCCCTTTGTCAGAGAGGACACCGCAGACTCTTAAGTGATTTACCCTCTCAGAGAAATTCAATTCTTGACCCAAGTAAAAGTGAAAACTTATTCAAAATTACAGAACTTGGTCAATGATCAAGTTGAAAAGATTTGAGAAACCCCAAATCCCAAGCCTCTTACAGCACACTTCGCCATTGTATTACCAACTGTAAAACTTTCAAACTTGGAATATTGACTACAACATAATACCAGGTCTCATGTCAAAAAGGCTTGTGGGTCAAATGAAATTAAAAGATATACAATTTCTTGTGAAATCTGTATTATGGAGGAACTCAGTGCTACTATTACTTATAAACAGACTAAACCCATTCAGAGTTACAAGATATCACAGATTACTGTTAGCAGTAATCAGCTGATGATCATCAGAAAACATTACTACAAAGAGGTAATGCACGTTAGGTGCATCACATGTCTTTGCCCTTCACAGATCAGCACTACTCAACACAAAGACCTACCATCCGCTCTTTCTTCAACTCTTCTTTAAGCATTTCCCTTAACTTCCGAGCTTTGAGGATCCTTTCACGGTCAGAACACGTTTGTTTCTCTTTTATGGGAACAGGTTTGATTGGTAGCTTTTCCTCCTGCATTCCTGATCTTTCCTGTGTTGGTCTCTCCTTGAGTGGGGAGGGTACATTCTTCTGCAAAGTATCATCATTTTTTTGAGCAGCTACACCTACAGTTTGCTCTTTGTTCACTGATTTTTTTAGTGGGGAAAACTGTGGCACTTGTGGCACAGGTGTCTTCTTTTCAGGCAGCATGGAAGACTTTAAAGAGCTTTCAACACTACTCTTTTCTGATGGAGAGGAATCATTCTGAAGTGAAGCACTGCCATCAGGAGCCTGTGATGCTCGTCGTGGTGGTTTTGATGTAGAATGCTGAGCAGATGAAGGCCCAGCTCTGGGTTTGACAAGATTGGGCATGGTGGAGATCCGTTTTCTTCTCTGTATAGGCATCTCTGCAGGTTTACTAGATTCTCCAGCATCACTTGAGCTATCAGCCTTGCCATCACTGGAAAAATGATAGAGTATTCTGAAATACTTTACAGTGACAGATTTGTAACTCTTACTTTCAAGATATGTTTATTTGTCAATCAGTATAAACATAATTCTACAAAAAATACGGTTTTATATAAGACGCCACACAAGAACCAACCTGTAGCTAATACTTCCTCACAAACTAATTAGCTGCAAGAACTGGTATATTATTTTCTAATTATGTTACTGTTACAAGATAGTTGACCAATAACACTAAACTTACATGTTCCCTCCTCACCACACCTCTCCTTTTTTTTGGAAGGCTCTCTACTTTCGGCTGAGAATACCAAACATCATAATACGATAAAGCTTTATGAAAAATAACTCACGTAACATTGGTGACATTACAAACATTTTAATAAAGCTATATGCAATAAGTAGTTTAATGATTTTCATTACAACCAATCTGAACATTCCTCTTATATGTTTGCAAGTTGATGATATGTAAACTGTGAATTCCAAAACCACTTCAGTAGTCAAACTCGCTGATGATGTTCTATTGCTCACACTTAGCGCATCGAAAGTAGCCTTTTAGAGGCAACAACTTTTAGCTTCCCTGGAAAGCTTTCTTATTTAAGTATTTTTTACATCCCTTACACAGAAATAATTTTCAAAGTGCAAGCAAAATTGACAACCATATAATCTTTTAACATCTGCAGGCTCCTCCTTTGGTTCCTTGGATGTTGCTCACAATAAGACTGCAGTAGAATTATAACTGAGTCATAAAGTTTTTTTGAATTTACATTGGAACTATGCCTTGTTTCTATACATAAGGACAACCGCACCCATGGTTCATTTAGCCATCTTCAAAACCTGTCAGAAGCAAATGCCAGTGTCCTGGGTTTGAGTGAGTGGGGGCTTTTTTGGGTAGCATGGGAGGGGGCCTACAGTGGTGGCCTCCTGTGAGAAGCTTCTTGAATCTCATTCCCCCCTCCCCAAGTAAGACCCACCTCTGCACCAAGACTGAGCCAATCAGCTGCGCCTCTGAGAAAATATATTTAAAAAGGGACCTGGGAGGAGGAGTTGGAGTTGTGAGGAGGAGTTGCGACATCTGTGTGAACACCAGGGTCAGTGGAAAAACAGAGGAGGAAAGGGGGGAAGAGAAGATGCACCACAGCAGAGACCGCCCTGTATCCTGCGGTGAGATGGACAGGTGGCCCCCCCCGCCATCCATGGAGGTCTGTGGTGGAGCAAACACTGATAAGGCCTGTGAAGGACCCCACACATACATTTAAGGTGTCTGTGCTCAAAGGAGGCGGGGATCCTGTGGGAAGAAGCAGCCGCCGCTGTTGTGGTTTGGCACTGGGAGGACTGCAGCATGTGGGGGTGTCCCATGCCGGAGCAGCTCAGGAAACACTGTGGCCCGTGGGAGGGACTCAAGTCAGAGAAAAGTCGTGGAAGACTGTCTCCTGTGAGAGGGGGACCACACTGGAGCAGGGGGAAGAAGTTCCAGAAGCTCCCCCCCACTGGAGATGGAAAAAGCGGCAGCACTGACTGCACCCCCCATTCCCTGCCCCTGCACCACCTGGGGGAGAAGGTAGAGATATCGGGAGCAGAGCTGAGCCCAGGAAGAAGAGAGGGGTGAGCGGAAGGTGTTTTTAAGATTTCTCACTGTCCTACACTGTCTGTTAAGTGTTGTTGTTGTTAGTGTCTGAACTAAATTTATGTTCTTTTTTCTTCCCTTAATGAGTCTACCTTTTGCCCGTGACCATAATGGGTGATTCATCTCTCCCTGTCGTATCTCAAATCCCAAGCCAGGCTTATTTTTTTCTTCTCAGCACTGGGGTCGAAAGGAGAAGTGAGCAGCTGCGTGGTGCTCAGTTGCTCTCTGAGCTCAAACCACCAAGCCTTTTGCTTTATTTTTTCCTTCTCAGCACTGGGGGAGAAGTGGGGAGGACCTGTGTGGTGCTCAGCTGCCTTCTGAGCTGAAACCACAACACTGTGGAGGAATATGAGAAAAGCATAAACATACAGCATGACTTCTCCAAATCCTCTCCAGCTACTGTCTGTGACTCAGGCAAACACAAAAACATCACCTGCAGCATTTGACACCCTCTGTTAAATGGCTGAATCAACTTGTCTCACACTGTGAGTCCATATACACTTTTAGTATACAGAACATCTCTCAGTAAGGAATTCAGCAGCCTTACTACATACATGGTGCCTGTCTGTGTGTTTTGAATGGGATACTTCCTTGCAAGTTCCATTCAACACCCTCTGTTTTTTGTAGAGCAAGAGACAGTAAAAAGTAATTCTTTGCTTGTCATCTCTGTAACACCTGTGTTTTGTTGAGTTTTTAATCAGAGTGCCACATCAGATTCACGAACAGTTAAATACAATTTAGCAGAGACTGTATTTTAAAAAAATAATCTTATGCTCAGAGAATTTTCACTTCCCTGATAATCACCAAAACCCATTCAGTATTTAGAAAACAAAAGAAAGGAAAAATAACACACGACAGATACAGGTTTGAGCAGCTATGAAGGCATGCCTTAGGTTGGAAGGATAAATATGCAAGATATTTTCACATTTGCCTTTACTTTTCTTGCAGACCACACAACAAACACACCATGCTGTATGTCACCAATTACTACACTGAGGAAAATCAAATGGTGTGACTTCACTCAAATCCACTCTTCCTGAATCTTCAGAGCATCTCTAAAATGCATAATCTAGAGAGACAGCTCCCCAAGAAGCTAATACTACCTAGTCTGCAATAAATCCCTAGGCCTGCTCTCTCCTCCCTTGAAGGTTGTTATACGCCTCCAAAAGCAACCAAAAACTTTAAGAACCAGCTATGCAGTGGAATTTAGGGTGACCAAACAGGGGAAACAAGGCAGCAGCTCTCACCTGTGCCTTTTCTACTTGCTCCCAGAACTAAAAGTTCCCCTGAGATTCTCCTAGCAGTTTTATGTTGGATACTACTTTCTCCCTCCAGTTAAGCTGTGGAACCCATCACAGTGCTCTAGCAGTCCACATTTCTCTTCTTGTAAGTGCATCATTTCCCAAAGTGCACCTCCAAAGAAGGTCTTTCCTAGCCACATTCCACACATTTCACTGCATTGACAAACTAAAGAGGTTGGTACACTACATTCAGTGTGAACAGTTTCCATCACAAACAGTGTTAGTTTTCTTATAACTGCCCTACTTCTTTAAAACAGCAGGATACAGTTTTCTGGATTTGTACGCTTGGATATTTTCCACCTTTATTGAGGATCAGTAACCTGATCTCTGTTATACATAAATTTTATTTATAAAAGCTGAAAGAAAAACATCCTTACAGCATAATGCAAAACAAGTCTAAATGTAAAAGATGTAAGATACAAGTGAAATAAAAGGCAGCATGGGTTTAGTAAAGACATGCCACACCAACTAGCCTGATACTTGAATTTCCAGTCACACAAAACAGAAGAGTGTAAGAAGACCTTGTAACATGTCATAAAGGACAAATTTCAACTAAAAGAATAGATGTATTCATGCAAGATGCAAAACCAACAAGCTAAAGAAGTGAGAATGTTCTGAAGAGCAATTATGAGACTGAGGAAATGTCCTGAAGAACTGGTCTGTACTGCATTTGGCAGGGAGAGAGTTCATTTTATTCGCAGTAGCTCATATGGCGCTATGTTTCAGATCTGTGAGCAAAACAATGTGGACAGCAAACCCATGACTCAGCTACCGTTGAGCAGTGTTTACATAGCATCCAGGCCTTTTCTCAAGCTGCCCTATCAGCAAGCAGGCTGGGGGTGCACAAGAAGCTGGGAGGGGACACTGACAGGGCACTCAACCCCAACTGGACAAAGGGATATTCCATGCCATATGATGTCATGCTCAACAGTAAAAGCTGGGGGAAGAAGGAAGAAAGGAGGACATTCAGAGTGATGGCATCTGTCTTCCCAAGTAACTACCACACGCAGAAAGCCCTGCTTTCCTGGGGATGACAGAATGTCAGAAAGTGGTGAATGAATTCCCGGTTTTGCTCTGCTTGTGTGTGCAGCTATTAAACCGTCCTTATCTCAACCACGAGTTTTCTTACTTTTGCCCTTCTGACTCTCTACCCATCCCATCACGGGGGTGAGCAAGCAAGAAGATGTGTGGGGCTCAGCAGCAAGCCAAGGTTAACCCACAACAGGGAGGTCCCGAAGGGCTTGGTCCTAGGACCAGCCTTACCATGCACTTCCACTGCAATGAAGAGCACTTAAAAAATTAAACAATGGAAAAGGAAAAACGCAGAAAGTTCTCCCTAACACATGGTGAAGTAAATAGGAAACAGGAAGTGATGTAAGAACACAAAATCATTCAGCTGTCAAGTGCACAGAATTTTTGCTGCAGACAGCAAACCGGAGCTCCCTGCTGCCGCAGTGCCAGAAAAAAACGAGTATCAGACCACACTAGGTCCCTCCTTTGCAGTCTTAATACTATTTTATAATAATTTGAAATTAATATTATCTCAAGGACCTTCAGTGCAGCCGCAGCAAAGAAATGCAGGCTTTACTTAGTTTGCAAATGCACCAGACACTCAGAAGTCGTCGCCCAGTTACCGCATACACAGCTGTGACCAGGCACCGGCCGGAGGGCAGTGCAGCATCTATTTCAGGAGGTCTGCAACTCCATCCCAAAGCAGGGGCAGTCAGGAGGCGACAGGCCGCCACGACAAGCGTCACGGGAGAGCCAGCCACCACCACATCCTAAGGGGCTCCCGAAGGCGGGTGGGGGCGGATCCCCCCACCTCCCCAAGCCCGCCCCATTCGCGCAGATCCACGGCCAGGCGGTGGCAGCGGCCCTGGGAAGACCCCGCCAGCGGGAGTCTCCCTTCCTCCCCTCCTCCTCCTCCTCCTCCTCCTCCTCTCCACACCCAGGGCTACCGCAAGGCCCTCGACCGAGACTCACCTCTCGACCGCCGCAGCCTCTGCTCGGGCAGCCGCCGGGGACCCCGGCCCTCGAGGCTCCGCGTCCGCCGCATCGCCGGCGGCCCTGCCCGCGGGCCGCACGTTGGGCCGCACGTTGAAGCGGGCCCGGCGGAACATGGCGCCGGCCGCGCTCTCAACCCGGGGGCCGCTCGGCACGGGCAGGGGCGCACGCGCGCACAGGCGCGCGCGTGGACACGCACACGCGCCTGCGCCCCGCGGCGTCCTCAGCGGGCGGTGTCAGGAAGGGGCGGGCGGGGAGCGGAGCCCCCGGGGGGGGTGGGTTGTGGAGCGGGGGGGGGGGGGGGGGGGGGGGGGGGGTGAGGCGGCCGGTGCGCGGCGGAGCCCACGCGGGAAAAGTCGGCCCAGGGGGCGAAGTGCGTAAGGCACCAAACGCCGTCTCTAACGCCTCATCGTCTCAAAGGCCGTCCTGCTCTCCTCAGGCGGAGGCACCTCGGGACCGGCCCCCCCCCCCCCCCCCCCCCCGGGCGTTCGCGTTGCCCGCGACCGTCCGTTTCAAGCAGACAAAGGAGGTTCTGGCAGCTGGGGAGGCGTTTTCCTGTGGAAGGGCTTGGGCGGTGTCAGGAAGAGCGGACATCCTCGGGTGGGCAAAAGCACTCAGTTGCTGTCAGTGGGCAAAGCTAGAAAAGGCAAAGGAGTGCCCAAAGAAAGCAGCAAAGTGACACCTGTGAACTAAGGTAATTAGAGAATAGATATTTGAGGAGTAGAGTTATTAGGATCAATTTAAGCTGTTTTAGCCATTTAACCATTGTGCTGTAGAATGAATACTAATCTTTTGAGGAATAGTTGGAATAACTGTAGGATAAAGAACTCATAAATAATCTCACTGGAAACGGTTTGGTCTTGTAGTGGCAGGTGCAAAGAAACATAAAGAAGCTGCAAATTAGCAACAAACCAGACCAGGCCAGCCTTGAAGGACAAGATGTATGTGACTACAGGACTGAGTTTGCGCCGAAGTAAGGGTCAACTGGTGAGCAAGACTATGAACCTTCATCTGAAGACCCCCGATGACCACCTGAAGACTCCAACAGACACGTGCAAGAGACATTAACATATGCTAAATGAGTTCCTGGAAAAGTAATGAATATGATCTGTGATTAAGGTAGTAGAAACGCTTGTTGTTTTCATTCTCACACACACACATTAGGAGGAGCTATCCGCTGTGTCCGGCGCTGTAATGAAGTGCCTGCTTTCTAAAACTCCAAAATCGAGTCTTAGAGTGAATTAATTACCACTTTCCGGTAACAAAAGAAAGCGGTTTGCTTTTAGTTTGGGGTTTGTTGGGGTTTTTTTAGAAAAAGCTTTCATTGGTGATTTTCACTGACAGCGATCCGTCGTGATTTTCCACCTGATTGTTGATCAAAAGCCGCTTCTACAAGGACGTTTCGGCAACGCACCTTCCTCCGGGCGTGCAAATCCAGGTGCCTTTCACCTCCCCCGTTCCAGCCAGCCCGGCGGCACGGCCGCCGTTACCCCGCTCCAACACCAGGCGTGCCGTGCCGTGCCGTGCCCTGCCTACCACGGCGTTCCCCGTCGCTCGAGGGGAGCTCGATGGCCCTAGACCTGTTCGCCAGGAGCGGCACCCCAACGCGTGGAGCGGCCGAGCCCCCTCAGCCCACGCGCGGGCAGCACCCGTCCTTCACCCGAGACGACCCTCCGGCCACGCCACCCACCCGCCGCGCGGCGGCGGCATGCAGCCCGCTGATTGGGCCAGGCCTTTAGCACCGCCTCCTGCGGGCCGCGCTGACGTCATGCCCCAGCAACGCTTTATAGGGGGCGGCCGCGGCGAGCGGCCGTAGCAGTCGGCGCAGTCGGCGGGAGGGGTGGGTTGCGCTGCGGTGGCGGCCTGAGCGTCTCGCGATGACACGTGAGTGCTGGCAGTCCCCCGGCGCCCCGTGGAGGGGTGGCCGGGACACCCCCCCCACGGCTGCGGGGCCGCCCGGCTCCAGGCCCGCGGAGATGGGCGGGCCTGGGTGGGCGCGACGCCCACGGCACCCCGGGGTTGGGGGTTGGGGGGGGGGGCGGGGAATGTTCTTGTGGACTCGGCGTCCCCGTGGCGAAATCTCCGCGGCGAGTGCGTGGGCTGCGGCTTCCCACGTCCTGCCGCCGTCCTGGGCGTGGAGCAAAACCAGCCTCACCTCGTCCCCTGGCGTAGCTGTGCTAGGGGGCGGGGAGCAGGAAGCAAGGTGTTGATCTGCTGGAACAACAGTAACGCTCAGTTTCAGTCCTGGCTACCGTCCAGTCTGTAAGTAAAGAAAGGGCTTTTACACTGCCGAATAGCTAATGCTACGCTGCTTAAATGGTGGTTGTTAAAGCTGTGGCTGAAAGGACGACAACAGGCCTTGCTAATCACCGTCTTATTCAAAAGTAAGGTCAGTATATCTAAAATGGCGGAGAGCAGTGAACCAGGCCTAGAATACTCTGCCTCGCCTCACTGATGGGGTTGCTGTTTAGGCTTCTGCATACACTTGGCAGTACAGAAACAGCCCGTGTTTAATTGTGGAGGTGCTTTTACATTTATGCTTAAAAATACATAGCTTCGAAGCCACTGTACTGCTGGCAGCTCACATGAAAACCTCACTGTAAACAGCTTGTGCACTAGTGGATCAGATCTTGAATGTGAGGAAGAGACAGTGTCATGTCCCACTCAGATGAGGGCGACAAATGACTTGGATCCAAAAATCTCTGATGTAGCAGACAACAGTAAGACAACTCTCAAAGTCCATGCACAAATGTCTATTAATTTCCCACAGTGTACTAACTGAACACATGATAATTGGCTAAGTACATAACAAATTATGGCAAGTGATGTAGTATGCCTTGCATTACTTAATCGTAGGAAGGGGAAAAAAAAAAAGGAGGGAGAGAGAATAAAGAAACTGAGATCACTAGTCTGGGGTCCTGCGTTGGTCCCATCGGAGTTCATCAGGAATTCCTTTGTCTTTTTCCCTTCTTTCTTTCTGTGGCTTGCTCACTCACTTCCCCCACTCAATTTATACATACTTTCTTTGGGTCTGTCCCTTAGGTCTACCTACATATTGCATGTATGGGGAGGGGTAAGGTGCTTAATGGGATGATATAGCATATTCAGCAGCATCAACTTTTATATACATTTTGTGGATAATGAAGCAAAGGTCATTTACTGGACAGATGGCCCTTGAAACTTTACAAGATGCACCAGAGCAGAGCTGCCCTTTCTCCACAGTGCCCCCCCCCCATCAGCTATATCCTGTGCTATCCCAGCAGCAATTATCTACCCTGTAACTGTAGTTTTGTTTCTTGTGAGTATTGGAGGCATTCGTTGGCTAGGAGGGTCTCCACTCCCCCCCATCCTTATCTCTTTCTCTGGCTGCTTTGGGGAGTTAGAAGTCGGCACTCAGAACAGGTTTATGTCTTTTGTTGCTATTTTTTTCCCATGTTCTGCATGATGCTAAAATAATCATAACCTAAAGCTAAAAAAAGGGGCACAGCATCTCACACTTGAGCATAGCAGAACGCTAACGTTTTGTTTCAGGATGACCTAGGTTAATACAGTGTCTCATACTAGAGGTATAGAAGCTGTGTTGTGCTACCCTAGAGTCCTGTCTGAGCTTTAGTACATGTTTCCAGAGTACTGGAACAACACTTTGTTGTCAGTCAGACCTGGACTTGACACTGTGGTTTCAAATGGACATATAGTATAATATAATAAGAATTGATTGCTTATTAACAAGTGCTTACTGTGCCTCAGAGTCCCTAAATTCATGGTACTTGTTGCACTGCCAAATTTCAGGATACCTGAAAATTGAATAAATCTGTGAAGGTGGTGATGACTAGATGAGCTGGAGGGTTTGTCACTTGTCTTCCATTATTGCTTTGTTATTGCATCAAATGGCTCTGTCTACTTTTGCTTTTGAGGCCAATCAAATAATATTTATTTAATGTTACTATGTGTATGGAATAACTGCAGACACCCTGCACAATGTTTGCTTGGAAAGGAAGTCATAAGGTTAAGGGTGGAGGATAACTGCTGTATGAATTCTCACTATAGCAGTGTGTTTTGACTTCCTCTTTCTTTTTTCATGATAAAAGATACTTAATTTCTTTAAGCACCACAGAAGAGCTGTTTCATTGCTGCTAACTTGTTCAGATGACATTCATGCCTTCTGAGTACAGTGAAACTCAAGAACCATTTATAGCCTGGAATGTATCATCTGCTCATGAGTCATCAAGTTCTAATCAACACCAGTACTGCTAGATATAGTTAGATGTTTTACTTCAGCTTCTGAACAAGTAGTGGCCCTTCTGCATGGACTTTGGGGACAGGATCTCACTGAATGTTAGTGAGGAAGGTGGAGCATGAGTTCTCTTAACTTTTTCAAAAGGTAGTCCTGTCACAGGTGAAGATGTAAGGAACTGAAGGAACTGATGCCTCAAACTTTCCTCAACATAGAATGCCTCAAGGACAACTTGTGGCCCTTGTGATTAGGCTAAGGAGTGCTGCCTAAGGAAGCATGGAGTGTATTGAAGGATACACAGCTTCGCTCTTGCAATTGTACTGCCATGTTCTTTAGAATGAGCCTCAAAGGAGGGAAGTGTGGACCGAGTGAAACCATATGTTCAGGTTAAAAGACTGATAAGAGATAAATAACCAAAATGACCTAAGCAAAAACTGAGGAAAAAAATAAAGGTGGGGAGGAGGGAGGGGGAAAAAAGGGGCAAATACAACCACTGACTCAATTGGACAAGGGGGTTGGTGCACCCCATTCCCCCTCAATGCATGTGCAGAACCCATCATCTACCCTTTCCTCATCTCATGGAAATGAGTTTGTGGAATACCTGCCTCTCTTTGTCTAGTATGCTCATCAGCTGATAAAGATGAACTTAAAAGGTGACAGAAAACTTTGTGTGTGCACCCACCACCCAAGATAACCGGACCTGAGGCAACACTGGAACCTGACTGGTGAACTGTACTCTTCCTCTTTCATCCTCTCCTCTTCTTTCCTTTCTTTTCTTTCTCATAGATTTTATCAATAAGAGACCACACTGCTTACTATCCTTTTCCAGGTTGAAGTTGTTTCTACCTCAAGTAAAATATTTGTAACAGGTCATTTGGTGTCATTTCACCTTAATTTAACCTAAGGGGATAACAGAACTTTCAAGACTCCCTGGGTTCCCGGTCCAGGTTGTAACATAAGTATATCTTCCAAGGCAGCAGCAGCCCTCAGGAAGCAGCAGTCATAATACACTATTTTCATTTGGGCTTCTGGCACCTCTTACCAGACAGTCCATGTACTGGTGTGAAGAATGCACAGAGCACCTGCTATCACAGGGTTGCTCTTGCCTGCTTGTTGACATGGCAGGTACCTCTCAGCTCAGAAGTGGGGTGAGTACAAAACTGTGGATTGTATCAACAGATTGCTGTTTAAAATTGACTTAGTCATAAACTGCTTCCATATACCTGAAGTTACAGGCACCAGAAGATTGGAGAGATCTATCTTTGAGACTGAAAGACAGTATAGGTAGTCTTAAGCCCAAAGAGAGACTGAAAAGAGGCACAATAGAAATTATGGGAGGATGGAGCTTTCATTTCTGAGTGCAGAAAACTGTGATCATGTTTGTTGAACAGCATAAGTGATTATGCCTAGTGTATCTGGAACACTTTGAGCCCAAAAGCAGCAGGGCAAGAAATACCAAGCAAGTGAACCAGATCTGACAGGTTAAAGCAGACCAGAACTGCTGTAAGGAGGTGGATACCAAGGAAAGATTGTTAGCTAATGCAGAAGAGTTGGTAGTTGTGGTAGCTATGGCCATTGCCTGGAAGACCCAAAGTGTTCAGATGCAGAGTTGCATCTGCTCTGAGCAGTAGTTGGGTTGTGCTGGTTTTGATGTCATGTCCTCAGGAATGTTGTCTGTTGGAAAAGTTTGCATGCCTAACTTAATAGCAATACAAAGGGTTTGTAGTCCTGGGGAAAGCTGCCTGGCCCCTGAAGAGGTGTTCTCTTCACTAGCAACAGTATCTTTATATATATAATGTTAGTCTTCTGACTTGTTGAAGGTGAGGCTAAGCACTTGCTAGAGTCATGTTTAAGTGCAGCACTTGACTTCAAATAAAAACATCTTTTGAGGTCACCTGTTTAATAGTATTTGAGTGTAATTAACTGAATGGGCTAACAGTCCATCACAAGCAAAGTGGGTAGAACAACTATAACTGTGCCCTTGCTGCCATACTAAGGGAACATCTACATAGAGAAACTCATAAAATGAGGAAGATTAAAAAATAGAGTTGTTGGTTTACAATTAAATCTAAAAAACATGCACAGGAAAAAAAGCTATAAACAGAAACTCATAACAGTGCATGGAAAGAACCTTCCTAAATGCTTGTTTGCTAATTCCTTCAATAGCATGAAAATACTCTTGCCTGTGAACAGCATTAGGGTTGTCCACCCTGTGCAGGGGTATATGCATGCACCTGATCAGAGACAGTGGTAAGTCATTTTATTCTAAACAAGGTGTCTTGATGAGGAACTGGAGTTTTTGTTGTGTCCCAACTTCAGCTTTGTCACTTCTTTTGCATGGGGGTCTGTGGTATATGGTAGGTAAACAAAGTCTTAGGCTGAAGCTCTGCAGCTGCCATAGCCTCATACTGCAATACATGTCAGCTGCCCTGGAGCGAAAATGAAACCTACATACAGCTGCTTGTGTACTATGTGGTCTTGTCTGCTTTTGTGGTTCCCAGGGTAACGCAACTGTAGTGCTTGATAGTGCTAGCTGACCTTCTGGAGCATGAATGCCCAATAATACATTATGAATCCTGTGCTGAGTAGTTTGGGGGACTTTATCCAATAAAAATTAAAGCCAAAGTTCCCATATATATATATATTAACTATACCGGTCATCTTCTAAGTAGCATCTGCAGAAGTTTATACTTTCTACAAACATATGTGAGGCCCCTAACTGCTATTACTAAGTATGAGCAAGACTTAAAAACTTCCTGGTGCTTGGCCATGGGATGTGGTGAAGTATGTCGGTGGTTTTGTATGGCAGCACTACAGACTGAGAGCAGGTAGATGTTTCTGGATCCCAAATACTTCCAGCCATTTGCTTTTTGATTTCTTAGGGGGCCTTCAGAAGAGTTTGAGGGTTTATTAACTTTATCAGGCTGCCTTCACTATAATGCCATTCTTATAGTCTAAAATGAATTTGTAGACTATCTTAGATGCTGGAACCTGCTTGAGATAGAGAGGGTGGCTCCCCTTTAGATAAGTTACTGTTGTCACTTTGCCTGGGCCATTGATGGGGTGGTCTGCCTTCTGTCTTTACGGGAACCTGCTTTATGTTTCTAGAAGGAATGTTGGAATGGATTTTGATGATCTTTTGGATATGACCTGTAGAAATGTGAATGTGACAACTAACAGGCTTTCATGCCTCCCACTGTGTACTGAAGGGGGAGACTGTGATGGAAGGTACTGCCAGCTAGAGAAGATAACTGCCATACCAGCTCCACAGATTGAGCCAAACCATACCACCTTTATAGAAGACTTTGACATATGCAAATTGTGTGTAAAACATAGCACCTGTATAAACTGTATTATCTTACAGGTGGAAACCAGCGTGAACTTGCCCGCCAAAAAAACCTGAAGAAAACTCAGGAGATCCACAAAGGGAAAAGGAAAGAGGATAGCTTGTCTGCTTCTCAGAGAAAACAGAGGTAACATCTAATAAAGTTGAGTGAAATAGTTGGGCAAAATAGGAGGGGAAAGCCAACCGTACCCTGGGCTGCATCATGAGAAATGTGGCCAGCAGGTTGAGGGATGGGATTCTCCCCCTCTGCTCTGCTCTTCTGAGACCCCACCTGGACTACTGTGTCTAGCTATGGGGGCCCCAGCATAAGAAGAACATGGACCGGCTTAAATGGGTCCAGAAGAGGCCATGAAGATGATCAGGGAGATGGAGCACCTACCCTGTGAGGGCAGGCTGAGAGAGTTGGGGCTGTTCAGCCTGGGGAAGAGAAGGCTCCAGGGAGACCTTATGGCAGCTTTCCAGTACTTAAAGGGGGGCTACACTAAAGATGGGGAGGGAACTCTCTATCAGGAAGTGTAGGGATAACATGAGGGGTAATGGCTTTAAACAGAAAGGGGGTAGATTCAGGTTAGATGCAAGGAAGAGGTTCTTCCCTGTGAGGGGGGTGAGGCACTGTCAGAGGTTGCCCAGTGAAGCTGTGGCTGCCCCCTCCCTGGAAGGGCTCAAGGCCAGGTTGGACGGGGCTTTGGGCAACCTGGTCTGGTGGAAGGTGTCCCTGCCTGTGGCAGGGGGTTTGGAACTAGATGGTCTTTATGGTCCCTTCCAACCCAAACCATTCTATGATATAGTTCTATGATATAATAAAATGGGTCAGAAAAAAACCAGTCTTAGCTGAAGCGGCATTTAAGTACTTTGCTTTGATTCACAGTCCATTCACATACCAGAGCATAAACTGTGGATGTAGGTTTTATTGTATCTGTTGTTAAACAGATTTATTTTTTATAACACCTGTAAAGCTTTTATTTCTTTTGAGCAGCTTTTTGTCTGGTATGAGCAGGAAAAGATGGTGTAATACTTTATTGAATATGTGTGATCCATGGTGTGCTTCTAAACTGGAAAGAATTATAAGGTCTACTAATCAAGTAGCTTGTCTGCCTCGTGGGGTACTGTACTGAAAAAAACAGGATAATAGAAACTGTGCGTTCATGGCTAAATGAGAAGTTTTATATAAATCTTTTTCCTTTCTTGAAATGGGGGTTGCTAAAGGGCAAAAACAAGCTGGAGGAGACTCTGCTTAGAAAAACAGTGATCCAGTATCTGAAATCCAACTTTTTTTCTTTACAGAGACTCTGAAATCATGCAGCAAAAACAAAAAGCAGCTAATGAAAGGAAGTCTCTGCAGGCAGGAGCAAAATGAGCTGCCTGAATGGAGAAGTGCAGCAATGACGCAGGAGGGCCTAGAAGATCATTCATAAGTGTCTAGCCATTAAATGATTAAACGTCTATCTTGCAGAGTTGTTCAATTGGCATTAGAGTATTTTCTGGTTAGCATAGGCTTAGTTGTCTGGAGCGCTGTTTCAAAACTGACTACTCTTCTGCATGCATGCGAATAAATGTACCAAGCAATACTCTAGCTTTTTGTTGCATTTGTTGGTTTCACTTAAGGGTTCCAGTAACAATTAATTTCTGAATCTGCTGTTAGAGCAGATTTTATTGTCTTAAAAGTGTACAGCTTGGAACACACTTGCAAAATGTTCTTAAGTTTACACAGGTCTGAACTGTAAATCTCAAATTATTTTTACAATAAAATGTTGCGTGAGAAACGCTGCCTAGTCTGAAGCGGTTATCTTGACAATCACTTGATTTCTGAGGAATTGCCAAGAACAGATAGAACAGTGGAAAAACGCAATGGAAGTACGGAAGTGTAGCAACACAAGTGTAAACGGAAATGGTAAGAAATGGACGTCGGGAGCACTACGGTGCACCGCCCCGCCGTTGGGAAGCGGAAGTGACGCCACGGCTCGCGGCAGCCCGGCGCCGCGGGTGTCCCCGCCCCTCGCGGCGCCGCCGGAAGTGACGGGCGCGACCGGGGGCGTGCCGCCGCGGCGCGGGCCGGGGCTCGCCATGGCGGACGGGGTGCTGTTCAGGCGCGGCACCGGGCAGGTGGGCGCCGGGGGCGGGGGGTACGGGGGGGGGGGGGGGGGAGCGGGGCTCTGAGTCGCGATAAAGCGGTCTGTCGCCTCCGCAGAGCGACGACTCGGACGTGTGGGACGACACGGCTCTCATCAAGGCGTACGACAAGGCGGTGGCCTCCTTCAAGGTAAGGGGCGAGGGGGGGCGGGGGGGGCGGCCGGGGGCGCTGGGCCGCCTCTCACTGTGTTCTTCCTTCCTTTTGGGCGAAGAACGCCTTGAAGAACGGCGAGTGTTCGGAGCCGTCGGGCAGGCAGGAGCAGCGCACGGGCCTGAAGAGGAGGAACAACAAAAAGAACAAAAACAGAAAGAAGAGCAGCCCAGCGCCTTCGAAACAGGTCGCCTCGCCAGTTAAATGCTGTCGGTGCTCGTGCTGCGTGTTGGGCTGCTTTGCGGTACTCAAAAGCAGCTTCTTCATCGCCTTGAGAGCAAGAAAGTCGGGGCGAGGGGATAATAATGTTATAAACCTCATTTATAATGAGGCTACGTTGAGCAGTTTTGCTAAATGCCAAGGGAAAACTTTCAGGGTGGGTGCCCTTTTTCCCGTGGTTGGGACAAAAAGTGGTTTAGAAAAAGGCGGCTTTCTCTGTTGAGCGTTGCAGCAGGCGTTGACTTGTTTCTCTTGCTTGTGTTGCAGTGGAAGGTTGGTGACAGCTGTAACGCCATTTGGTCGGAGGACGGCAATGTGTACCTCGCGACTATTGCTGCCATCAACCAGAAGAGAGGCACCTGCGTTGTTACTTACATGGGATACGGAAATCAGGAGGAGCAGAACCTGTCTGACCTACTTCTTCCAAACAGCGATGAAACAGTAAATGGGATGGGGAATCCTGGGGAGGTGAGGGAGGCTTTTTCATTCTTCTGGAAAGTGGGAGGATCGACTTTTTTCAGTATTTCTGGTACCACTGTGGTGTTCAGAGTGAGAATCGATACCCGATTCCATTGTGAACAGACACAAGCCAATGGAGGGAATGAAAGCATCCCCTTACTTCTCAAACTCAGGATGGAAGAAAGGGAGGGGACAACAAGAAATTCACGAGTGAAAGATAACATAAGTAAAATGGTGAGCAGAGAAGATTATGAGGTTATAAGACCTTTCCTGAGTAGAACTGGGAGGGGTGCAGAGACGGGAGGGTGAGGACTGGGGCTTTCCAAGTTTTTTCACACTCAAATTGCATGTGGTAAATGGCTGTTTAGTGCATCTCATAAGAATGTCTTGGTCTTCTAGAATGAAGATGAAACTCCACATTCAACAGATGAAAGTGAAAAATCTTTCCAGTCATATCAAAACAAAAACAACTGCACGAAAGAAAGATTCTCCCCTCAAAACCTACGTCTTCCCATACCACCAGCAGCCCAATGTCTGGGATGGGTAAGCTCAGCCTTTTCTGAAATAATTCACATACCACCGTAAGCCTGGTGTTGTTATAAATTCTGAGACAATAGGATGATACTTATCGTTGTCTAGAAACCAAATAACAGCATTTTGACAATGGGTGTACAGATATGCTCGTTAGAACCTGTTGGTGTGTCATTTTGTAATAATCTGGCCACAGTGTAGCCCTTCTGCAGGGCTGCTGTCTAGTGAGGAAAGCCTTCTCCCCACCTCTGCAATTGCCTTGCACCTTAAAAGAGGGTTGTTGTTCCCTGGACTCTGATAATGCTGTTAATGGTAGCACTGTTGATGTTTTGAGATTGCGCTTTCTCTAGGCAATTGGTATGTTTCACTGCACAGGACACTGAAGGCAGCAAAAGTGATGGCCAGATGTCATGGAAGCTCTCAGCTGCAGCTTCTCTATTGAATTATGAGGGCTGGAGTGTTCATATACTCTTCGGTTTTTCTGTTGTGTATGAGTCTAATAGTGCAGTTGAACACAGCATTACGTTTTCTAATGTTACTGTTTGTACAAGGGTTTTTTTATAACATTTTTTTTGATTTTTTTTTTTTCTTTCATATCCATAGATTTTTATCTAAGCTCATTTTAAAGACATTCAGAAGTATAATGGAATTTAGACAGCATATGCCCCCAGCCACCCAGGAGCAGAGAAATTACCTGTTTGCCCATGGGTAATAACAGACGTGTTTCTTCACATGAGAGTGCAACCACTGACTTCTATTTAGAAAAAACTTTTTTAAAATGCTTCTATTAACTAGAACCTTATTTCAGCACTATTTACCTCAGTGACGTGTAATGCAAGTTTTACTTTTCCAGTCATGGAATACTCCACAGACATAGCTACTTCATGTTGTTATTGCAGTTTCATTAAATTGCTGGCATGTGTTATCTTTAGTTTAAGGTATGTGAGTTGCTGCAAATAATTCTCTTAAATAAAATCCTAATGCCTGATATTTCTTTTAACTTGCACTATTCGATTTTTCAATGTAGCCTGGATCAAAATTCAGAGCATCTCCATCATTTTTATCCTGCTGGCCCCCACCCTTCCCAGCAGGACCACCGGTAAGTGATAGAATGAGGAAGAAAAGTGTCAGAGATGAGTAGTGGTGATCTCAAGTTTTCTAATTGAATGTGCTCACCGCCCGTGTTTTTAGAACACGCTTCTCTGTTAGAGTCTGTATTTTCCAGGTATTTGATAACTCATTCCATTATGTGTATTACAAGAATCTCATGTGCAAGGTCTGGTCTGCACTTATTTTTGTGACAGTGAAGCTGTTGGTAAGAATATCGAGAGAAAAAATATTTGAAGAAACTACATCTTACATTTGATTAACAGCATTACACTGATGCAGATAAATATTTTCTCCTAATAAAACTTTTTGTGTAGAGTCAAGCTACAGGAATCCTCTTTCTCCCAGGCTTTGGAAATTACGTGTTTTAGAAAATACCGTGTTATTTGACTCCTTTTCAGATAATGCGTTGACGATATGTTCCTATTTCAGTTTTATGTTTTCATCTTTTAGAATTGGTCGGTATCTCACCTGGCATATACCCTATCAAAACAGACTTTTTCCTTTGTGATTTCTTAGTTGATTCCTCCTCCACCACCTATGAGGCCAGACTCTCCTGAGGATGATGAAGCATTGGGAAGCATGTTAATAGCCTGGTACATGAGTGGTTATCACACTGGGTATTACTTGGTACGTGCCACATTTGTCTTGAAGTGTCTTTGCAAGTTTTGCTTTTGTGTTGCTCCTGCTGCTTTCAGTGAGAAGTTAGACAGGGAGGGTTGCTCTATAGATCTCTTGTTCTAATTTATTTTAGCCAAATTTAAATGTATTTTGTATTGTATAAGTATTCTCGTCCTTGAGTAGGAGTCACATGAGCCAGCGTGTCTGTATAGTTCATGTTGCTTTAGTTCTTTGTTCCACCAGCAGGGTTCCATTAGGTACTTTGATAGCCAGTGTTTTATAGCCATTCTGAAATAAACAGTTCTGTCTTTATAGACAGGTGAAGTAAATCCAAGAATGTTTATTGTGCAGTAGCCTTCTGTGTATTTTCTTAGAGTTTGAGTGGTAGTATCCCATTTAGGATCAGATTTGGCATTTTTTCAGAGGCTATTCACCAGTAATTGTTTCAGGTGGTTATGAAGGTCCAGCAGGAGCTGTCAGCATAGTTATGAAAAATCTGTGACATGAAGTATTGATTTCTCTTTTCCTTTGTACACTTATGAAGAAATAAAATTACAGGAAGAATTAAACTCTTTGCATTGAGGAAGCTGGAGAGGCCAGATTTGGTGCCATAGGGTATCTTCAGAAGACTAGTTTGGGAATTTCTTGCTTCAGATTGTATATAATTGTGGACTGCTTTAATTTACTTCTCATTGAACAAGGAATATGTATTTAAAATTACTATGTAGAGCCACTGATTATAAAGAAGACATAGTTTGGCTTCTGCCCTTTTTAATGAAAAAAAAAAAATTTCCCAAAATATTTTTTTTGTGACTAAAGCTTTTATTTCCATGTTAATAAAAACAAGGTTTTACTAAACTGCATCCTACAGGGTTTAAAACAAAGTCGAATGGAAGCGGCACTGGAGAGGGAAACACATGCAAAATAACTGAATATTCATCAGTGTGTTGAAGGATTGTGAGTATCAGTTTTGTGCTAAATGAAGATACAGTGTTGCTTGACAAATTTGTTTGAAACTGCAGATCCTTTCACAAGCTGTCAACAAGTTTTGAATTCTGTGTGAAAACTGTGAGCTTCAGGACTTCCATCCACCTTTCTGGCTCTCTACAAAGACCACTTCTGCCACTATTAATTCCTTCTTTGCTTATCAGCTGTGGAATAGTATTTTCTTGGCTAGGATGAAGGAAAGTATTTTATTGCTCTGATGAGAGGTTTAACTACAGCATCTCTCTACATCAAGATTAATTATAAGAATTACCTTCATTTTTTAATGGGATATTTTGAAAATAAAAGGTTGTTAAGTGAAATGCATTTTTTTTCATCTACGTACACATCTTCAGAAGCAACTGCTTCTTTATATAGATGGGATAGCAGAGTGTGTAGCTAAACTCTTTTCAGGACAAGATCAACATTTCAGTTTGATAGTGAGGAGCAATTCTGTTCTCATTATTTCAGTGCCTGTGCCTTTATTTGAAAACCTTTATTTAGAATTTTTCAGTATGTTCAGCTCCTTACAGAACAAAAACTGTATTCTCTTGGGGAATTGGTTTTGTATTTCCTGTGACAACATCTAATTTCTATGCAGTTGAGTAATTCTTGTTTGCTTGTTTGTTTGTTTAAAAACAAAAAAGCTCTTGTATACTAATTTTTGTTGCTTTTTTAAATCCAGGTACAAATCTTTCCCACTGAGAGGTGTGTATCACTTGTGCATTGACGGTTGATGGTGAAGGTAAAAATTTTCTCAAGACAATTAATCTCAACACTTTCTTAACATTGAGCTTCCCCTGATGACAAGTAAACAGATAACTTGACACTAGTAATTATATGTCCATTGAAATGAGCTATTTCTTAAAGACCTCTAGTCAGAAGTATTTAGAAAGCACTGCATCAATAAAGCATTTTTTACCTCACTGAAACAATCTTAAGTCTTTTTACCACGTGATAGATTTAAGTCTTTCAGCCCCACATGGTAGATTTCCTTTATCTCTCACTTCAACATCTCTCGTATTCCTCAGCGTTTTTGTCTGAATGACAACACCAGAACTATCAATTAATGTATACTCTTTTAGGAGGCTGCTATGGCAGCAATGTATGTTACAGTGGCCACCACTGGCAATGACCTGGAAAATGGTATACCATCATAGTAAAAGAGATACCTTATGGGTCTGTTTAGTGTTTTGCCAACTGACGGGGTTAACACAAGGGGCACAGACACCAAGCTGAAGAAATAGGCTTATTTTGCTTTCGTTTAAAGCAGCAGAAAGAATAAGCAAGGTAACGCACCTAGTCATTGCTACATAAAGCTGGCTATAGTGATTAAGAAAGATCCATCACCAATTGCCCTCCGACTTTACCATCCCCCCGACCCGTGCACCAGCTGGGGAGCTCCGTCACAGCGAAGGGTCGCAGAGCCTTTCCCGGCAATGGGAAGTCCCACGCAGGGCGTCCGCTCGTAGGTGGGGTCTGCGTCTGTGCTGGGAGAGGGCCCGGCTTTTGTACAGTTTAACAAACAAAAAATCTATAAAATCTATACAAAACGCACGGGAGATACCTGGTAGATTGACGTGCCTCGCTCGGGCGTGTCCAGATCTGGCCAGGATCCGGGCACGTCTGAGGAGTTCCTGTTTTTCTTTACATTTGGGATTTATAGTTACTTTCTGCTGTTTATTTATAGTTCCCAGGGATTGTTCCCACGGTTGAATTTCATGCTGATAAGATGCTGGTTGCTGGTCAGGGAATTCACTCAGAAGTCAACTTTGATTTGAGGCCTATTGTTTGGGCCTTTTCTGTTTCATTTAGAAACCTGAATATGGCAGCTGGATTCAGAAAGGTTAATTTTTTGTTTCTAATGCTTGTTAATAAATTTCTACTTTTCAAGCTCTGAATTTAGGGGTGCGGTGTGTTTGGCGTTGTTTTTACTTTTAGCTCCAGCAGACATCTATCTGTTGGATGAATCGCTGAAATACACCAGAAAGTTTTGCTTTGTGGCATTTTTCTGCATACGATTACTAAAAGTAAACTAGAAATAGCAGACTGTGGAAAGGTGATGTTAAATGTGGATTTAGAATTCAGCCCTTACAGTCTTAACTTGTAGAAGAGAGGCTGTAGCCACAAAACTAGATGGTAATTTTGTTAATGCCAGTGGTTTGCTGAAAACTAGCCAAATACAGGCTTGAACTTTGCTGCATTCAGTTCCTTTTCCTACTGTGGTCAAGTGTCAGACAATCAGTTTTCCCACAATTAATTGAGTAAAAATAGAAAGTCATAATCTTAACTTCCCTAAGCCATGTTGAAAGCTTTTTCTTAATTGTCTAGTTGAAGTATATTAAGATTGCTTGCAGTGATGCAAAGCTTCTAAATAAGCTGTTCAGCAACTGTTCATTGCTAAATAGGCAAAACTGCCACCTGCCTCGGTCAGCTAGTCCTGTGTTAGTATCTGGCATTACGCTAGAGAAGGTGGCCGCCATCAGTTTTTAACACTAGTAAAATCTAGCATCCAGTATTTTTAGGGCAGTCTTGACCATCAAAGGGTTTATGATTTTTAATTCCTAAGTGATTAATGTAATTAACTTCACCGCAAGCAGAACTGAATAGAAATAATTTATTTTAAATAGGCTTTAAGCAAAATCTTACCTTTTTCTTTGGAAGATACCACTTAGATACAATCTGTAACAATATTTGCAAAGCAAATCAGGTTTTTAGTTACGTTAATCCTGTCTTCTATTCCTTGATCCTTTTACATTAACCTAACCCTGCCATAGAAGAGATGGGCATGTTTCATCCTGGTAAAAATTTTACAATATATGTTTATTTTCAATGCAGGTGTATAATTCATAATACAAGAAGGAGGAGGCAAAAACCCAAACCCTTACACTTTCAAACTTTTCTAAGTCTTGAAAAATTGGTCAAAGTGGTAAGACCCATTGCCAAGATAATTTTAAACTCCTAGACTGTGGATGCTGCTCCTTGATGATATCAAATATTTTAAGGTCCTCTGCATCAAGGAGCCAGCCCACCATTACTATTGTCACAAGACTAGACAATCGAGAAACACTGGCCAAAAGCTGTCACTGTTGATGCACTGGCTTTGATCTGATGTGTGAACACAGGGCTAATGTCCAGCTCTTTTAAAGCAGGCATGTTATTTATTAAGTGTTCTAAAAAAGCTTCTCCAGCCAGTTTCTGTAACATCATGAATTACTAACAGCAAGAGCTTTTCAAGCTTCTGGAAACCTCCACAGTTTGCAACCTTTGCTGCAAAAATAAGCAGACATCACTAAGGATTTAGAGATGCTCGAAACCCATATGGAACATGAATGAAAATACAGTGAAGCTGAGGTATTGTACATTAAAAGTAAAACAAAGTTCTTGCTATTAGGTTGAAAAAAGTAAAACTTTGAACTCATTTAAGCATTTTAGTACCATCAGGCTGAGGAGACTGATAAAAGAGAAGATACTTTAGCAGGCACATTAATACCTACTAGAATAAGATACTAGTGTGTTTACAAGTGCTCGAATACCACCTACAAAGCAAAGCAAAAACAAAGCAAGCTTGTGCAACCATGTGAGGTCAGACACCAGATCAGCTTTGCACAGATGAAAGATACTGAGTTGGAACGATCTCTTCCTGCCTACGTACCATGACATACGTTCTTCAGCCTTGCCTTATGGTCATCCTACTTAGAGAATGGGACTGGATATATACTAAAATGTATGTCAAAAATAAAGGAAGATGATATGATCTACTTAGCATTTTCTTACAAAAGAAGACATTTTCCCTAGCCTTTATATGAGATGGCAGTTTTAAGACTATACTAAATAAGTATTAAATTCAATAAATATTTTGGTAATACACAGTTTGAACAGTTAGGACATAATAGCTAATATAACTAACAATGCAGCTATGAACTTCTATTTTAAGGCCGTCTTTTTTCCCACTGATTTTTTTTCATGTAATTCACATTGCTTTGATAGAAGACAAGGGGAACTATGGAGGCATTTCAAAAGAGGTTTCAGCAAAGTCTAGTATATAAGCAGCCTGAATATGCTTTGACAAGCAAGAAATATTTTGGGCTGTGTATAGCACAAACAGGAAGAAATTATGTCCATTAAAAATTATGATTTGCAATTGTAATCTATAGAAACAGAAGATTAATGTATGCTGAAGCAGTATCTACTCAGAAATGTTATTTCATGTTTGAAGTTCCTTCGTGTAAACTCACCTATTTCTAACAGGCTCTCATCATCCAGGCAGGATAAATGAGAAGCATCTGAGGTGCAGCAGGTAGGTGTAAACACTGCTGAACAATCAGTTTGGCTACAGACATTATTCCCTTCCCTGCTAGAAGGATGAGCTCCTCCGGGTTAAGAACAACACCTAAATTGTATGCTACAGAGAGAAAAAGACAAACTTTTCCATTAAGATTCATAGAATAATAGAATGGTTTGGGTTTGTCGTGGTTTAAACCTGGTCAGCAGTCAAACCCCACGCAGCCGCTCGCCCACCCTCCCCAGCCCAGGGGATGGGGGAGGGAATTGGAGGCGTAAGAGAAGACTCATAGGTTGGGATAAAACCAGTTTACTAATTGAAGTAGAAGAAAACAATAAGAGAAAGTACAAACGGGCAATCCACAGTGCGACTGCTCACGACTCACGGACTGATACCCAGCCCATTCCTGGCTAGTGATCCTGAAACCACAACCACAGCAGCAAAAGAGGAGCCTGCCGTTCCCGGCCACCCCTCCTTTATATACTGATCATGACATTACATGATATGGAATATTTCATTGGCCTGACTGTGCCCAGCCCAGTGCTCTGGCCATGTTCCTTCCCAGCTCCTCGTGCACCTGCGCACGGGCAGGACATGGGGAGTTGGAGAGTCCTGGATCTCTCAGCAACAACTGAAAACATCAGCGTGTTATCAGCATTCTTCTTGCACCAAATCCCATACTGAATCCAAACCACAGCACTATTTTAGCTATATCAGAATAAATTAACCTTTTTGTACATATAAAAATATTCCTAGGACAGTCAGCCAACTTACTTGGGAAACCATCTAGCATGTTCTCTCCAAGGATCATCACCACCTTCCCAATTTCCCAGACATCACCAGAAGTGGAACACTACACTGTGTCTTTCTTGCCTGTGTGTAGGAAATTACAAATGTCAGACATGATCACAAATTTGTGTTTCGCGGTTGCTCACACTAGCCAAGTGACCACGAGTATACTAGTGTGTGTCATTGGTCCAAAATTTGTAGCTAAGCGAAGACTTTTTCTTAGATTATAGCAATTGAAACTAAAAAGGTTTACAAAACTGCTTAGATTTCCATTTAATTTCATTTGGGTCAGTCTGGGTCTAAACTTGGTGTAGATCCAAAAGTGAAAATATAAGGTGGATCTTTCTGTCAAAATAAAACTTCAGAAATATCTGAGAAATTGTATAAGCTTGATTGGTAGAATAAACTTATCTTTTTGTTGGCTATTTTTTAAATTTTGCATTCTAGCTAGTCAGTTTATTTGTAAAAGCTAAGTAAATGAATAATTCTAAAAACCAACAGAAAAAGATGGGAGAACTAGAACTTCTGCCCCTAAATTAGCATATAGATCGCATAAATGTGATGGGAGACAGACAGGTCAGACGTGCTGTCGTGCTAGTATATAAAACATTCAGGGAAAAATGAGTAAGAAATGCTAGAAGGAAAAGGAATATCAGGTCATAATAATATCTTAAACCAAAATCAAACTAACCAACAAAGAGCAAAGAGTTCCTACAGACTGAAATTTCAGGCCTTTACTGGAATAATACAGTTCTTGGTCCATATTACCAGCCAACCAACTAGGATGACAAAACAGAACATAATGCTCAAAGAAATGAGCTGTAATGGCTAACTAAAGAAGACCAACCAACTTCCCTCCCCTACTCCAAAATTAAAAAAAAAAACAAACCAAGGAACCAAACTCTCTTACAGGCATCTGAGACTTTTCTGAAGGATGTTTTATTGGAAGTGCAACACCAGCATGTGCTATCTGTTAGAAAATATTTATTAAAAGTTACAGGAAAGGAGTATGACTGGCAGGAAAATAAATCAGATTACAAGAATTAAGAAGGTTTCATTCAAAAAGATGAAGTTTTTGAGCAAAGAAAACAGAAGGCTCAAAAGCTCTGGCAGATGAAGTGTGAAAATAGAATCAGGCAGGCTTTGGGGGAAAAAAAAAAGTCCAAGAGTAACAATCTAAAGGAATCTAAGCCTTCTTCCAGAAAGCAGGAACAAAAAGCCAGTGAAGAAAGCTGGTAGATCCAACTGTTAACCAGGCTATAAAAGAACCGATCAAAGAACAATGCAATTGCAGAGGACTCAAAGTGGCATCCTCTGCAATAGTTGCATTAATGTTCACTGCAGAAGAATTCAGGGGTATTGTGATTGTCTAAACTGAGGGGGCCATGCAGCAGGAGGTGGGTGCAAACTCAAAGCAGCTGTGCACTAAATTGAGGCTGAGTGGGGAAAACACAACGCCAATCTTTAAAAAGCAGTCTGCACCTTTTGGGGAGAGGAAGAGACATCAGATCTGTAAGCCTGGCATCTGTTACAAAGAAGCAGAAAAAAAAAAGTATAATTAGGCCACTGTACGAACCCACAATTAATCCACATCTTAAACAGTGCATGTGACTGAGGTCCCTTCAACTCAACAAATCAGAATAGGAAAAGGTGCAGGGAACAGAGCAAGGATGATAAATGTGGCACACCTTCCACCTGAAGAATGGTTGAGTTGCCTATGTTCTTCAGCCTAGGGAAGAAAGCATTTATGAGGGATGCAACGCAATGCAAAATGATGAGTGGCACCAAAAAAAACAAACAAACAAACAAACAGTTATACCCATCCAAGTATTTTAAGTAGATTCACACTGTTTTATAAATCAAAACAGAAATCCCTCCAAGCACCACTTCCAGTTACCTGTAAACTAAAACTGAGCTCTGCCAAGCAAATCAGGCTTTGCTCCTCTGGTGTAGAACAGCCACTCACCGAAGGGCTGCAGCCTCCTCTCCTCAGTGCTGTACCTGTGGGAGTGCTCTGCTGAGTTCTTCTCCAACTTCTGAACATGTATGTTCTACGTTGAAATTTTACCCACCCTTTGGCCAGGACAAATTCGCAAGTGGGTCAAAATTTCTTGTGCTGTTCATACAGGGTACGTCTAACTCCCACGGTAAACAGAACTAATCCACAGCAGAAACACTGCATGCTGGTTTTAACAAGTGTGTGATAAAACCCGGCAGCTGCCGTTTCTGTCAAAGACCATGATGAATGGGACAAGAAGGACTTGAATCCGTTGTGTTCATTTCTCATGGCAGGTTTGCAACTCTTCTGCAGCTGCTCATGGACTTCTTGGAATTCTGCCTCCATGTCCTTGGCAAACTTGTGAAAATCAAAGGTGACATGCAGGAAACAAGCTTGCGAGGCAGAAGAATTCAGCTCCTTGTCATTCGTCCCCACTGTAGGGTCCTCTTTGGCAGACGCTTTCTGAGGAAACGAAGCTGACTGCTGAATTATACTACCTGCGTGTTTTAGATAACATTCAGTCATCGCCTCTGTTGCCTTAGTAATAGGGTCTCTACAGGTTATAAACATTTGATTTCACTTTACTAAGAAGAGATGAGGTAACTGTAGAGTTGGTATAAACAGGTGTATCAGTAAATCTGACTAGCCAAATCGGGACTTCTGCGAACTGACTGACCACTGCCCTTATAATGACAACAGCTAGTATCCTGAAGTCTTTACAACCAAAACAGAGGGAAAGAAGAGACATAAACAGGCAAGATTTGAGCAAGATAACACCGGTGATTTGCAGATCCTAAGAGTTTCATCCTGTAGCTTAAAAATCTAGAATGGCCTCAGTAAACCAACATCTCAATTCTTCCATCTCAAAGCCATGACAGAATGCTGATAGCACATTTTGAATTTATCCATAAATTAGGCAAGAAAAACACGTCAAAACATATAATGCCAAATGGAACATAGGAAGTAGAAGTGAGATATAGACATAAAAAAAACCAAAGCAAGCAATGCAATTATTTTATTGAAGTGTTTTTAAATGTCACCTGTCTTCAACAGAAACAGTGACTGGCAGGAATTGCATGATCCTTCATGAAAAGGAACAGGAATTTCATCATTACAAAATGAAATTAATTTGGCAATTAAATTTATTGCTTAACTCATACTGCCAATACTTCTGTCTAGTAAAGTGGTTTTATTAAACATTTGCTATTTACACCAGTTTTCTCAAATATACATTAGCTTGCAGAAGTAATAACTTTTTGTTACTGATACTGTTGTAAGACAACCATAGGAAGTATTTTACTGTGTGATGGTTCAGAACACAGCAAAAATGCCTACAGTGCAGCTCCACAGTCAAATTCTGCTCCCTCCATCACCACAGAGCTCCGTTTTCTCAAAGAATTAAGGGATCTTAAGAGATTTACAATGTTTACCAAACAAATTCATCCTTAAGAAAGTGATTCTAAACCCAGAATCTCCAACCTGTTGTTTTCACTGGCTACAAAAATCACATTTCTCTCATAGGAAAATACGTGCTCAACAATTTCAGTGCTTTCAAATCCCAAGGCAGCAAGTGCTACAAAACTTGTAACAAGACTTCAAGTTCTATTATATTTTGAAAAAATACTTTCATGCATGACACTACTGGCACGATGTTTGTTTTTCCTAAAGATGGAAATGTGATTCTCATTCAAATTTGACTTAAAATTCATCTGCTCATTCCTTCAGCCAGGAGTCTGCACAATCCGGTAACACTTCAGTTAGTACTTTATGGCATTTTTTCATTTCTAAATTACATCATAATCTACAATTAAAACTGTTCCTCATATCGCATGAGTCAGGCCAGGATGTCATGCCAATTCTTCAGGAGCTGCAGTTGTTAAGCAAAACTAAAACCAGACCTTTGTTTTACTCAGTTAATACATTTTCAGCACTTCCAGTCTCAGAAATCAGTTACAACAGTTAATACAGATGGTAACTTTTATTCCTGCAAGAAAAGTACAAAGTGGAAGGAAAGCAAGGGCACTCACCGACCTTTCCACAACCTCCTTCACAGCAGTGCACTCTAGTAGCACTGTACCTTGCAGCCTCAAACTTCTTGACACAGTTGTCCCCTGAACTCCACCACGGGATGTTTTTGTTTTTTCACCCCTTCCTTAAACGCTTTATGTCCAAACTGTATTGCATAGCATTTTTAGGAAGTTTAAGAATTTCTCACAGGTCTGCTGATAACATCACTGATTAACTAATCTTGTGACAGATACAGTAAATAAGAGAACACAAAAACAAGAAAGCAAGTTGTAGCTTCTCAAAAGCAAAGGAGACTTGAGATCCAGTGAATTCCAGTCAAAAAGTACAGATGAAGGAAGGATTTCCTCCCTCCTGCTTTAAACACAAAGACCACAGCTGAAATTCTTTACGCAGTAGATAAACATTGCCCCAATAGTAATTTTTCAGGACCTTGTTTGAACTACTCTTGCTATCCAATGAGAGGGGTGGAATAGTACAAGCCAAATTATTACTCAAACCACAAGCAGATACTGGAGTATATAGCTGCAACTTCTACACAGCTTCTACTTCCAAGTATGTTACTTTGGTGTCTAGCAAGAGAAAAAACTAGAACAGATTTAAAGTGCTTTCAGAAAACCGTTTTTTTTCCATTAGGAAACAATGACTGTGAAGATGAAAATGTTACCAGAAAACATCACATCAAGACACTCTCACCCCTATCAGAATATCCAAGAGCCAGATGCTTAGGGCCCTCCTTTGGCTTGGCCTGGACTACTAGACCACACCAAAACCCATGAATATGTCATTTTTCTGCTAGTTTTTAGGACACCCTCACAGTAACAGGCACTGTAATCACCCGATAGCATGAAGGGTTTATAGGGATTCTTTGACTCAGCACAAAATGAAACACAGATGCATGCCAAAACAGTCATTTATCTGCCAACACAGCAGATACACTGCATTCCAGCCAGCCTGCAGTACTGGAGTAGGAAAAACAAAGCTATACTAGCAATTCTGAATTTGCAGATTTAAAGGACTTGAAAGCTGCCAGTGAAAACTGAAAAGCAGCATGTATTGTTTGTATGTGGCGAGTATGAAAACAGGTAACTGACTTAAGACAGGGGTTTGCTTCCCTTCTTCGTCTGTTTGCACTTTTAAGATTCAGTGGTTAGGTTAGATTATTGCTGTTCCTACTCTGACAACAAAGGCCACCGTTTTAAAATTAAGTCAGATAGAGCAGTGACTGAGTTACTCTGGATGTATTACAGCCATCTTAAGGTAACTTCAGAAAACCAGATGTGATGTACTGAACTGTCACAACCTCCTCTTACTGAGGTGTAGCACGTTACATTCTCACAACTTCAAATTGTAATCACACTTTGAATAGACACTGTAAAACGTCTGCAAATCTCCAAGGTGTCTTGCCTCTGTCTCAGTTTCCATTCTTCAATGTTCACATGCTTCCCCTTCTCCCTCCACCTGGCTGTCTGTTGCTTTGGGAAGTTTAGCCAAGGAGATAACTTGCAGTTCTAGCCGTTCATTCCAGCCTCAGAATCAAAACAGCGTCACCGTCTTCAATACTGTGACCATCAAACAATAGTTTGCGTAAACTCCAGTCTTACATCTTTGCAAAGTTATTGCCTTTCAGTTATTTTACACTCCTACAAGAAAGTGAAACAAACCATACAACTACAGACAGAGCAGTACCAGAATTCAGTTAGTTTTGAATCATACCATTAAAACGTAAAACATGTTTTCAGCACATTTGTAACTGCTGTATTTGAGTTGCTTTACTGAAGCCCAAGGTGAATAGTCACAATACTTGAAATGTCTCCCACCTAATTGCTCAAACACACTTTTGTTAAATTCTCACAGAAAAAATATTTTGATATATAGAACTCCACTATCCACCAAAACCAAGATATTATAACAACTGACACATAAAATATCAGGGCTTCTTTTTTGAACAGAATGAAAAAAAGATTAATCACATTATCATACAAATCAGTTTAATCCCCTTCACATTTACAAATATACATGTTACTCATGTTCAGAAAAAGCCAGAGCTTTTCAGACAAAACCAAAGAAAATAGATCAGATATAGATAATTCAAGAATATATTAACAGTAAAAAAATCATTGATACGTTAGGTAAAAATCAGTTTGCTCCCAAGCCCATGTTCATCCTTGTGTAATCATCTAGGTCCTTCTTGTTTTGAGGTGCCTTAGTGAAAGCTATGACTGAATAAACAAAATAGATTTATGCAAGAATGACATAGATACAATAATTTCTAAGAAGAGATGACATCATATAGACATGGGAGTAGGGTGCTGCTCATGGATACAGCCAGGACAGCAGTGCAGAGTATCATGAACAAACAAATCGCATTCCAAGCAAAATGCATTCTGACACACTTTACATATGTAAACCTGTGTGGAAAAGATAGAAAAACAAGTAAAATTAGAAAAAAAATTATCACCATCATAGCACTACAGCAGGGCAACAGTTGTGTCAGCACAGCAGTGTAAACAGACTATACTGCTAACATCACAGAAACCCAACTGAACTAAAGTCTCTAACAGCCAGTGTGTCCAAATGATCGAGCTCAAGTCACTGCAGATGTTTCCAAATGGCTGAGAGTGAAAGCTTATTTACACAACTCTCTAGGAAATCCCTTCCCACAGTTTTATGGATGTTGCAGTCTAAAAGGTGTGACTAACAGAGAACTATAGTTAACCATGAGATAAACTTCCACAGATATTCTTCTGGTCTTTAGAAGAGTACACAAAAGGATCCTCTATACTTCTGACACCCCTCAATGCAAATTCCAATGCAGTTCAACACACTTACTTTTTGATCTTTCATTTCTCCCCGGCAGCCCAGACAACACCTGAAAGCAAAATCATACATTTTAACTGAAAAGAGTCAAGATTGTATAAAACTGTGTTTAAAAAAAAAAAAAAAATCCCATACATAGTAACAATTTATGGCAATATTTCAGCTATTCAACTGAACACACAGGGTAAGTATTAATGGAAAGTACAGATATTTTTTATTGCCAGAGGTGCCCCAAGACACCCAAACATTCAACAGTGTCTCCAGCAGCAAAGAAGCTGCTGCCAGTTATTCTTACTTTCATGAGGAAAAAATTACAGGGTCCACAAGTACAGTCATCACAAAAATATTTGCATACCGTTCCCCCTGATATTCTTCCAGTGAAACTTCCTGAAAGGCATCCAAAGGAAACAAGTGATGGTACGACCGAGCCAGGTGAGGTGCAGACACTAATGTAAGACCTGCAAATAAAGAGACATCAAAATATATTACGAGAGGACTTACTGAAAAGCTTTTATGTACTAAGCAAAGCAAAAAGAAATTAAGATTTTAATTACCCAGTGGTTCAGAGTTTTTAAAAATTAAATATAAAATTATTTGTTGGCTTCCATAATCCAAACCTGTAATCCCTTCCAGAATTAAATCCAAATATAAAGAACAAGGAAATGGCAACAACGGTTCTGCTGTTTTATATCATCAGTTAAAATGGTGCCCAACTACAAAGCTCTACTGCAGTCTGCTATAACACTGCCAAAGCCACACCATAGCCCTGTTTCAATTAACACTGGTCTGGTAGGTTTGGCTGGGATAGGGGTCATTTTCTTCATAGTAGCTAGTATGGGGTTTTGTTTTGGATTTGTGCTGGAAACAGTGTTGATAATACACGATATTTGTTACTGCTGAACAGCGCTCACACAGCTGTCAAGGACTTTTCTGCTTCTCACACCATCCCACCAGTGAGGAGGCTGGGGGTACATGAAAAGTCGGGGATGAACACAGCTGGGACTGCTGATCCCAACTGACCAAAGGGATATCCCGTATCATATAATATCATGCTCAGCAAATAAAGCTGGGGGAAGGAGGCAGAAGAAAGGGATGTCTGGAGTTACGGCATCTGTCCTCTCAAATAATCGTTACGCATGATGGAGCTACGCTTTCCTGGAAATGGCTGCTGATGGGAAGTAGTGAATTAATTCCTTGTTTTGCTTTGCTTGTGTGCATGGCTTTTGCTTTACCTATTAAACTGTCTTTATCTCAATCCACAAGTTTTCTGCCTTTTACTCTTCCAATTCTCTCCCCTGTCCCACCGGGGTGGAGTTAGTGAGTGGCTGTGTGGGGCCTAGTTGCCGGCTGGGGTTAAATCACAACAACAGGTTAGCTGGGGCATGGGCTGGCACAAACTTCACTGCTCACTCACATGCAGCGTGAACTTCCAAGCTCTTGTTCTGCTGACAGCTGCAGCTGTAGAGAATCTGTTGCTGACACATAGGATGTCTCCAGTTACACTATTATCTTGCTGAAAAGAAACTCATGCTGATATGAAAATCTTAGCATGAAACTAGGAGAAGGTGACCCAAAACTGTAATTATGTCATCCTCTTGCCAAATACATGCACTTGATAATACCTATCACGTTTTAGTCATGTGCCTGGAGAAGGTAATGGGAGGACAGCTGTCTCTCACAGAGCATTAATACTATAAAAAGATGCTAATCTTCCCTCCCATTCTCATTAAGGGAGAGGAGGCACCATTGGTCACATGGTCCCTTAATATTTGCGAGGTCGAAAGGCTTCCATTTTCAATTCTATAGCCTTTCCTGTGTCACTGTGCAGCCTGCCCTTGGGTTCAACTCTGAAACCTTTCATCTGCATACTCCCAGAGGTAAGTGGATACTTCTGTCCTTTTACTCCAAAGCATTCTTTCTCTTCATGGCCTTGCACTGAGGAGTCTGTAATATTGGTGGGTCTGCTAAATCAGGATTCTTGAGGAAATTACGACCATTCATATATGAATCACCCTTCTTCCCCCCTCTGCTTTGGGGCTTTTAGTTTATATCATACTAAGGAACAGGATACAGCTTTGCTGTTACAGGTATTGTCCTGAAAGTCCCTTGTATGAAGCTGACACCCCAGGACATAGGAGTGCAGGCTTAAAGTAGAGCTGGCTTTTAATTCCTAAGTATAGTTGAATTTTTCTACCCCTTAACTTCCTTACCACTAACTCATAATTCATCTGCTCACCTTCTCTTGCTACTCACCACAGATTTTGCATTCTATCGGAAGTTCACAGTATTTGGCTCTGCACTGGGGACAGAAATATCCACCCAGTGTAAGAACTGGCTCACTGTTGTTTTCCAGTTGCCTAGAGTAGAGAGAGACAGTTTAATATCCAAGAGATAACACCATAATAATACATAACTACAAATACTATATAGGGGTCACAACAAAGAGTTTAAAAGGTTTCAGTAGCTTCCATGTAACAGTTCCACACATACAGAAGTGTCAGAAAGCAACTGACAGAGCGAGGTATCAGTAACCATGTTTTCCCCCCAAAAAAAAAACAGAACGAAACCCAAACTTTCCCACATAAAGGAGCCAATATATCTTTAAAAAATAAAGTTATGAGAGCTAACAGCATTAGTATTTCTACTTACACAAATATTCTGTATTGACTCCAAGATGAATGTTACTACCTTCTCTTTCAAACAATTCAGACTCCCCTATCATCCCTGAAAACTATGATTCCTTCCACTGAGAAGAACAGTGGTATACTAATCAAATGAGGCCCCTATTTGACACTTCTCTTTAAAGTCACACTAGGAAACAGATTAAAAAATACTTTATTCCAGATAATACCCGTCATCCTCATCATTATAGTGATAAAAATACTTGAATCAAGAAATGCAAATAAAATTGGTAGTAATTAATACCTTGTAGCACCCTTGTGTTCAAATCAGTGCACAACACAAATAAAAGCCACTTACTACCTTCAAAAAATTCTAAACGTACATTTTAAAAAGCATATTTAACAGAGGTAACTATGGCCACAAAGTGGATGTGCAAATGGAAATAAAATTTCTACTGAGAAGTCACAAGACATTTCTTACTATTTTTTTTATACTATTTTACAAGATTTTCACTGACAAGCAGATTTGCTAAACATGACTAATTATTACTGAATTCTAACCAGCTCATTGAATCCTAATCAACTCTACTTACGCCATGCTAAAGGATGGCTTTGCATCTTGATCAGATAGAGCAGTAATAGTATGCTGAGGAAAACCTGAAGAGAAAAACATCTATTACCAATACTAAACATGCAAGTAATCCTTCAGTTTCCGACTCCAATGGATAAGTTCAAAGATTAGTCTAAGCATTAAGGCCTATCTCTCTCTGTTTGTTATTACAGAAGTAACATACTCTGTCCTGATTTCAGCTGGGATAGAGATAATTTTCCTCCTTAGCAGCTAGAATAGTGCTGTGTTTTGGATTCAGTATAGGATTTGGTAGGAGAAGAATGTTGACTTGTTGATAGGAAATCAAGGACTTTTCAACTTCCCATGTCCTGCTAGTGTGCAGATCCACAAGAAGCTGAGAGGGAGCAGAGCCAGAGCAACGGACCCAAATTGACCAGTGGAATATTCTAAATCATATAGCGTGCTGTTCAGTATATAGATAAAGTCTGGCCAGGAAGCTGGGGCTCTCTCCTCTCTGGGATTGCAGTTTGGGGATTTTTTGTCCTCTAGGAAACAGTCTGGGCATTGGTGGGCAGGTGGCAAAAAACTGCACTGTGCAGCACTCATTTGTATACTCTATTATTACTATTCTTATACCTTGTTGTTGTTGTTTATTCCATTTCATTCATTAAATTGTTTTTATCTCAACCTACAAGTCTTCTTACCTTTATCCCTCCAATTCTCTCCCCCATCCTCTGGGGTGGGGGAAGGTGAGCGAGTGGCTGCGTGGTGTTTTGCTGCCACCCAGGTTTAAACCACAACACACTCTTACTAGATATCATATTCTTCCTAAAGGTCTCTACCTACATCCCCCAACAAATCCTTCATTGTATTTCCACCAACTTAAAAAAAATCTTTTCATGCACTTCATATTGACAGAAGCTCAGTGGAACCCCAGTTTTGAAGAACAGCTAGAAAGAAAATGATGTGCAATGGTAGGAAAGCATTAAAGAGCACTACATGAACATTCACTTCAACAACAGTTTCTAATTAAGGGGAAAATATTTTTATATGCAGACACTGAATGTATATTTGCCTTCCAAGTGCAGTGTATGACAGATAAGAGCATAGCACTTCACGGAGGCTGTAACAGATACCATTCTTTTTACATGAGCTGTAGAAAATAAGTGGTAAAGTGGGCAGTTAATTTTTCCAACTGCTGCTCAGGCTTTACCTATAAGAAGTGAATCTCTTCAGTATTTAAGTCTACACATAATACATACATTCTTATCTGTGAAAACAGGTGAATGAAAGCCAGAAATCAATGCTCTTATTCATGGCATTAGGCTTCCTATTCCGATTTAACTCCAGGCTTTAATTTATTGAGAAATATATCAGGAGAAGAAAAGGTACCTAATCCATCTGTTGAAAGAACACCACAACAGTGCTCCTAACAAACATGTACTACATGGTCAAACAGATGGCTCTTACAGTCAACTAAGCTTATAACAGTTGCCTTCTGCAGGGAAGAAAAAAAACAGAGGAGAAGCAAAATAGTTTTTCATCCTTCGTTTCTAAGTATTACATTTATATCAATTACTGTACAAGAAATATCATTCCCCTTTACAGTTTCCAACGACAGTTGGGTAATTTGTCTTATTTGTTTTAATTCTTAACTTTATTTAAAAGCTGACTACTTTGCAGGAACAACGTAAGAGAAAATTGATACCTATTTAGCAAAATAAAAAAGCAACTGTGCAATGTCGTTATTATGCTTCTAACTATTTGTATGGCTTTAACACAGAAAATACAAGAAAGAAAAAGATTTCACAAATCTTTAACAAAACTGTATCCTACCCATTCGAATAAGGGAGCACTCAGAACTTGAACTGGCAGGTAGAGGACTAACGTGATTCATCAGCAGTTCTTTATAATGACTTTCATCTAAAATAACACGGTATGTTCCTGTCAAAGAAAGAAATGCCTTACTCTCAGATTATGAGCAGATAAGAATGCAAACATTCTCCAAATGACAGAAAACAACTTGAGTAAAAAAAAAAAATAATTTAGCCAACCCTGTTCCTAAACGCACTCCTGTTAATGCTACTGAAAATTACAAGTTTAATTAAACGTTCTGGTGTTATTAAGATATGAAGGCACATAGATTTTCCTCCAACAGTAATGATATTATAAGAGTTACCATTGTAGTAGTAATTAACGTAACATGTTAATATCAGTTAAGTTCCACATCACATATAAAGATATGTGAAACATTAGGTTTTAAAATATATTTATATTTCTTCTCTAGATGCAGCTACCAGCTAATAATAACTTCACTAAATACTGTGTATTTCATAGTCTTAGAGAAGCCCTAAATTTTCTGCCAGCACAACAGAATAGTCACCCTTAAATATCAGAATGCATGAATGACTATATGACAAATTAGTTAATTTTTATTTTAAACTTGTAGTAGTAGTGTAATTACTGAACTACAGATACATACCACCAGTTTCTTGGGCAAGTACTGTACAAACTCGAACTTCTGCACTTAGGCCGATGATGGATACTCTGATCTTAACTGCTTTTAAAGACTTCAAATGGAAAAAGAAAGCATACTCAAATTCATATGCAGAACAGAAAACAGTAAAAACATTCAAAGTTTTAGATGAAAATTAATTGGTGATGACACTGCAACTGCCTGTTTTTAGTCTAATAGCTTGGATGTTCAATGTAGTAGTCAAGCTTCACTTCTGTACCTTAATTAGATCATAGATGTTGGCTGGATCACATGTTGTCAGACTGCTGAAGACTACCAACACTTCTCTGCTTGTATGTCCTGGCATGTGCCTGAAGAAAGTACATAGTTAATTTACTTCTGCACACTAAGCTACTTGTATGCTAAAGTTTCCAAGCACTTTAACGTTCTAAAGTTGGAAGACAGTATGATATCAAGTCCCCTATAAATTATAAAGACTGATAAGATCCTTCTCTGAGCACCGGAATTTCACCTTCCAAAAGCCAAAACTTTCCAATATCTAAAATAGAGTACTTGATCGCGTAGTATTTGCTCTAATGCTTAAGTTATCCCTGTACCTTAACCTTACTTTCACAGGTAAAATTCACCTTCAAACTAGCAACACTGCAGTAAGCCTTCCTGACTTCTTAAAATAAAAATCTCTCATCAGTTTATAGGTGTAAATCCAGTAGTTTTAACTACTGTTTTTCAGTTCTTAACAAAAAACTCTTCCAACTAGTCAAATATTTTTTTATGACATTGACTACTGTTTTGTTCTGCCAGTGTTTCTAGCTATAATTATTTGTTAAAACAGTCTTCCATAAATGTTTATCCCATCTCAATACCTCACAAAGCAAAAAAAGTTTTTATAATGATGCTATCTAAAAATCTACCTTTCCAAAGCATGCCAGAACTCCCACCAGATTACAGTGATTCAATGTTGTTTCTTTTCTTATTCTCCTATCATTATTAACTCCTAACTCTGCCCTCTCTCGCACCTTAACACTCTAGTGAAAAACTGCAGGGTCTTCCATCATCATATTCATGCATAACATAGTCACCTACGTTGTTTTAAAACAGTTGGATTTTATAAGCAATACATCTCTAAACAGAAGCATCTTGTATCAGAAAATTAACTTCTGCACTACTAGTTTATTTAACTTCTGAACAGTTTGTATTGTAAAAGGACATAAAGCTGTCTTAAAGACTTAGGTCGGCACAATGCAAGACGCTACTTGTAAAAAATACGGTCTTTGTTCCTCCAAAAATTAACAATCAGCATTATATTGGTTATGAAAAATAAACAAAACAAAGAAATGCCATGTATACTAACTTTAAGGTCTGCATGGCCAAATTTAGGGAATTATAGAGAGATGGCTCTCCACCACAGTTCATATCCACCGCTTTCTTCAGAGCAGTTATGTGCTTTTTTGGGACACCTGCAAGTGAAAAAAACAATTCACTTGAAATAAGTTAAAAAAATTGAAATATGGGAACTATATTTAATGAAGTGTATTTGTACAACAACAGTTTTCAAACTGACTTTTAGCTCTGTGTTTCTTCTTAGAAACTGACCTCTTTATGAGAATATAGAAAATAGTAAGATATATAACAGAAAGGCGTTTACTCTACAGGCATTCAATTGTTAGACACTTCAAGAAGTCAAAAGAATAAAATCACTGTTGCATATCATTAAGCACTTGACATGAGTACCAAGTGTCCTGAAGTGTTTCAGCAGAAACAGAGTTTGGTTTTGTCTGTCATCTTCAAAAATTGACTGATCCTCAAATTCCTCAGTAAAGTTGCTCCAGTTTTACAGGTGAATAAAGAGAAAAAATTAAGACTTTGTCCCAGAAGCCACACAGATTGCTAGTGACAGAAGGCAGGAACCAGAGAAACATTGCTCCTTAACATCTGATCAGATCTCATAGAACACACAGCTGTCAAAATAATAAACTAACAAGCAGGGTGAGAAATTAGCTATAGGGGAAACAAAACATATTTCAATTGCAATCTGGGTAAGACTTGACCACAAACAAGCACACAATGACAATTCTAGATTACAGAAGATCAAAATAAAGACTGGTTTCGGATAACTTGCAATAACTTCTCTTAAATTAAAAATATTACATTAATTCTACTTCATTTCAGCAGTGTCATTCAGGTAGAACTCGTATCCGTAACACAACAGATGAAAACATCTCCAATCAGAAAAAAAAATATACTACCTCCCTACCTGAAAGGTCTGTCATTTTTTCAGCTCTTTTATTCTTGGTTACAATTAAGCCAATCTGGAGAGAGAGAAAAAAGGAGAAAAAAAAAAAAAAAGGCAAAACTTTTCTTAGCAAGTTTGAAAAGCAAGCTGGTTTACATTTTTGCTATATTTTGCCTAGTATTTCTTTATGGATCGTAATTACTTAACTATACAAGTTTTCTTGCATTTGTAACAACAGCAGCACCAGACTATGCATCAGTTAACAGAGATTCATGTTATTCCACTACTTTTTCCACATGGCACAAAAAGAAGTCTTCTAAAATTCTAAATGCCTGAAAAAAATATATAATCAAGTCTTCTACGTTAGAGGTTATGTTTAAGAAAAAGGGAATAGATGGGTTGTTATTTTCATTAGTTCAGGAAGAAACAAGACTTTCACCAGACTGATGAAGGGATGGGGAACAATACATCAATTAAAAGGTTTACTAGATAGTGTTAAAACTAAAACTCTCTGTTAAAATATTTTTCAGTTACTTGTTTCTTGCATTCTTGTACATACCTGACTAATAGGATTTTGGTCAAAGTACTCTTCAACAAAATATTCCAACAACTACAAAGAAAAGTTAAGACCGTTAAAAAACAAAGTTTTATTCCACATGCAAAACATCCAGTAGCATTGAAAAAAAAAAAAAAAAAAAAGGGTGGGGGTGTATGATCCCTTCCTTTCCATTCTCCTTTCTCCTTCCTCCCATGTTACCATTGCAATGGAAGTTTCACAAAGTAGCCACCCCTTATTTTATTCACTTCATATGTTGAAGTTTTAGATTACTGTTGGTTCAAATCCAAGTTCATGATACACCAAAAAGCATTAGTCCACATAAAATCATCAAAACACAGGATTTCAGTGCCTTGCTTCTGCTTAAAGACCATATAGTACAAAATGCACAGTTTAAGTCCTCCAGTCTGAAAGCAGTAATCCAATTCAGCTCCTGCCTAGCATCCATTCAAATCAGAATTCATCAAAATACAACTGTAAGAAAAAAAAAAATCTAGATGTGTACTGAAAGCATGTTCTTCTTTCAACCCTTATGGCAGGCAACACTTCAGCTTAATTTCCACATGTTTCATAAAGTGTCCTTCAACAGTATGCCCTTACAGTGTTTTTACTATACAGAAGTACTAGTGCAAGGCAAACTAATGTCACACAGATTTCACTATTCGAAAACAGGAAAATTACAAACTAGCAACAGAAACAAGGGGAAAAATGTAGGGGCAAGAGGATAGATGAGGCTATGAATCTAATCTAATGACAAGAGAGACTGCCATTTTTTAAATGCAAAATGGAATTGGTTTTCAGAGAAATAGTGGATTAATAAGAGAAAACTTCCGAGTACAGAAATACCTTCAAGGTGCAAGTAAGTCTGTTCGGTTTTAAATCTTGGTCGTCCATAGTTCTTGATCCATCAACCACCACATAAAGGTGACGCATCTGCATTTTCACCATAAGTGATAATAATTCACAGATGAGGTATTTAAAAGAACTGTTCATTATTCTGTTTATCTAAAAAGTCAACTACTCCCTCCCTCAAAAAAGAAAAATTCAGTATACTAGGCTACGCAATCAACAGCAACTGAGGAAGTAATGCATCTTTTCCACCTTTCCTTCAAAATGAAGGAAAAAAAAAAACAAAAAACAAAACACAAAAAACCCAAACCCCAACTATTTTGAAAAATGCATTGTTCTTTTCCTCTCATGATAAGCTACAAAATATGCATAGTTTGCACCTTCATCTCTTCTTCTGAAGAGCTCAGTGTTGTACAAAGTAATGTTATTTACAACTCATTTTCCCCATGAAAAAAAATATCAGTGCATGTGTGTGTGATCTGACCGCAGTTGCAAAACACACCCTGATACAGTGAACATGCCAAACCTCCACCTTTGAATATCCATGCTTCACACCCTACACTGTCAATGAACAAGGAATGTTTGGGGTTTGCTTTTTTGTTTTTTTGTTTTTTTTTTTTTTAAAAAAAGTTTGGTGGAAAAACGCAAGGTTTGGTTTCAAGCACATTAAGGCAGCAAAAGTGTATTTCAGATTAGGCATACCACCTCTATTCAAGTACGTTTAGACTCAGGACAGACAAGGGTTAAGACATTAACATACCATTCCAAGTCGAACTTGTCCATGATGTTCACTGACTCTAAAAAAACACAAGGGGTTTTAAATAAGACTCAGATGAATTTCCTACAATGAAAGTCTGGAACAAACCCAATACCAGACTTCTGGCAAATATTAGGCAGTAATAAACCGTAGGAACTTATTTACACTGAAAACAAAGACAATTTAATTGAAAACAGATTTCAGTCCTGTCAGGAAACAAACAAAAACTATTTCTTACTACCAGGTTCAATTGAACTTTAAAATTGTATCCAAATTTGTGTATTTTAACATAATCTGACGTAAAAGAAATCTAGATTTTATCTAACAGTTTTTCTGACAATTTGAAACACAAACCTGGTGCCACGGTACCAAAACTCAGCTTGAAGAATGACTTGTATATTAAACAAATGTTGAAGGATTTTCTTTAAGCAGCGCAAATTGCAAATTAAGTGATTTGCACCATGTTTCATCAGACCAAGACCTCACCTCCTTAGCTAGCATACATCTGGCATATCTAGCCTACCCACATTCAGTCTTAAGATTGTTTGTTTTCTGGCACAACTAATAAGTAGCAGGCAAGAAGCATGCATTGGGAGCTCTGAAGGGGTAAGGACACACAAATAGATGGCAGGCATGCCGATATGTTTACTCAACCAAGAGGTCTCAGTTTCAGGATGATTAAATCCTTACAACTGACCAAACCAGGGTTAGCAGCAGGCTCGTGCCAACACATAATACCTTCTCCGCTTTGCCTTGAAAATAATGTCCTCGATGGTCGCTTTCAGCGATCCGGATTCATCTTCTTTAAGAATTTCCCTAGGCGAAACAGACTGTTACTGAGCAGAGAGAGGTTTTCCTCGTTTCAACAAGGTGACGAGGAAGGAGAAGGAAAGCTTACCATGTCCTTTCGTAGCCTCCTTCCCACCGCTTGGTCCGTTCCGGTTCGTCATCCATCGCTATGGCTTTGCTCCAACGCTGCAGAGAGCACCCACGGCCGTGCTCCTCTCCTCGCCGCTCCAGCTGGCGCTGGCTCTGGCCGGGGAGGAGTAGCTCCTGCCTGAGGGGAAGCTCCACTACCGTGCTGCACGGCCAGGATAGGGGCTGCGAAGTGGGCACGGCCGGAAAAAGAGCTGTGAGGGGGACCAGGCCCGCAGAGGGTGAAAGAGCTGTGGAGGGGTCCTGGACCGCGGCAGGCGAAGGAGCCCTGAGGGGGGCCAGGCCCGCGGCGGGGGAAGGGTCCCTGAGGGGGGCCAGGCCCGCGGCGGGGGAAGGGTCCCTGAGGGGGGCCAGGCCCGCGGCGGGGGAAGGGTCCCTGAGGGGGGCCAGGCCCGCGGCGGGGGAAGGGTCCCTGAGGGGGGCCAGGCCCGCGGCGGGGGAAGGGTCCCTGAGGGGGGCCAGGCCCGCGGCGGGGGAAGGGTCCCTGAGGGGGGCCAGGCCCGCGGCGGGGGAAGGGTCCCTGAGGGGGGCCAGGCCCGCGGCGGGGGAAGGGTCCCTGAGGGGGGCCAGGCCCGCGGCGGGGGAAGGGTCCCTGAGGGGGGCCAGGCCCGCGGCGGGGGAAGGGTCCCTGAGGGGGGCCAGGCCCGCGGCGGGGGAAGGGTCCCTGAGGGGGGCCAGGCCCGCGGCGGGGGAAGGGTCCCTGAGGGGGGCCAGGCCCGCGGCGGGGGAAGGGTCCCTGAGGGGGGCCAGGCCCGCGGCCGGGGAAGGGTCCCTGAGGGGGGCCAGGCCCGCGGCGGGGGAAGGGTCCCTGAGGGGGGCCAGGCCCGCGGCGGGGGAAGGGTCCCTGAGGGGGGCCAGGCCCGCGGCGGGGGAAGGGTCCCTGAGGGGGGCCAGGCCCGCGGCCGGGGAAGGGTCCCTGAGGGGGGCCAGGCCCGCGGCCGGGGAAGGGTCCCTGAGGGGGGCCAGGCCCGCGGCCGGGGAAGGGTCCCTGAGGGGGGCCAGGCCCGCGGCCGGGGAAGGGTCCCTGAGGGGGGCCAGGCCCGCGGCCGGGGAAGGGTCCCTGAGGGGGGCCAGGCCCGCGGCCGGGGAAGGGTCCCTGAGGGGGGCCAGGCCCGCGGCCGGGGAAGGGTCCCTGAGGGGGGCCAGGCCCGCGGCCGGGGAAGGGTCCCTGAGGGGGGCCAGGCCCGCGGCCGGGGAAGGGTCCCTGAGGGGGGCCAGGCCCGCGGCCGGGGAAGGGTCCCTGAGGGGGGCCAGGCCCGCGGCCGGGGAAGGGTCCCTGAGGGGGGCCAGGCCCGCGGCCGGGGAAGGGTCCCTGAGGGGGGCCAGGCCCGCGGCCGGGGAAGGGTCCCTGAGGGGGGCCGGACTGGAGCTCCTCCCGTGCCTGCCCGCGGTCCCCGGCGCCGCCGCCAATTGCAAAGTCCCGGGCGCCGGTAGTAGCCCTCTTCCGCTTCGGTGCGCCCGCATTCCCGCCCGTCTGCCGGCTGCATCTCCGAGCGACCGTTCCGGGAAGGAGAACCGAGCAGTTACCTGCAACGCCGGGGTCTGACGGCCTCTTATAGCAGAGCGCGAGACGAGGCCCGGTGGCTGCCGTCCATAACGCCAGGTTGAACTTGAGTGAGCTTCCGAATGGCTCTGAGGCCACGCCCACCCCGCCCGGCCTCCGGGCTGGGCGGGAAACAGGCCCCGGGGCGGGGCGAGAAGGAGGGCAGGCGTCCGGGCCTTGGCATCTCAGTCTGAGGAGAATAATGCTGCCGCTGCAGTTAAATGCAGGATATTTTTCACAACGACATCGAAATGCTCCAGTTAAATTATTAAAAGGACAGTAGCGCAGCTAAAACGTGCCGTGGATACATCGTTGGTGCAGGCGCGGGGCCCGCGGTAAGTTTCTCTCAGGTCCAACTGGCCCTCATTTCTCAAGTTCCGGTTGACAGCATTAAGGCACTGTCTGGGTTTACGTGGTATTTCTGTAACTAAACGAAGTAATTTCTGTAATTATCAGAAGAATCCAGAAACCTGGATAAAAAGGCTATTATTTACATGCACTGTAGCACTGAGTTTTAATGCATAATTATGCTCATCAGTTAATGAAAATAGCCTGTTAGCCCAATAGCAAAATCACTGCTTTAACTCTGTTCTAAAATATTGATCTTGGAATTAATTAATTGCTGCAAAGTTTAAGGTACATTTTCTGTGATTTTCATGCGCTCGTGGGAGCAAACCAAGCAGTGGAGTAATACAAGTCTTTGCAAACATGCAGAATAATCTCACTGTACACACAGTCACCCCTTTCAGGCTGGGTTCTTGTTTCACTGTGACAGCTTTCTTTGGGGATTTCTTTTAATAAACTATCCCTACAGAGCTGTGAACAGTTAACTGGCAATTGCATTTAAAAACTGGGTTGGGATGCTTTGTATTCCATTGAGTGTGCTAATTGCTCTAACCAAAAGAAATCCAGTTTTTCAGTAAATGTTGTGTACGTTTCATTTTTCAAACATCTTTAAATTTACTGTTTGTCTCCTTTGCAAGCATAGTATTTATTTCTAAAGGCAGCCAGAAATATGTAAGAAGGACTCTAGTTCAGATCCAGCAGCTCTTGGCATTACAGATCACCACAGAGAGATATTGAAATATTGATTAATGTAGTAGAGTGGTACCTGGTCAAGATACTGTGCTGGATGAGTTCTACCCATACATGCCAATGCAAAATGTCACAAGTCTAGACTAGACAATGTTGTAATGTAGAGATTTCTTAGAAATCAAAACCTCCTGAAACTACAGCTTTTCTTTTTCATTTGCTTTTCACAGTAGGGTAACAAGCTGTTTTGTTTGCACACACAAAGCTCTTACTAGTCACTAAAAGAAAGCATCAAGAAGAAAATCAGTTACAGTTTTAACATCCAGTAGAAATGCAGAGGTTTTGGCTGGTGCACAGGTCCAGGCGGGCACTTTTATTGTTCACTCGAAAGAAGAAATCTGAAGCACTTGTAGTAATGATTATCTTCATATGCGGGCAGAAAACGGATTATGCTTCTCACACTGAAAATGCACTGTTACATTAACTAATCACCTTTCACAACTACTGTAGTATTATAAAACTACGTTTAACTATGTAACAGTAACCTTCTTCAATTACCCTTACTTTGCTACGCCCAGAAATTGACAATTCTGCAGTAATATCATACCAATTGATGCCAAATGAAGCACAACATGGTCTCTACATTCAGGAGTTTAAAACAGCAACTAGTTCACGTTGTTAAACCTGGAGGGTGATTTGTTTAAATACAAGAAAAGCGTTTTCAGTTGTACATCAGAGTACTTAAAAAGATGACATAGTGATAAAATGATACCATAGGATGGATTGAACTTTGTGAGAGTGAGGCTGCAGGGAAAAAGCACAAATACAAGAATACAAGGGGACAGAGGGACAGATTTGTTAGCAGAACAAACTCACTAATAGAAAAACAGGATCAGAACTCTGAAACGTTCAGAACTATCAAGATCTAAAATGTGCTATGGAAAATAAAAAAATTATTTACCTATAATTTACACATGCCTATACATAATTTTTATATATCTCCAGAACAGGCTACTACACACAGTGATAGAAAAGGAAAATCACTGTAACTACTCAATTATAGGTGAAGAGGAAGAAACTCAATGACATCCAGAGAGTGCACATATTTTAGTAATAGTAGGGAATAAGCAATCTTTCAGGATGAAAGAATACATCACAGCTGGTTTTCGTGTTCTGGTAATTCCACAAGGTCTTTATCTGTATTTAAATAGCATTACAGTGCAGGTTCTCATACTGTATGAATGTTTCAAATTATTTATTTTGTTAAAGTAAAAATTACACGTAGTTTTAAAAGCTTGCAAATGTTTGCTTTCCCATAATAGAAGCAAGAAGAAAATGCAGTTATGCAGAAGTGTACTCTTTCATGTGCAGAAAGAGTTTGAGATCTTTTCAGATAATATCAAAATACAAAAAGAGTTAATAGATTAGTTTCAGGTATTTTGATGTTAAATGGTTATGTCTTGCTTCTACCTAAACTAATTCCGAACAGCACTGATCCATCTCGTGTCACCAGGAGTTTCCATACCATAAGCATCAGAGTGAGGATTAGCTCCATAAAGCTAGAGATAAGTTTAGCCAGTTTCCCCGCAGAGCAACCATAACTTTACTGGATATAGTGAAAGTGTGCCAAGACTGGGTTTGACCTCTTGAATTACAGGAAAGTTGCAGAGCATGTTTCTAAGGGTTGTCACTTCTCATCCAAGTAAGACAATTAGGAGGAAGTAAACATTTAAAGTGTAATAACAATTCCTTAAATAGCAGTGTGCTGGGTTTCTGTGGCAGGGTCTTTGGTAGCAGGGCGGGGGGCTACAGCAGTGGCCCCTGTGAGAAGCTTCTTGAAGCTCCCCTGGTCCCAAGCTGGACCCGGCTCTGGCCAAGGTCGAGACAATTAGTGATGGTGGCTGCACCTCTGCGATAGCATATTTGGGAAGGGGAACCTGGGAGGGGAGATTGCAAGGAGCATGCTTACGCAAACACCGAGATCAGTGGAAGAAGGGAGGAGGAGAAAGGAGAAAGGGGCGGGGCGGGGCGGGTGGTGTGCCAGAGCAAAGAGCCCCCCCTATCCCGTGGTGAGACGGCAGGGCCACCCCGCTGCCACCCACGGAGGTCCGTGATGGAGCAGTGGCCGACCTGAAGCCTGAGGAGGAGCCCACACTGGGACAGGCGTCCGCGCTTAAAGGGAGCCAGGACCCTGAGGGGAGAAGCGGCCCCGCGGTTGTGGTTCAGCGCTGGGAGGACTGCAACACGCCGGGGGGACCCACGGCGGAGCAGCGTGGGAACGGCTGCGGCCCGTGGGGAGGACTCCCTGTGGAGAAGGTTCCCGGAGGACTGTCTGCAGTGAGAGGGGAGCCGTGTGGAGCTGGGGAGGGATGTGCGGCGGTCACCCCACCTCCCGAGCGGGAAGGAGCGGCGAGCTGACGGTAACCCCCATCCCCTGCCCCCTGAGTCACTGGGGGAGGAGGGAGAGAGATGGGGAGCAGAGCTGAGCCTGGGAAGCAGGGAGGGGTGGGGGGAAGGCGGTTTTGGATGTGATAATGTGTCTCACAATGTCTCACTCTGATAAGTACTGTTTTTGTTAGTGTTTGGATTAAACTGATGTTCTTCTTCCTCCCCCCAATGACTCTGTCTTTCACCCAAGATCATAATGGGCAAGTCACCCCTCCACGTACTTCCCTGGATTCTGGAGCCTTTTGATTTATTTTCTCCCCATTCCTGAGGGGGATTGAACAGCTGTGCTCAGCTGCCTTCTGGGCTCAAACCAGGACAATCCTTTTTGGCGACCAACTTCAGGCAGAGGAATGCAAGAAGGATAGTAATTGGGTGAGATAAAGGGCAAAACATGGTTTGAACCATGTTAGAACTCGCTTTGGAATTTCTGTTGTAACTGTGGTGGAGGGATGAGAGGTGAGTTTTGTGGATTGTGCTCCTGTACTGTGATAACGCTGTTTGTATTTTTGTTGTGGGGAAGTTTTTTTTCTTGCTTTTTGTGTTGATGTGATTTAAGTTTGTGACTTTTGTCTCTATGGAGTGAATATAGATTTTAATGACCGTTCTTAAATACATGATTTGCAGTTGTCACCAAAACCAGCAAAAAAAATCTCCTTAACCCTGAGTTTAGCATTAACAAGCAGGCATTACTGTATTCGGCTGGGGACATGAGGGAATTGTTCCATCTAACATGTCCACCGTACTTTACATTAACTAAAGCTTATATCACTTACATACATATGCATCAAATTTCCCAGAACTAATTATCATATTTACATAGTTATTCCGCAGGCAGTTTGGGGTCTCTGAGGGGCATCCGTTGGGGCGGTCAGTGGTCTCTCGTGGCTTTTAGGAGAGGAACCTTTCTTGCTTTGTCTAAACCTCTGAATTCTTCTGGATGTGGTCAGGGCTTGGCTGTTCTTCTGTTCATGTTTTCACTTTCTTACCTCTTGCCTAGGTTCAGCTAGTGCACCACTCAATCTTCCAGGACAGGAGCTTCTACTTAGGAGTCTTTCAGTTATCACTGCTGGTCTAGCTCAAGGACAGTTGTGCACCAGGCATGTTGCAAGTGTTCAGCTGATTGCTTAATTCTTATTTAACCCTTAATGATCTTCAAATTCTAATACCCATTTTCCAACACAGAGGCAAGGGGTGGAAAACTTACCAATTCTGTATCCTTCAGCTTGTTGAATTTATCAGGAGCAGTTTATAAATAAGGGGGAAACACGAGAAATTAGTTTTCAGTTAAACCATACATGGGAAAAATCAAAGTTATTTTGAAGGACAGAAATTAAAACTACTGAAGATGCAAAAAGGGGAATTCCTTAGTTTAAGAAGTCAAGATTTGCTTCTAGGAACCAAAACTAAGTTGAGTTTGATCTACTCCCATTAGACCACATGCTATCTTTTCTTAAGAAGGAAAATGTCCAATTTATAAAACATCAAAATAAAAAAAATGACTGTAAGCTGACAGTTTAGTAGAAGAAGAGAGAAACAAGACTTCTTTCATAACAGGGATATTTTTTATTGTCAAGGCCAAGAACTTCAATGCTGGACAGGAACACATGATATATGATAATGTTGTATGTAGATTGATTGTCCAAATACTTCAAATCCCACAACAACTTTGAGATTAATAAACTAAATACTGGGTAACTTCTACAATTTCAAATTAATTAGGTTTTTCATTGCCTCAATTATATTTAGTTGATACGCTGTGATGAAAGCTAATCCACCCTACTATGTGATACAAACTTTTGGTTACATCTGTTAGGTGTTGCTCTATCTGCCCTTCAAAAATGTACAGATCAGTAAAGAGTATGAAGATGTTGCCACAGTTATATCTTGATCAAGGAGATCCAGCTGTTTATCAAGACAAAAAAAAAAAAAAAAAAAAAAAAAAAAGCCCTTTTATTGATTTATTCAAGTCCAGTTTGAAAACAATGACATTTCTGGAAACTGTCTCTTGGACATTTTCCTTTGTAGATCTGTAGAGCCAGCTGGGCATTTTCTAAGAGGAATACTGAAGGATAAAAGTTCTCATTGTATACACTCTGTGTCTGAGGACAGGCTATAACTGAAGGAGGATGCTGTGTGCTCACTGATGTAGGACAGTATTACTTGGCAAGGTTAACTACCTTCTGCAAAAGTCACACAGCAGACTCTTTACATGTACCTAAAACAGTGTAGCTGAGTAGTTGAGATTAGAGACACTGCATAGAGAGACAGAGGTGTTAATCATCTAATGACTTTAGTTTTGTCTGAAGTATACCTTCTATTCTTTAAGGGTACCAAGAGACTGCTTTCCCTGATCTGACTGTAACTATTTCTCACTCAGTTTTCTCCTACTTTGTCTTGCATTTGACTGGTTTCAACTCCCAGCCATTAATTGTTATTTCATTAATCTCAATTTCTCTGAGAGATAAAGATGCTTCTTAGACTAGTGTTTTTTCTTTGCCATGTTCAGGGTACTGTTGACAAGACCCTTTTCAGTCCTTTGTTGATAAGTTAGAGCAAAACCAGCTCACCGATTGTATGCAGCAAGAGTGCCTGTTACGGCAAGGTCCATAACAGACCCAGGACTAAGTAATGTACTGTGAGGGTTGAAACCTGTTGCCCTGCTTGACTTCCTAAGCTGGGAAGGTAATTGCCTCCTCCTGGTGCTGCATGCTCAGCATGCTCCACTGCCATGCACTGCACTAATCCTCTTTGAAACCCAAAGGGCTGGCAGAAGGGAGTACTCCTATGTATCTTCTCTCCCTGGCTTTTGGAAAACCCACTTAGCCACACCTGCAGCACCTTGCTGGGAAAGGTGGAGCAATCCACACACAGCTATCTCCACTTGGTTTATTTCCCCATTCCAGTCACAGGCATGGTGTTGCCTCTTCCCAAGCCATTTGTTGGAAACTTTGCAAGAAAGGAGAATCTCTAGGGTTTCTGCAGAGGCTGTGCAGGCACTGTCTGAGGGAACAGAAGCCAGTTTCTCAGAGACTGAAACAGACCACTGTCAAAGGGAGCCTGGCACTGGGTCTCAGTGTCCTATGGGAAGAAGACTTATGAAGGGTGCAGACTGTGACTCTTCCAAAGAAATACCATGAGTCAACTTCTTACCACTTTATAAACATCAGTTGATTCCTAAATTGGATTAATCAGAGCTGCCACTGAGAAGAAAAAATTGGAAACCTGGGTGTACAGTGAGAGGTCATTTAGATTGCAGGGATTTGGACAAAGACCTCTTACAAAGAAAAGTTTATCAAGTATACAGCACAATAGGTGTAAAACACTTGTCCCAGCTCCTTTATAAAGTACAGAGGTTTCCTCTGAAAATAATAGAAACCTAAACGACAGAGAGAAACACCTCATAAGAGAGACAAGGGATAGCACTGACTGTCATCTGATTTCAGACTGATGAAAATACTGAGACACCTTCCAGGTAGATGAGACTGAAGGCTTTCAAATGAAGAGGTGCCACGTTTTCAAATTTTCTGTGTTGCCAGTGTCTTGTGTTATTTACTTAATCCACTAAAACTCTTGGCATTAAGTGACTGCTAAAATTGAAATGTCAACTTTATAAATATGAAAGTGGGTTTGTAGCCATCAGGATTGCAGTGTGAATGATAAGGGCTCAAAAATCAGAAGGGATGTAACTGCCAAAGCGAGGTATATTAATGCATTTCTGGTACTGAAGAACAGAGGTGGTACCACCATCACTGTTTCGAACTGGAAACAGCTTTCCTGATGTCTTGCCTTTAAATTAAGGCAAAAGTTGAAAACTTTCTTTTAAAGAAAAAATGATTGCTAACAAAAATTTGAAATAACCTTAATCAGAGCACCTTTTTCCAACAGATTGCCTTTCTAAGCAATAGAATAACATGGCTACATTGGTGGGGTTTCTTTCAAATTAAAATATATTTCAGAACAGACAAACTGCAGTTGTAGAAAATGTACAAGGAAACTCTAATTGGTTTCAACAATTTTAGCAAGTAAAAAAAGTAAACAAAGATGTGAAACCGGATACAAAGAGAAAATTTACTGGCTTATGAAAACATTCACATATACAAACATATCCCCAAGATAAAATATAAAAATATATATTGAATTTATGCAGATATGCTTTGGAAAGCCTGCCTATTAAAACATTTACCTGGCCTTATAAAGGATACCAATAATTTATCCTTTGAATGAGAATTAATGTTTCTGTACTTACTCTCTGAATGCCAAGTTCACAAACAGCTGCTGCCTAGACAAAAAGACCTGTTACTTACTGATGAAGAATAAAGTGTTTTGCCTTTAAACCCATGGATTCCTACTGAAATGACCCAGGAAGGGTATGCAGAGCACACTGGGCTATAGCAACACTAACATGAGTCTTACCCTGTACCTCTATTCCTTTAAGGCCATGTATAAATCTGTTGCATCACCCCTGAAGAGGGGAATAAACAAAAAACCCCAAACAAAACCAAAGAACAAAGCCCCAGCACTCACCCCCCCACCCCCCCACTATGGTTGCTCAAATAAAAAGTTATTTTGCATCTCTTGTTAGGTGAAATTCCAGATAATTTCTGACATACAGCAGAGCATTTGGAAATACAATACAGAAAGTCTTATTAAACTAATATTTGACTTGCCAAAATTATTCAGTATGATTACGCATTCTTCCAAACCCCAGCCAGAAAGAACAGCTCAACTCTTTATGATATCATTAAGATGTCACCTATAAGGAAGACCTGAAATGGTTAACAGCACTTCTGTGCAAAATTTTGACATGGTATTTAGAACTCCCTTCTCTGGTGGGCTTTGTAAGTTTGCAAGTACAGTATTTTCAAATAAAATATTCGTATTTAAGAGGCCAGGTTGTATAGCATCTAACAAAAGCAGAATGTTAGCACAGGTTTTCTAAACTGACCCGGTAACAACTACATTGATTTAAAATTGGATCTGCATACAAAACCTACCAGTAATGTACAACATCTACGTAAATGACTGAGTGATTAAGCAATCCCCAGAGGTGTACTGGTCTGAGAGTAAATAAATAGTTTAAAATATGCATATCGATTTAAAAATTAGAAAATAGTATCCACAAAGTGAAGGCATAGCTAAGTTTCTACATTCCAATTCATAACTTTATCGTAGTCCTGAATTCTTTGTTTTATGTGAGAAAGCTTATTCTTTAGGTATTCACAACGCTCCTTTTTCTCCAGAAATGCAGGATCCTGCCAAGAATACAAAAACCCTTACATTAATATATCACACTTTCAGACTCTTCCAAGACTAGTCTATTATCAGCTACGTTCTTGATTAAGGACAGTATATAAATATTGTCCAAAATAACACTCTTTTTCCCTGGCCAAAATTTCTTACTTCCTGCTTCCCCTTCCTTCATGAAAAACGAAAAAGAGGTTCTGTGTTTATATGCTGTAGTTACTTAGTAATCAGAGTGGTTTTTAAATAGAAATCTACAAGTATAAATGACATCCTACTACATAATTTAGATTTTATAGGTGTTGTGGTATGTCTAATAAATCCCTGCCCCAAAAAATGCAATGAAGTTTAATGAACATAGACACAAAATTTGAATTCTATGAAAACCAAAAAAATATATATTTGTAATGTATTATGTTTTTAATGGAACACAGGTATATATTTACTGCCTACATTTAAAAATGACAAAGTGAAACCTCATGGATCACACTGAAAATTACTTTTTGAGAGCCTGTCCAAGTTCCATACTACAAAGGAAATGCAAAACTTCTTTTCAAGGGTAAGACTATGTTTATGTGGCTATTGGAATAATTGTTCTCAAAAAAGGTTGTTGGCATGAATAGAGTTGGTTGTGTCCTAACTTTGCCAAAGTTTTACAAGACGAAATATACAAAGCCCTGTAGTAGCTACAGATACCCTGAACTAGTGAATTGTACCTAGTGTCAGACATGTTGGCTATTTACACTCTTTCTGCTAGTCACATTTTGCAATGTAGAGCTGAAAACACTCACATTTTTCTTCTTCTTGTATTCTTGCAGAACTTTTGATATCCTTTCCTGTTCCTAATGAGAGAGACCACACATTTTTAAACACCTTGAGTGTGCTTCATATCTTCATGTAAGTTCTACAAAATACTTGTCAGAAGTAAAATTCTTATTTGATCAACCCGTTCCAGTTGTTACATTTTAGTTCTAAATCTTGTACTTGAGAAACAGTGAACTCACTCAAACTTGAATGCTACTACCATGAAAAAAAAAAAAAAAACAAAAACAAAAACCTCCAACCAACCAAAAAAACCCCAGAAAAACATGTATACAACTTAATTGCAACATGGTACCCTTGACTGATGACCAAACAAGAAGTAACATATTTGGGGAAACTTCTCTCCCACCAAGTCACCTCTGGCATTACATGACATTCTGCCCCTGCTAAAGACAGTCAAAAATTGCCTAATACCACGCTTGCTTCCCATAAGCCCAGTTCATGGGTACTTACATATATGTTTTCAGGATGATGAGGAAGCTGCCTCAGCAATGTATCCAGCTCATCAAACTTTTTTAATACAGCATGAACTTCCACAGACAGTTCTTTATACTCAGCAAACTGATCATTGAATACTGCTTTGTACCGGTCTCGCATTTCGTTTGTTTGAATTGCTGGGTATTTCCTTAAAAAAAGTTTTCAAGGACTAGTTTTAGATATAGGGCTTCAACAAACACATGGACCCTTCATCTTGATAGTATATTTCTGTATGGTTTGCTAATCTCATAACCTGCTGAGATTGCATGTACATAAAGCACTGAAATCACAGAATCACAGAATGGTTGAGGTTGGAAGGGAAGTCTTGACAGTCATCTGGCCCAACCCCCCTGCTCAGGTAGGGGCCATCTAGACCAAGCTGCCCATGATTATGTCCAGGCAGCTTTATGAGTATCTCCAAGGATGGAGGCTCCATAATCTCTCTGGGTGACCTGTGTTAACCCTCCCAGTGAAAAAAATTCTCCTAATATTCAGGTGGAACCTGGAACCTTGTGTGTTTCAGTGCGTGTCCTAGTTTATGGCAAACAGTATAAAAATTAATTTATGGTCTTACACTTCACCATGGAAAGGCCTACCCTTTAAAAGGGAGCATGTTATAGATTTAGCACTTAGAAAGTACAAAAGTAGCCAAATTTCAGGGGCTACAATGACAAGTAATTTCCCATGTATTTTATTTTTTTTCTAAATTGTCTGTGTGGCCTTCTGTTCCTTTGGCAGTTATTGTACTTGCCAGACTACAGCGTTCTGCTCAACCATTTGAGGTTTGCATAGGTTTTTTTAAATTTAAGATTCTTTACTTATGTAACTGGTTCTATGCCATTGATACCAGGCCCCATGCTCTCTATTTGTAAAATTAATTTACTAAGAATTATGAGTACCCATAGCACATGCACGGAAGAGAAACCATGAGTGTATGTATGAGAAATGCTGAGTGAAAGACATCATTTGAGTATTCCCCATTAAATTTGTTCATTAAAGTCACGTCACTTACGCTAAGTAGTCTGGCATCACGATAGGTTTAGGAATGTGGCCTGCAGGTATATGACCATTAAGTAGTTCCGGTTTTCTTTCCACTGATTTAAGCTGCCTGTAAGTGACCTCTTCTCTTGGTCTGTCATCAGTTTCATACTGTTTTAAAAGCAAAAAACCCAGTTTTTAATGAAGTCAGTTTTACTTTGAATGCAATATACGTAAACCACAAAATACCCAACTCATTTGAAGACACTGATACAAGTACTGAGCAGCAGTAGAAGTAAATCATAGGTATTTCTTACAATCCTTACTGTAGTTAAAAAATTAGTAAAGAGTTACAGTAATGTTTCTCACACAGCATCCATCTTCAGTTTGTCCTAACAGTGATACCAGTGACATAAGTACTTACTGGGGCTTGGAAAGATTTGCCTTGTACATCTTAAAAAGAAAAATAATTTAAGGAAGTTTCCCTGGATATCCATCTAGTTTGTGAATGAACAGGAATCACTCAGTTCTCCAGAGTTCCCTTTTCCCCTTGTTTCCTACTGCACAATTTATACCTTGATCCAGAAATAAAAGCATGTGGAGTCATGTTGGAACACATAAAAAAAGGATCCTGATCCAGTACTGAATCAACTGGGGAAATTCACAGTATCTAATAGGAGACATTTAAGACAAATAAATACACCATCAATTCTTTGGAAATCATCAACATCTGCTGCTAAGATCCTATACAATCTTTGCACATGTAACCACATCTTTGTGCAGCAGAAGCACTAACGCTGCTGATACTTCAAAACTGGCAAGGAGGTCTTTGGGGGGAGCGGTCTCAGAGTCATAGGAATAAGCTCAACTCACAGAACACCCGCCACTGTGCTTCCACTGGCTCTCCTCCAAATTAAGCAGCCAGCCAGGAGAAAAGTCTACAAAACCTACAATGCATCACACTACCTGCTGTTCTAACCATATCTGCCAAACTCTGTGATAAATGCTACAGAACTTGTCACCGCATAAAAAAAAAAAAATAAGGGCGCACACACAGAGGCAGTCATCAGATTTTCTATATACAATAAATTTTATAACCTAGCCTAACTAGTAGTAATTTCTTTACAAACTTCTTCCAAACCTTCTAGGTAAGACAACGTTGTCTGGACTATATTAAAGAATTAAATGTAATCTCTTCCAAGCCAAGTAAATAAATAAATAGATAGGTCAATCAAAATAGTCACAAGAAAAAGACTAACCATTTGGAAATACCCGTAAACAGAAAAATAAATTCGTATTTCCTACCTTTTCTGGAAATGAGGACTGAGTTTTCATCTATCAAAAAAAGAGAAAGATCTCTAAGTTTTATTTTCAGCAAAAATAGTATGCAAAAGCACAGACTCTTAAAATCTAAACTTTTTCAAAATCATGCTGTACAGAGAATTACATTTATATTTAGGTATGAAGAAACTTCGCGTAAGGAATATTTTCAGATCAATCGATTTAAAGACTGTTTAAGAACAGTGGAATAAAAACAACCACCCAAAACCCAGAACAATGACAGGATCTCCCAAAGCATAGCCGTAAGGAACAGCTTGCAGGAAATCCTTCATTCTCCTCCCAGTTTCTCTTATTATTTTGCATTCCAGCCCATATTAACTCACTGAGATTCTGAAGCCTAATTCATTGGCTAGAAGACACAACGGTGCACTAACCAGTAGCTCAACCAGCAGCTGTTTGGAGTTTGCACAGCACTCTCTAAAGCCCAACCTGTATTATAAAAGTATTCCCTTTAGATGTGCTAAGTAACTGAAATAAAACAACATGGATACTAACAGGGAAGAGCGATTGAATACCTTCTCTATAATTCCAGCAATCATCTCATTCTTGCAGGACATATTAAAAGTTAGGTAAAAAACTTTTATCAAAGAGCTGCAATGCACTTTTCAAAAGGGGAGCCTCAGTTTTATATCAGATGGTGGAATAGAAACCAGTGTTAAATGAAAATGCTGCAAATCAGACTGCAGTCACAGAGCAGAAAAAATGTCAACTTTAAAGTCACTCTTCTCTCCTACTAAAATCACTTAAATGCTGACCCCTCCTTGTTCGGCTTATGCAGGCTTCAAATACATTAATTTTTATCCTATATTAAGTTTTATTTATTTTGTAAAGGTTTTTTTTGGTGGTCTTTTTACATGAAGGAGGTTTCACTCAAATGCCTTTGAATTCTCAAGCGGAGAGTGGTGAGTCTCAACTGTTTCAGTTTATCATTAACTAGGCGATTATTGAATGCTTCTAGTAAGGGCAAGGCCAGCAGCAATGCAGAATACTTGATATGAAAAAGACAAAGTTGATTGAAATCTGAGACACAAAAATCTAGCCAACTTTGTTATTACTACGATTTTCAGATAACTTTTGTAAAGAAACCTCAAAGGACAGCAAGAAGCAGCTTGGGAGTTTTGTTTGCAAAGTAAAAATCCATTTTCAAGTTCTTATGGTCATTCACACTAGGCACGTAATGTGCTGAAAGCCCAGCCTTCACAGAAGTGCAAGGTGGCTTTAAGCCTAACCCTACTGAATAGCCGAACAAGCACATTGTTCATTTCTTCCTTTGTTTGGAAAATATACACCAGGAAGTAGTTCATCAGCTGACACAGGAAGGGCCGAGTATTACAAACAGAACAGAGCCAGCTTCTTACCAGAGTGAATTAAGGAAAAAAAAAAAAAAAAAAAAAAAAAAAATCCAAGGGGATTTGGATCAGACGTCTTAAGAACGCCTTTCATTTGGTGATCTCAAATACTGTTAAGACTGGTGAAAGTTCACCCTCAAAGGCTACGGGCCTGCTGCAGGGATGACACCAGGCAGGACGGAAAGACGTGAGGACTGCTCCCCGTCGCAGCCCACCCAGCAGGTACCACACGGTGACTCAGGACTTACCTCCTGTTCCATTAGCTCCCTGTGCCTCCTAGCTCCTTCGTGCCTCCATAACTTTAGAGAAACCACTGCACTCATTAGATAGATGATCACCGTGACAAACAAGAAGATGATTGCTGCTGTCTGACCTCCCTCCACACGGCAAAAAGATGCATTTATCGGCGTCTTAAACAACTGGTAATAGCAGAGCCCGCCTCGGTTGGTATCGTTCACGTACACTATGGCAGCCGACATGTACAGAAAGAACAAGGCCACGTTAATGCCGAACTCGGTCAGAGGCCACCAGTTGGAATCGAGGAGGATGGTCCGGTAGTACATCGACATGCCCAGCACCAGCAGCACTATCGTGACCACCCACGCCATGCCCGCGGCCACCAGGATGAAGGGCGTTTTGGGTCCGCTGTAGGAGTAGCCCCCGTAGGCGCCGCCAGCCCCGTAGCCGTAGGGCTGCGAGTACCCGAACATGTTGTACCACTCGTTATCCTTGTGCACGTAGGCCGTGACGCAGGCGAAGACGGCGGCGCCCAGCAGCAGCTCCGCCACGCCGAGGATCCTGAGCAGCCCGGCCCACGACTTCATGTAGGCGTACCGCCGGTTGTAGGCTTCCACCCGCTCGCCGTACGTCGGGCCGGCGGCGGCGCGGCGCCCCAGCGACCCGCGGGGGTCCCCGGGCAGCATCGCTTCCGCCTCCCGCCGCGACGGGCAGCTCCCGCCCGACCCGCCGGAAGGGTCCTCGTAGGAGCCGGGCGCCGACCTGCGCCCCGGCCGCGGAGGGGCCGGGGAGGGCGGCGGGGAGCATTCCACCCCGTCCGAGACGTACCTGATGTCGGAGGCCGCGCTGTCCCAGCTGGAGCCGCGGCGGCGCCTCCCTTTGAAGAAATTCTTCCACGAGTCCGGGATGAACCGCCGCACCGGCTTCAGCTCGGCCGGCCCGCTCGGGACGGGGCTGCGCGCCCCGGGGTAGGCGTCGGGGCCGAAGGGGGGCTGCAGGGGCAGCGGGGGGGGGGGCGGCGGCAGCGGGGCGGCGGCACCCGGCTCCGCGGTCCCGGGCAGCGGGGAGCGGGGACCGGCCCCGCGGGGCGGCAGGGACCTGCCGCGCCGCCCGCCCCCCGAGCTGGCGCTCCTCGACATGGCTGGCGCGCGGCCCGGCCCCGCTCGGCCGCCCCTCGCGTACCGGACGGGAGGAAATCCGCCGCGGGGGCCGAAGGGCGGCCGGGCCGCAGGGGAAAGCGGCGATCGCGGCCGCCCTCCGCACCTGCGCAGCCCCGCCCCGCCCCGCCCCCGCCGCCTCACCTGCGGCGGCCGCGGAGCCTCCGCCCCGGCCGGCGGGAGCCGCTCGCCGCCCGCGGAACGGCGCTGCGCGGCGGGAACCGGCACGCCGCACCCTCGCCTTCCGCAGGGTGCGAAGGGCCCGGGGGCTTCGGCCTCACTGTCGAGTTTCCCCCCTGACAAGCCGCGGAAGAGTTTTCAGGAAGGGAGTCCAGAGTCATGCGTCATCCAGCGTGTGTTCAGTTGATACTGTTTGCCTTTTTTTGTTTTTTTTTTTTTTTAATTTAAAAATACTGTTACGTTCACAAAACACGTCTGTGGCAGAGTGCAAAACAGCAGCAACGCAGTCGGAGTTTTATATGCATTGTCAGGATGGGGTATCAAATTTTTTACACACACAGCCTCTTCTTTCAGAAAGTTCAGACTTTGAAATAGCAATTTTTTGAAGGTAAAAACTTTAATAAAAACCTTCAAATGCTGACAGCTTATCAAAGGTGGACTCCAGAAACATGGTGTACAAAGTAAATAAAAAGGTGTTAAAAATAGAGTGACACTACCCGCCTACAGTCTCTCCCTAACTCTACTAATTTATTTCTAGTCTTAATTTATTGTCTTAATTTATTGCTACCTCTTTTCAGAAATACGGCTAACTCTTACCACTCAGAACAGGCAGGGATTGGCTTGCGATTTCGTATTCAGCTCAGGTCTGATGCTGCAAAGTTTAGGGGAATCTGGGGAAACTTGTCTTGGTGCTGACTCAGCTTTCTAGCCCAGCTACGTAGCTAAAGGAGGACTTTTGTGCAGACTATGCTCTCCTTTAGCAAAAGCCGTTTTAGCATGCTAATCTGTTCTGGTGAGTCAGTGGTTGATATTTTGTTATGTTAAGTCACTATCCTATTCCTTTTTAATTCGGCTTCCTCCACGATTGCTTGAGCTGCAGCAGGCAGAGGCTGACTGGAAGGCAGTTTGTTTCCACTGCACTGGCTGGAAGTAAGAGGGAATCCATCCCATTCATTTGTATTCCTTTTGCTTTTCTCCATCTGTACAGCCACCTCTGTAGCATTCAGATCAGCAGGGTCCCCCTCGTAACTAGTAAGTCTGGCGTGCCAGGATCTGTATCAGTAAGCGTTTCAAACTTTAACCTGTAAAGTTATCACAGCAACAGTAAGTTACTGTGGGAAACCCCCCACATTTCCTGCTCTCTCAGCACAGAAACTGCAGTGGAAAAGACTGTCCACATACCACACAAGTATCCCCTCTTCACTGATGCTCAACAGCTTTCACATTTTCTCACATCTATTCACCACCGTTAATTCAAGACATACATGGTGTTTCCTTACATCACTAACATCAATATTATGGTTTATGGCTCTGTGCACATCTTCCGGTTACAGGTATTTAATAGGTGTATCAGATTTGACAGGTGTATCAGGACTCAGCAATACGTAACCTGCATGAGAACCCACAGAATATATGGAAGTTCCTATTGGACAAAGCTTGAAATGGTATACATCTAACTTACGAATGCAGACACAGAAAGCTTACTAGTGTTTGAATGTATGTTGCGGGCAACATTACTGGCATAAGGAAGTCTACAATTAATTTCTGAAGTTACAAACATTTTGTTGTAGACCAGTGTGGTAAGTTGATCTTGGCTGGCAATTTTATTCTTACTTAAATCTTTTTGTTTGCAAACCCAAAGATTTTATCCAGATCGTGCTCTGGACAAACAGACCTACGCCTAGGTTAGAGAACTAATATTTGATACAATGGAAAAGAAAGCAAAATAGGGGTTAAAAACAAGACTGTAGTTAAACTGTTGCTGCTAACATTGTAATTCTAAGTAGATTTGAACTGAAGTAAATCTTAAGAGCCATAATATAAAATTATAAGGCTGCAAGTGAGGGAAAATGTCACATTACAGATGTACACTTGTCATGGTTTAAGCCCAGAGGGCAACTGAGCACCACACAGTTCACTCAATTCTTCCCCCTCAGGAATGGGAAGGAGAAATTAAAGTAAAAGGCTTGGGAATCCAGATGAGGACAGGGACAGGTGACTCACCCATTCTGGTCATGGTCACGGGCAAAAGACAGACTCCTTAAGGGAAGAAAAAAATGAATATCACTTTAATTCAAATGCTAATGGAAACAACACTTAACAGAGTCAGACAGTGAGATGATGAGTTTGGTATCCCAACACCACCTCCCTCCTACACCCCCCCTTCTCCCGCACTCAGCTCTGCTCCCCATCTCTCTCCCTCCTCCCCCAGTGACTCAGGGGGCAGGGGATGGGGGTTACCGTCAGCTCGCCGCTCCTTCCCGCTCGGGAGGTGGGGTGACCGCCGCACATCCCTCCCCAGCTCCACACGGCTCCCCTCTCACTGCAGACAGTCCTCCGGGAACCTTCTCCACAGGGAGTCCTCCCCACGGGCCGCAGCCGTTCCCACGCTGCTCCGCCGTGGGTCCCCCCGGCGTGTTGCAGTCCTCCCAGCGCTGAACCACAACCGCGGGGCCGCTTCTCCCCTCAGGGTCCTGGCTCCCTTTAAGCGCGGACGCCTGTCCCAGTGTGGGCTCCTCCTCAGGCTTCACATCGGCCACTGCTCCATCACGGACCTCCGTGGGTGGCAGCGGGGTGGCCCTGCCGTCTCACCACGGGATAGGGGGGGGCTCTGCTCCGGCACACCTCCCCCATGTCTTTCTCCTTCCTTCCACCAACCTGGATGTTCGTATAGCATCCTTCTCGTAACTTCTCGAGTCCCCCAACCCCCTCTCAGGTTCCCCTTCTTGAATATGTTCTTGCAGAGGTGCCACCACCATCTCTGATTGGCTTGGCCCTGGCCAGAGGTGAGTCCAACCTGGAGCCAGGGGAGCTTTGAGGAGCTTCAAGAAGCTTCTCACAGGGGCCACCCTTGTAACCCCCTCCCTTGCTACCAAAACCCCACCGCAGAAACCCGGCACAACAATAAAGGTGTTTCTGCATGAAAGGATTCTTTCCATTAATTTATTAAGAAATAGGATGTTCTTAAAGGAAGTATATGTCCAGTTTACCTCCCCAAATGTCTTTTCAGTGTTAGCTTCTCAACATCTTGGATAAAAGCAGTCTGAGCTGAGAAAAATAATCACCAGTACTTTACTAGGTAGATCACAATGCACATAGAATTAAAGACACTGGAAAATAAATAATTCATATGTTTAGTTAAGTGGTCCCGTATATATTTGCATTATTTTGAATACCAAAACAGTTTATATATATTTGAAGTGTTTATCACGTTACCATATTTACAGAATGCCTCCACAGAATAATATAAATCCCTACTGCCTGTCAGCTGTGCATTTATTATGTAGACTTATTATTACATAGCCTGCAAAATTAATTAATCTGGATGGTAAAGCTTTAGTTAAGACATAAAGCCCTTTATTAGAAGTAATTAACATAGCGTAAGTGACCCAGCTGTCTGAACAGTGATTTTTGGATTACATATCATACACAGTAACCACCTGCTACTGGATTGCCTCATGTTACACAAACTCTTTTACATACACTGAACACTTTGGTTTTGTTTACTTTATCTGGAAAAGGCACTTTAAAGTCTTCTGATTCTGTTGATATTACTTTAAAGGGATTGGTAAGTGATGAAGGTCTAACTAAAATAGTCTATGGGATTTCCAAAAGGCCTCTCACTGAGTCCCCTAAAGGCTTTTAAAAGAAACCTTGAGCCTTAGAAGAAGCCTTAAGCCTAAAAGAACGACTTAGTAGTAAAGTCTGATAAATAATTAACAGATAGGAAATGGTGGAGGGGAGTATGAGTTATTAGTTAACTCCTGCAACAGAGGAGAGGTGCCAATACAGTTCTGCTGAGATCAGTGCTGGAACCTGGGCTACCCAGCACATTCCTAAAGGTAACCCTGCAAAAAAAGGGGGTGAAGAGTGAGACTTTGCTGGTGATGCTAAGGTAGGCAGGGTAGTAAGGATGTGGGCTGTCAGAAGAACTGTGCCAGGACTTTATGAGACTGAATGATGGGGCAGTAACATGACAAAATTAATTGTACAAAGATACCTGAAATCCATGCAGTAAAAAAAAGGAAAAAGGATTTAAAATACTGCAACATGAGGGCCCTGACTTACATACTGATAAAGCATCACACATGCCTCACTTCTGGCAAGACAGATGCTTGTTTAATTCTTTCAGTTAAATAAGTTTTAAAGATGTTCTTAGTGTTGTTTCAAACCTAACAGGAGAGCTTGAATCTTGGCTACGTGACTAGAAGCATATTTATTTACCTGTTACACATGCATACCATGCATGGGGTTTTTTAGTTAGGCAAAAGGATAGATAGTATTGACATTTTGAGTTACAAAAACGTACCCTTATACTCACTGATTTTTTAAAAAAAATAAATCTAAATGCAATAGTTCCACCACTGATCTTGGTTTCTCACTGAGTTTGCTAACATAGCAAGATAAGGCAATTGCTCCATCTGAAGACACTCTGGTGGTAAACAGAAGCTTGAAAAGTGATTTTTCAGCAAGACAGCTTTCCTGATACTCTGGAGGGAGGATGGGGGGACGGACACACCAAAACACAAGTGAACAACCTGCTAAATCATAATTAATGTATATATTCTGTACCATAAAAAGCAGCATAATTACTTTAAATACTACAGACAAACTGCTGGAGAATGTGTCCAGAAAAGAGATGAGCAGTTGGAGTTAATGCATACAGATTATAAAAGTGGTGAATCCATTCATTTTTGCCTTCACTGGATACTAAAGATTTCTAACAATTTTTATCATTTGATTATAGATTTATCCACCAACGCAGGTCAACATACCTTTTTTTGCTAGACTCTGCAAAAGTATTGATTCAAATGCAAAAAATTGACAAGAGCTTTGGTATCTCATGAACAAGCTATTTCTGATAAAAACATAAAACACAACAGCAGTAGTCTGGTAAACTTACAGGACAGTTTAAGGTGGTTTAAA